GACACGAGCATCCTGACACACTTACTACTACCGGTAGCCTTGGTCTAATACTTTACAACCAAGGAAAATATAACGAGGCGGAATGGATGCACCGGCGGGCGTTGGAAGCACAAAAGAAGATGCTTGGGCATAACCATTCCGACATAACAATGAGTGTCAATAACCTTGGCTTGGTACTTGAGAAGCAAGGCAAATATAACTAAGCGGAAGTAATGCATCAACAAGTATTAGAAGGCACCGAGAAGGTGCTTGGACGTGAGCATCCTGACATACTCACCAGTGTGAACTATCTTGGCTTAGTATTTGATAAGCAAGGGAAATATAAAGAGACAGAAGCGATACATCGACGGGCATTAAAAGCACGAGAGAAGGTGCTTGGGTGTGAGCATCCCGACACGCTCATCAGTGTCAGTAACCTTGGGTTAGCGCTCTCCAGGCAAGGGAAATATTAAGAGGCGGAAGCAATGCATCCACAGGCAGAGACTGTGGGTTCTAGTACCCTCATGCAGCAAGGAATCCTGCCTAGGATAATTTCTACTCTTCATCCGTTGCTTCAATTGTCGCAAAGGCATCATCGATCACTGGGAGTGAAGCATGACCGTGACGTCGACTGAAATCTTGAGATATGAAATTTTGTGGCGCCATCGGCAAATCAGCTAGCTGTCTCAAGGCAACTAGAATTGTATCCCAACATAAATAGAATATAATAAACTTCGGAAAATCAATATTGTAACTTAGTATTACTGTATGACTTTTGTGCTGTAGGAATATATCAATTATTAAATCTTGAATTAGTGTTCGTTCGCCACGGGAAGTATGAAGAGGCGGAAATTATGTGTAACGGGCAATAGAAAGACATATTGATGTGTTTGGACGTAAATATCCAGAAACAGTGATCAGTCCCCATATTCGTTAGATTACCGCGATCAACAAGGCAAACTTGAAGAGACTTCCGTAACCCCAGACCTGTATTTAAAGCATTTAGTGTTGAGACAGCATACATGCATATATAACACCCGTACTTTGTGACTTCTACTGCAGCAATGTATACCTTCATACTTTGATTCGGTTCCAAGGTACCTTTTACCAGAGTTATGTTTCCTTAGAACATGCCTACTTGAGGATAGGGTTGTGGGGCTGTTCCTTCTGGAGGCGCTAGTATTTCTCATACATCAAGTTACATGATCCTTTCATGGCCGTGTATTCACGTTATTAGTACTTTCGGTTTATGTGTATTTCTGCTGCCAAGAATTCCACTAAAATGGGAACATTCTCAGATAAAATAATTATGATAATATCAGAAATAACAATACGTAACTAGGTAACCGAAATGATGTAATATTGTTTTTCTTATCTATCCCGGACGCTTTTGTGGATATTCTTGGCGTCATAGTAGTAAACAGCGGATTTTCTAGTCGTGCGTGTCATCTTGTAATTCGCCACGTAAGCACTTTGTAGTTTTTGTTTGAATGGCACGATCAAATAAGGAATCAAATAATAATTATTTCTTCTGCTCTCAGGCGATATTCAACATGTGGATTGGGAGTGAAGGTGCTCGAATGTGCAGGTACCTGGCGGGCGTTTCATCACATAGGGCATTTTATGTCACCGGGATGGGGGTTACTTGTCACGTAAACATTGACAACCGTAGATGTCGAAGAAATGGACATTGACGGGGGTGCTGAGGAATCTGCTGGTACAATATTGACCTGAATTACAGAACATGGGAGAGATGAATTCTCATTAATTTCATCTTGGACTATTTGTCGGAATTTTATGAATTGTATTATCGAATCCTGGCCACAATCAGCGGCCTCTGCTATTTTTGCTATAGCTAATTCTTTGCTGAGTATCATATCATTGATTATTCACAGCTTCCAGAATAGAAGGATGGGTAGACTGCTTCGGCGCGATATTTTGCTATGCTGAAGAGCGCTTTAATACGGAAGTCAAAATTTATAGATATAAATAAAAAGATGAAGAATTATTGACTCTTTGTTTGTGGACCTTAAGCCTCCCTATAATCTGATAGGCAGACTATGTTGACTTTATACCTATAGAGTTTTCTTTACTATAATTAATTTTCTTCTATACTATATTAGAAGATATGACCGTATAAGAAGTTACTGTAGGATAGGACAAAGTCTGTTTAACTGTGTTTGTTATTAATTATTAATACAAATATATAATTATTATATAGTATTAGGGACCACTGACTATTGATTTAGCGCGGGTTATACTAAAGGCAATACTGACTGTATCATCAGAATCACCTAAGTTAGCGTTATATTAAGCATTATATAATTTCTTTATACTAGTGCCTTTATAGTAGGCGAAAAGTAGTCAACAGGGCAGAAGCTAGTGTCGCTGCTGATTATGCTGTATCTTGCTATTATATAAAAACTTACAGCTATTCTTAAAATTACGCTGACTAGTATATATTCAGAAACTCTTTCCTGACCCCGTTGCCAAGCCTTTAGTATAGATTATTTATTGGGCAGGAAATACTAAGTTAAGGACTACTGTCAATAAACCTAGAATGGCATGGTACAGTACTGTATCTCTCTGTCCATAAGATTATAACTAGTAGCATCGTTGAACATACAGCTTCGTTATAAGATTATAAAATATAATTAAGCTAGTTGAACAGATGTAACTCTCCCAAAAAGCTACTGTAAGGTAGGTTTTTCTAGAATAGAGCATCTTTAAATATCTTAGCCGATATAGGCTCTAATAAGTTTAACCTACGTAGATCAATCTTAGATAAGAGTCGGCGTTAGTATACTATAATAAATTCCTCTGTAATAATAATTCTTAAATAGCTCGGTAAGCCTTATAAATAGCAAATATAACTAATCTATCCTCCTCTAACTCCCCCTTTAATAGTAATGCGTTTAATAACTTTCCAGGAAAGATATCCTCTTAGCTTATTCTATCTACAAGCAGCGTCTGTATAGGCTATAAAGAGTCTAGGAGCTGGCCAGGATTATATCCTTATAAAAATACTGTCTCTTTATACTATAAGAAAACAATGCTTTAGAAGTCTACTGGGAGCTGCTAAGCCTTATATAAATAATATACAGAAATATCGATAAGTAGTCTCTCTGAGTCTGTACTATATTTGTTAGCTTTAGGGGATTAGGTATACTGTTAAATTAGTATAATATATCTAGTACTGTGCTATAGCTTGTTAGATAAAGAAAGATCTTACCTAGACTTTCTGTCTTCTCTAGATAATCAGAGTATGTACTGAGATAGATTAATTCTAATGTCTGTAATATAGTGTTTATATTTATAGAATAAATATAATAAGTACGTCTACCACCTGACTAGGTACTTTTCTTAAATATCCTATTAAGATATAGGCTTTTAGAAGCGATTATTAATATATATACTTTGATCTGGTAGTTTTAGGTAAATATAAGAGTATTATAACCGGTTTTAGTATACTAAAGTCTCCCTTATATAGCATAGATAAGTATCTTGGATTTTGGGACTATTTTTACCTTGATTATTAAGGGTTTATTATTAAATTTCTCTGAATTTATCTATTAATATTTATAAGACTGTACGTCTTACTAGGCTCAGGGAAGTAATGGTAGATCAGATGATCCAATATGAAGCTGTTCGTTGGTAATAGATAGGATGATTGATGTATTGCATGGATGTGTATGATATTAGGATTGCAGGAGATTGAGATGCTATTTATCCCTGAGGTTTAGCAGGCCTCAGGCCATCATTATTAGTAATTATAATGGTCACACGACAATAAGTCGTCGTAATGTATTAATCATGATTAGCATCGAATGGTAATTGATTATATAGGTTGCCATAGTTAGCACCATAGTCAATTATGTAGGTGGCAGAGTCAATTATGTAGGTGGCAGATGGCCAGAGTTGCCACAGCATCTAGATAGTTTGCCACTATCGATCAGGTTCCATGAGGTTCCATGATCTATAGGCTATTGCTATATATTCAGATATAAGGATCCTTATTTCCTTATCCTTATAGACTTTAGGATTACCTCAGAAAATATATCTAAGCTAAGAGAGCTAGTTTCCTTACTCCTAAAGGCTAAAGGATCTCTTAAATTTATTAACCTTAAAACCCTCTACTTTCTTATACTTTTTGGTCTTAGTTCCCTTATAATTTACAGATAGCTTATCTAGGAAGGCTCCGGTATTTATATTTCCAGAAACCTAAGCAGAAAGCTCTTTGATATAGTTCTGAATCACCAAGAACTCTTTAAGACGCTCTAGTTTGTGTCTCTTCTCTTCTAGACTGTCTATATTGATACTTCTAGGCTTAGGGATACTCTTGGTTACAGGTTTATCTATAATTCCTCTGATCTATATCCTACAAGAGGGGGGAGGAGATACATCAGTATCGTATACGGTGGCTCCGCAGATTAATATCTGATCTAGATCAGGTTCTATAGGGGTTTTTTACTGATCCGGGGCCGATTCGATCTCAGGTCGAATAGTAGGAGGGGGGGGTATAGCGACTTCGGATCATATACTACTGTGGGAGGATGCAGGGTTTCAATATATAGAGGGTACTATCTTCAATCCTTAGGTAGTCAAGAGAGAAGAATCAGAATTATAATGGTTACTAAGTTGTTAGGCTAGAGACATATGACTAGGCAAGGATATCAGATAGTAGAGATCAGACTGGGTAGTCGATACAGAGACTGATTCTTGAGAAGATCAAGAATTTTGAATGCTTATAGGATCTTAAATACATTAGGGTTCGGGTGGATATCGATATGCAGGTGACTCAAAGGGGATTCGTCCATGAATCGGCCTCGAGAGTCCGGGGTATCGTATACTTCGAATCCCGTGACAAGTAGGAGGGGGGGGGGGGTATAGTAACTTTAGATTATATACTACTATAGGAGGATATAGGGTTTTAATATATAGAGAGTACTATCTTTAATCCTTAGGTAGTTAAGGAAGAAGAATCAGAATTATAATAGTTACTAAGTTGTCAGGCTAGAGACCTATGACTAGGCAAGGATATCGGACGGTAGAGATCAGATTAGACAGTCAGTATAGAGACTGATTCTTAAGAAGACCAAGAATCCAGAATACTTATAGGATCTTAAATATATTAGGGTTCAGGTGGATATCGATATGCAGGTGACTCAAAGGGGATTCGTCCATGAATCGGCCTCGAGAGTCTGGGGTATCGTATACTTCGAATCCCGTGACAATATCTAGATTATCTTAAATTATTTACCTATATTAATAAGTATAAGACTGTTGAGGTCTTACTAGGCTTAGGGGAATATAGATATAAGAGGAATAATTATAGATAGGTGATTACTGAGTAATCAATAAGATTAAGGATCTGGTTGCTTGATTATAGAGGTTTCTGATTATTGTGTTGATTGTTGTATTATATTCTTCTTATTCTGTTATATGTTATATCTGGCTAAGAGGGTCTTATTTATATCTAATAGTATTTTTATAATAGGACCTTATTTATTTTACTACCTATACCTCTCTAATTTAGAGAGTAGGTTTAGGCGATTAGAACTATTTTAGTATAGGTTTAGGCGACCTCGGGGTTCTAGGATTATTTACCTAAAATAGGTAAATTTATCCTTGGTTATAGTATATTTATCTTTAGTTATACCTTAGTTAGATCTTAACTAGATCTTAGCTAGATCTTAACTAGATCTTAACTAGATCTTAACTAGGTCTTAACTAGATCTTAACTAGATCTTAGTTAGAGTATTATAGGATAATATTCATAATAAGTAACTTCCTGTTCTTTTATAACGCTGTTTAAACTAACTGGTTAGTTTTTTCTTATTTTATAGACAGTTGTGGTCTGCAGATATCAGATATATATATTTCTGCCGGTAGTTATACGACGGTCGGCCCGCCTCCCAGTTACCCCCTATCAAAAAACTCCCCTTTTTAAAAACCTCACCACAACCTTAATTTACTTATAATTCCTCTTATTTTGTAATCTAGGGTATATAATTACTTACTCTATAAAATATCAAAACCTAAAGTCTGTAGCTCATCGAGAAGGTTAATAGGAATAGAGTATAAAAAGAAATCGGAATAAACTAAAAACAGAAAAGTAGGGCCATACAAAATAAATGGGGTGGACCTGATCCCACCAACCCCCATAGGATAGGGTATAGACTATCCGTCGGCCCTGGTCTTGGCACACCCCATCAAAAAATCACCTACCACAATCAGACCCCTTAGGGTTTTACCCTTCCTACTAGAAATCATCCTATTAAACCTGATAGGAGAATATTTTAGTTAATTCTAATTAAACTTCTAAAAAGCCAGATCGAAAAATATACAGGGTTGACCTACTTAGGGGGGGGGGGCCAAGAAAATCGTGTACCCCCCCCCCTACAGGGCCGGAATATATTTAGGGGGGGGGCAAGAATTTTATGCCCCCCCCCCCCTGCCAAGACTTTTTTAACTATGAGACCCCCCCCCCGGGGCAGGGCCGGAATATATTTCGGATAGCCAATCAATAAAATTATAGGTATAGAAAGGAATCTTCAAGATAGATAGTCTAATACCACTAGTGGGCCGAATTCTGGCCATTTTCATAGTCTCTATGGTTATAGTAGTTTTTCCTCCTATCGCGGTCATAATAAGGACTTTTTACTAAGTGAGGAGTATTGAAACCTTTAACTAGGACGATATCTTAATGATCTGCGTACTAGTATAGCTATACTCTATCTGACATATAATTATGTTAGACAAGCTGGATGAGGAGAGTAAGCTTCCACCGCGGTATGCTATGTATTGCACTGAGAAGGGAGAAGAATCATCTCTGTTGTGCATTTCACATGCTCCTCAGGAAAGTCTCCCCAATACTGTTGTCGATGTCAGCGTCAGGTTTTCCAGTATAGTGCCTGTAAGGCTTTTAGGGGTAGAGAGAGGTTCAACTCACCTTAGCAACATGTTGTCGGATGCGATGCATGTTCTTGCCCGGCTGGATCTGGCCCACCACCCCTGGATGGTCCGACTCGGTCCTCTTGGGCACAATCATGGGTCGTCCGACGAAGCACTCGAGCGTTAGTAGTGCAAAGCCGAGAGCTTCTTTCGCGCCGATAGGGATTCCAATCTCGGAGATAGGGACAATGCGAGTATTGGGCAAGCGCTGCTTTAGGTAGTTGATGATGTTGGGGTTAAAAGATCCACCACCACCCATGTAGATCTCATCTACGCCCCCCAGGTGGACCCCAGCGTTCGTAGGCATCGGCGAGGGACTTGGCTGTGATGCGAGTTATGGTGGCAACACAGTCCTCTGGTGTAGCTCCGCCTGTAGTGTCGCTTTTTGTCAGCCGAAAACCCTATCTCGAATAGTGAAGTCAGACTAACGTTTCAGCATCTCGTCGCAGATATCTTCCGCCATCCGATCCCCGAATGTCTCTCGGCCAGTAGTCTTCGGTATATCGTGCACGAAGTATGGCCCCTGGAGCACTTTATCGACAACAGACTGGTCAACCTTGCCCTTCTGGCCCATTGCACCATCCTTGTCATATTCCTGTTGACTATTGGTAAAGTACCGCACGGCTGCATCGATAAAGACGTTGCCAGGTCCTGTATCGAAGTCGTAACACTCTTCAACAGCGCCTCGGGGTAAGATTGAAAAGTTTGCGATACCACCGATGTTCTGCACGGCGCGGTTAAGCGTCGGGTGGCTCAGTAGGAGGGAATCGAGAGCCGCGAAAAGTGGGCAGCCTTGCCGGCCAAGAGCCATTTCCGACACCCGAAAGTTGCCAAGCGAGGTGACCCCAGTGCTAGCGGCTATGATGGCAATTTCAGCCATGTCGAGATGTGCCCGGCTTTGGTTACCCTCGAAGAGCTCCGGCAGCGGTAGGTGCCAGATAGTCTGGCCCTGACCACCGATCAAGTCGACATCTGTTGTCATGTTGAGATTGTTCTTCTGCGCAAACCAATTGACGGCGTCGCTAATGACCTCACCCAGCTGAATATTGACGATTGCCAATTCCTCGGGCGTCGTAGTGTTCTCCTTGATGAGTCTCATGACTCTTGCCTTAAGTTTTTTAGGCATCGGGTATTCTTCATAGTGCAGGAGCTGCATCTTCAATGGCGTTGTTGGGCTATCCTGAGTGAAATGGACATAAACGAGGTCGACCCCGTCCATGGACGTTCCCGCATTGTGGCCAATGACCTTAAGAGACCTATAGAGGTTCAGCCACATGATCGCAAATTTTTCAAGACGAAGTGTTCTGTGAGCAGTGTGCTTTGCAAGTATAGATACTTACAGTGGGCTGCCGCCGGACTGGTTCAAAGCGGAAGGCATCGTGTCGTCCAGCTTGAAGAATATGTGCAACTTGAGACACAGATCACGAAGCAAAAGATTCTGCTGCGAACAAGCAAACAAGCAAATTCGTATGGTTGACATACTTTATATATCTTTTCGGGATAAATGTCGGCAAAAGAATGCTCCACGTCACGCTCAACAGCGGCTCGGGCTCGGTTCCCTTCCGGAGACAGGTCCGTTCCCACTGCCATCTCCACACTTCCCATCCCAAACTTGTTGGGTCTTTGGCTTCTTGTGAAATCCTTGGACATTGTCAAAGTCCAGATGGACGTGTGGAGAAATCCCCGAACCATGGAAATGCGGGGGCCGAGCGTGGAGCAACATCCCCGGAAGGCAGCTGACTCCGATACACTAAAGATAGGCAAGTTATATCCGGTTCGTTTCCCCACGCCAAGGACGGCGATCTCCTCTCGGTGATGACTGCCTTCCGCGATATCCAGCCTCGTTGAGTACTCCCTTTTCGCCACAGCCTGTCTGGATCGCTAGGACAAGGTTTGCGGAGCTGATTGCCGTCCGGGTACATGGAAATCTAAAAATCCCCCGGACCTGGTCCAGTAAATTACAACGCCTCATCAAATCCTGTCTCAAAACCTATAAATTCCAGTGGGAACCAGGTCTGTCAAATTGCCAGTATGGGATATGTCTCAACTCTTAATCGATCTCATTTATCTCGGACTGAGAGAACACCCTGACCGCGTTCGCATTCCATTTCGCAATCATGGCTTTTCTGCCATTGACCAACTACACAACCCACATGGGCGCATCGGGTCTGAAGCTCAACTTTCTCGTTGCCGGCATTGCGACATGTGCGTTTTGGCTTTTCGGCTACGATATGAGCATCATGGTACACTGCCATTCTTTCGCTTTCCCCAAGAAGAGACCAATGCTAAAAACAAATATAGGGCGGTCTCATTACCGAGGAATCCTTCACGACTGTCTTTACTGAAATGAATGATGCCAATATCCAGGGAATCGTGATCGCCTCTTTTGAACTTGGTGCTCTTGTCGGTGCCCTCGCCTGCTTGGACCTCGGCGACCGACTCGGTCGTCGGCTGACCGTTTGGTTCGGTATGCTATTCATGCTGGTGGGCGGCACTTTACAGACCAGTGCCTGGGCGATAACTCAATTGGTTCTCGGTCGAGTCATCAGCGGCATCGGTCTCGGCTTACAGGTTGCCACGGTGCCGTCATGGCAGTCGGAGTGTGCGAAAGCGCATAGTCGCGGACGCTGGGGTAAGCAGTAGTTCTCCTTTCTCTCAGGTAGATTGCTGACTTGATCCAGTCATGATCGAGGGTGGCTTACAGACATTTGGTGTGGCTTGTGGCCAGCTTGTTGGTTATGGCTTCTTCTTTGTGAAGGGTCAAGCGCAATGGCGTACACCCGTGGGCATTCAGCTCGTTCCAGCCTTGATAGTCTTCGTTTTTATCAATTTTCTTCCTGAGTCGCCCCGTTGGCTGATCAAACACGGCCTGATTGAAGAGGTACGTCTCATTTTTTGCTTACTATATCCAAGCTCCCCTTGGTGGCGAAGGCCCCTAACTGACAGTACACTGCTTGTGTAGGGCACATACAACCTGTCAAAGCTTCGGGCCCTGCCTATCGACCACCCCGAATTGGTCTATGAACGTGATGCAATCATCGCCTCGTTCGAAGCGCAGATTGAACTTGCTCCATTCTCCTACAGAGAAATGCTGGATATGGGAAAGACCAAGACGTTCCATCGTGTGGCTATTGGAGTCTTCATGCAATCAGCGCAGCAAATATCTGGAGTCAATTTGGTCTCGACATACGCCAACAAGATACTCCAGGAGTCGTTCGGCCTCGCAGCCAGCACATCGCACCTCATCGCTGCTATGGGAGGTTTGGAGTATGCTCTATGCTCGCTTCTTTCTGTGTTGCTCATAGAAGGCCTCGGGCGTCGTCGAGCCTTCTTGTGGACTACTATCGGCATGTCTAGCTGCTTTTCCATCATCGCTGGGCTTCAAAGCACGGATTCGCGCACCTGCCAATTGACCGCTGTTGGATTCCTGTTTCTTTTCAATTCCTTCTTTGGTCTAGCCTGGGTTGGAGGACCGTTTTTATACAGCGCCGAAATTGCACCTCTGCGATGCCGCGCCCAGGCTAATGCCTTGGCCAGCGCTGGCAACTGGTTGTTCTGCTTTGTGGTGGTCATGATTATCCCACCCGCTTTCCAAAATATCGGATGGAAGACTGTATGTCTGCTTCTTTGTGAATTTTGCATTGTGTTCTGTGGTCATCCTAACGTGTGTCTAGTACATTATCTTTGCTGTCCTGAATGCCTGCTTCGTACCTATCATCTACTTTTTCCTTGTGGAAACCAGAAAGAGAAGCCTCGAAGAAATTGTGAGTATCGTCGAAGGAGGAAGAGTGAAAATTGAACCTGGGATCCCATAAAGAGATCTAGAAGGCTAATAGTTTCGGCTTGCAGGATGTTATCTTCGCTGCGGGTGGTGACCCGGTCAAGAAAGAAAAGACAATGCCGTATAATATACCTATTGAGGAGGCCCGTAGGATCCTTGGGCTTTCTGAGAGTACCATTATTGCTGAAGTACTAGAACACAACGTGAAGACATCAGATTGAGAGCGTGACTTTTTAGTTGAAAGCAATCAGGGGTCTTTCTGTCGCAATACAGGTTCTCAGTTTACAAAATTGCGTGAGGAAACGCGGGTGCGAAAATGAACTTCAAGGGCCGAATAAACCGAGACAATCCATATCAGATCTCTTTCCAACGGAAAAAGCAGCTGCATACCGTCAGGCATTAAGGAAAAGCCGCAGGCACATGCCTTAAAAAGCACTCAGTAATTTTGCGTGCATCGGATACTTTCCTAACGTGGAGATAAGGGTAGGAATTGAGAAAAGATATAGTAAATTCGCCAAGACTCAATGGGAGTACATCCATCACTAACCTGATGACGACGATGCTAAATACCAGGTGTTGCTTGCTCTGTACATCACTTATCTATGTGAGCATGATCAGCTATGCCCAACCAACTGGCCAAGCATATACATATACATGCCCGGTCGAACCATGGAGATGTCCGTTATATAGGTGCAAAGGGAAAAACCACATATTGCATTTCTCAAATGCGAAACTTGGAATGGTGCATTGAATTACTGTCCTTTTTCCGATCCATTTGGGGGATACCCAGCTAACGAGGACTCAGAAAAATTATGACTAATCCTGGGTCCCCATTAACGTAATCCACCACCGAGCTGGCCACCAAAACCAAACTACAAATTTAATGTATTTATCTCAACCAAAACGCCATAAATTGATAAAACTATCTACCTAGGTCTATCTGGACATGTCTCTCTTCTATGACCTGGCTTCCTACAAATTCCACAACCCCGGGGCGCCCGCGTAGGTGCCTGTGAACCTCCCGAAAGGCCTCCTGGCTAGCCAGGGGGAGGGGCTTTCAGATTCTTCCTCTGACTGTATAATTAATATAGAGGCTTCCAAAAACTAAGAGGCCTTCTTCGGAAGGTATATAACTTCTAGATTAAGTGCGCTTTTACTTCTTCTTCACATTTTCCGCCCGTAAATCGCTTACTTCTTTCTTAAGAAAAGCGGCTGATTACATCATAATTTAACAGGCCTTTAGAACCTGGTTTATTATAGAATTAAGTAGGCTCGGAGGGCTTTGAGATCTTATATAAAGCAATACCTCAATCAAGGAAGCTTGCTTTAGTAATTGAATATAGTTTGAAGGTGTTTTTGGCTCCTACTTACTCTCTTAGCTTAAAGAGGGTGTTGGATAGGCATCGCCATAACCCATTTTGGGTTGGAGATGCCGACCCAAAACCCATTGCCAAGAACCCATTATTAGAGTTCAAGCATAAATATGCCAAGACCTTCCTAATTAGGCTACTTTATACTGGTTTTATGTAATTTTTATGCAAAATGGGTTTTGAATGGGTTATTGGGTTCTTGGCATGCCAAGAAATGGGTTGAAAAATGGGTTATGGCGATGCCTAAACTAAGATTTAAGAAAGACTTTGTCTTTAAAAATTATATACAGAGGGAGCGTCTATCCTAAAGTACTTATACACTCAACTATAGTTATCTACTTATGATTTCTGGGTTATAAAAGTGATTACTGACTAAAGTGTTCAGCCCTTATAACTATCTTTGCAGTCGCTGTTAATCCTATCACGAAACCATTCTCATCAAAGTTATAAATATTGTCGGGGTTGATATATTGAAGGATAGTTTTTTGAACAAGATTAAACTACTTCCTAATAACTTTTGGGTCTTCACACTTTGCGCGTTCGTAGTTATAGCGCCTTGAGAATCAGCTTGAGAGTTCAGAATGTCTTTTTATAAATTTTATAGCCTAATTCTTACCGACTAAATGTTACGGACCCTGCGACACGAGGGGCCGCGACCTACAGATGGGCCACCGAGAGCCAACCGTTCCTAGGAGGGGAACACAGAAATGGATCATGTGACCAACGGCCAGAATCAGCCTCTGATTTGCTATCTCAAACTATACTGCACTAACCTACGCAACGGCTAGCGTAAAGTAAGGACAGGCGTTCTTTCTACTGTCACCAACCTTACGCCAGAAGTATGAATACCCGGTAAGACCATATAACTATAGGGTATACTAGTAGGTATACCAACAGGTAGATAGAAGGGTCGAGTCTGGTATACCACCAGATATACCCTTCGATATACTACACTATAGAGGATTAAGTATATAGGGACGCTTATCTATATATATATATATTTAGTTCTTTATAATTAATTAATCTAAGTTACTGTAATATACCTTTCAGATTACTCTTCTAGTTTTATATAAGTAATAAACCTATATAAGTATAGGGAGCTTATCAGACTGACCTACTTAGCGCCCTATTTAGTATACTCTTTAAAGTTACTTAATAGGACCCGAGCCTGTATAAGGCTTTACCTAGCAAACAGTACGGTTATAAGTCAATACTTAAAGAATCTCTAGTAGTACTGGAACGAGGCTGATTTTAGCCGTTGTTCAGCATTTCACAGTTCTACTATATAAGAACAAGGTATATTTTACCAACTATCAACTACTAACTATATAACTAACTAGAAAGTATATAATATATTAATCACCCTGTTAACATAAAACTATAAAGTTTAATTATTATATTATTAACTAGCAGCAATAGAGAAAAGATACTAGCTTCTATACTACCGCAGACACAGACTTAGCGGGAGGATAATTAGAAAGACTAACAAGAGGCTAAGGTAAACGTCTTAGAGAGATATATTAAGAACCTCACTAATTAACTTAATATATTCAGTCAAGGATATAATTATAATATAAACAAGCTATACAAGTTTATTCAACAGACCGACATACAGCTTAGCATACTATTACCTATAGCACTAAAGCTGCCTAAGGCAGAGAACTTTAATAGAACTTGTTCTAAACTATAAGGGTTCCTTACCTAAATAAATATATACCTCAACGTCAATAAACACAAACTAAACACTAAAGCAAACAAAGTTATCTTTATATCAACCTATCTTCGAGGATAAGTATAGGACTGGCTCGAACTATACGTCTAAGAATATTATAAAAAGAATAAATTAGAATAGTCAACTACCGCATATAATATCTTTTCTAGCTATCTCAAGTTCAGGAAGCACCTAGAAAAAATATTCAGCGACATTAACACCAAGAAAACTGCTAAGCAAAAGCTTAAATAAATCTGACAGATAACCTCAGCCTCTGTATATACTGCAGAATTTATACAGTAAGTAGCTATCCTCGGATAGAATAACTATATATTAATCCTATACTATAATAAAGGGCTCAAGTTATATATCAAGGATAAGCTAGTACAAATAGATAGACCTAAGACAATAGACATACTTATTAATTTCATAGTTTAAATTAACAATCGGTTTTACAACCGATAAATACAGAAATAAGAGGTAGAAGGATAGAGACAAGGCAACAGATACCTGCCTTACTAATGCTTCTAACCTCAACAATAACAGTAGTAACCTAGTCAGAATAGTGATCTGTATAGTCTAAGGCCTATAGAGCTTAATATAGCAAGACTCCTAGACAAAGAACAGAAACATCAGAAAGACAACAGACTCTGTTTTAACTATAGTAAGCCAGGCTATATATTAAGAGATTATTATAGTAAGAAAGATAACAAAAAGCTACAGCAGTTATATATAACTTAGGAACGAGGGGTATACAATACCACCAAAGTAGAAAAAATACAGTAACTCTATACAACTTAGGAAGAAATACAGGATAAGATAGGGAATACCCTAAGAATATTATTACAGAACAGACTAAGATATAAGATAGGTATCCTAAGAGAGACTATAATATAAGACAGAGAGTACTATAGGACAAAACCTAAAAATAATACAACAGAAAATATACTGACTCAGAAGAAAAAGCAGGTCAGAAAGAGTATAATCTAACAGCCTAGCCAGAACTAGATAATAAGCTAGCTAACAGTAAATAAATAAACTAAGTAGGCAGCAGAATAGCCACTACTGTACACCAATAAATAAAAAACAGAGCTAGAATCTAAAATACAGAAGCTTAAGATAATAAGAGAAGCCAGTTAGGCTATAGTCAACTTATAGCTTAAAGAGTATAATAGACAGAAACAGTATCTACAGATTAACCTAGATATAGTCAAAAGTTAAGGATAGACCCGGTATACCTAGAAACCTATTAACTCCCAGAAACTTATAGACCAACCCTAGAAGCAGGGTATATAGGACCTAGGAGCTATAAATAGACTCCTAGAAATACTAGAAATCCCAGAAACTCTACCCTAGCTCCTAGAAACGCCCTATAAGTTTCTAGAAATATCTTAAACGTCCCTAAGATATAAAGAACTTCTAGAAATAGTTAAGGAGCTTCTATAATATTGGATAACCTTACCTAAGAAAGAAATATAGAAAATCCCAGAGACCCTACTAGAGAGATACTAGATAAGCTACTAAGAGAAGCAGAAACTATAATAAGTCTATAAAACTAGTGGTATAGCCCTAGAAGACCCTTATAGGATCCTTTTTAATAAATTAGATAATAATGAAATAATACCGTATATTATCAGTACAGAAGGAATATACCTATGCTATAGAGAGAACTATATCTGTATCAGATATATATAATACCTAGATTATAACCTAAGAGCTATAATTAGATACTATAACTATAAGACTATATGTCTTACTAGGCTCAGGGAAGTAATGGTAGATCAGATGATCCAATAAGAAGCTGTTGGTTGGTAATAGATAGGATGATTGATGTATTGCATGGATGTGTATGTTATTAGGATTGCAGGAGATTGAGATGCTATTTATCCCTGAGGTTTAGCAGGCCTCAGGCCACCATTATTAGTAATTATAATGGTCACACGACAATAAGTCGTCGTAATGTATTAATCATGATTAGCATCGAATAGTAATTGATTATATAGGTTGCCATAGTTAGCACCATAGTCAATTATGTAGGTGGCAGAGTCAATTATATAGGTGGCAGATGGCCAGAGTTGCCACAGCATCCAGATAGTTTGCCACTATCGATCAGGTTCCATAAGGTTCCATAATATATAGGCTATTGCTATATATTCAGAATAACTATAACTATAGAACGTATATATAAGGTAAACTAGACTATAGGGGAATTAAACCTAAGCTACTACAGTAATTATAATACCCAGAGTAGAGATAATAACTTATAGCAACAGTATAGGGGAAATATATAAAGGCAGAAATACTGATCACCTTCTATAGAGAAAATAAGATTAGTATATAAGTTATAATTAACTTAGAAGCCATAGGAAACTTTATAGATTTAAGCTTTACTTTAACTAGCAGAGTACTGACTATTAGAAAGGCCTATACTACTCCTCTTATCAGACTTAATAGGGAGAAACTTAGCGAAGGGATTATATACTATACAGAATAGATTAATATAATTATCAGTAACTATCTTAAACCTATATACTTTGATATTATAGGATTAGGAGGATATAATATAGTACTTAGTATTCTATAGCTATATCAGTATAGCCTAAGAATTAATTAGTAAATAGATAAGATCTACTTTAACCACTATAAATATAAATAAACAGAAACTAGATAGACTAGAAGAGAACCACTAAGTATTAAAGAACCTAGCCCTAGGATAGCAGGTATCTATTATAACCTATATAAGGATAAACCTAAACAGAGTCAGCAGCCCAGAGGTAGGGTATCAGAAAGAATTATAGATATTAACGTTCTTATAACAATAGAATAAAGACTAGATATATCAGACAATAAACTTAAGGAATATATTATAATATATTATAAATTATAATAAGCTCTCTGTATAACAGAGAAAGAAATATAGATACCTAAGAAGTACTATAAGTACTAGGATATATTTAAGCTACCACCAGATAGTAAGCTCCTAGAGTATAGTCTGTTTAACTATAAGATTAGGCTTAAGTATAAGACTATTAAGGTCTTACTAGGCTTAGGGGAATATAGATAAAAGAGGAATAATTATAGATAGCTGATTACTGAGTAATCAATAAGATTAAGGATCTGATTGCTTGATATAGATAATTCTGATTGCTGTGTTGATTTTTGTATTATCTTCTGATTGTATTTTTTATTATATCTGGCTAAGAGGGTCTTATTTATATCTAATAGTATTTTTATAATAGGACCTTATTTATTTTACTACCTATACCTCTCTAATTTAGAGAGTAGGTTTAGGCGATTAGAACTATTTTAGTATAGGTTTAGGCGACCTTGGGGTTCTAGGATTATTTACCCAAAATAGGTAAATTTATCCTTGGTTATAGTATATTTATCTTTAGTTATACCTTAACTAGATCTTAACTAGATCTTAGCTAGATCTTAGCTAGATCTTAACTAGATCTTAGTTAGAGTATTATAGGATAATATTCATAAAAATACTACTATAATAAATCCTACCAGAAGAGACCAGACTTTGAAAAGAAAAACAAAGTATACCTCCTATATCAGAATATTAAAACTAAGTAACTAAGCTTAAAGCTTAACTACCTAAAACTAGGACTTTTTAAAATTAAAGAAAAAACAGGACTGGTTAATTATTGCTTAAAGCTACCAGACAGTATATAATATATCTATATAATATTTTATATCTTATTACTTAAAACCATACTAGAAAACACTAAACTTACTATAAATATAGAAATAGAGAAAGAGACTAAAAATAAGTATAAAGTAGAGGAAATTCTAGATATAAAATATATCAGCAGAAAACCTTACTACTTAGTAAAATAGAAGAGATACAATACCTTAGAGAATATATAGAAACCTACTAAGAACCTAACAGACTACTGCTAGCTAGTTTAACTATTCTACTAGGGGACTAGCTAAAGACACTATCTAGGGAAGAGATATCTAGGATAGCCCAGAAAGTATCTAGTATCTAGTCTATTAACGCTACTAACCTTATCAGACTTAAGTCTAATATAGCAGCTAACTAACAAATCTCTTATTGCTTAGCTAAACGGTTAAATTCAGACAGTTCAGTAAGAGAAGGAGGATTATCCTTATTGAGATAATCTAATACTACTAAGTTATAATCTAATATCTGACTACTATAATCTTTAAAGAATTATTAATACTTTTATAAGTAAAGTATCTTTACTATCGCTTTGTTTATTTTTTAGGAATATTAAAGAAATTATTTTTAGGCCTCTATAAGGTCTACCAATACCTTTTACTCCTCCCGCTATAGGTTATCCTACTCCTTATCAGTATAGAAGCTTTATTTATATATCTAACCTTGACAGATATAGATAGAATACTTCTTACTGTTTATATAAGGGCTTATAATATAATACTTACTATAAATAAGGCAATAATTATAAGGGGATAATATAGGGCAACCAGACTATTTAATTCTAAGAATAAGATGATTATTATTAGCATACTTATTATATTTCGGTTTTTAAACAGTAGGTTTAGGTATAATAGACTATAACGAGAAAATTAAAAATCAAAGAGACTAATACTTACCTAAAGAGGGTAAACAGTTATAAAGGATTCTTAAGGATAAGAACTAAGGAGAGAGAGAGATAATATTACAGACCCTATAATATAAGGGACTATAACCTACAGATAGGCCACTAAGAGCCAACTGTTCCTAGAAGGGAAATACAGAAATAGATTATATAACCAACGGCTAGAATCAGCCTCTGATTTGCTATCTCAAACTATACTACACTAACCTATATAACGGCTAGCGTAATATAAGGATAGGTATTCTTTCTACTGTCACCAACCTTATACCAGAAGTATAAATACCCAGTAAGACTATATAACTATAGGGTATACCAGTAGGTATACTAACGGGTAGATAGAAGGATTAAGTCTGGTATACTACCAGATATACCCTTCGATATACTATACTATAGAGGATTAAGTATATAGGGACGCTTATCTATATATATATATTTAGTTCTTTACGATTAATCAATCTAAGTTACTGTAATATACCTTTCAGATTACTCTTCTAGTTTCACACAAGTAACAAACCTACACAAGTACAGGAAGCTCATCAGACTGACCTACTTAGCGCCCTATTTGGTACGCCCTTCGAAGTTACTCAATAGGACCCGAGCCCGTATAAGGCTTTGCCTAGCAAACAGTACGGTTGTGAGTCAATACTTAAGGAATCTCTAGTAGTACTGGAACGAGGCCGATTTCAGCCGCCGTTCAGCATTTCGCAGTTCTACTATATAAGAGCAAGGTACGTTTTACCAACTGTCAACCACTAACCGCGCGACCAACTAGAAAGTGCGTAACACTAAAAGAACTAGGGTTAATCTGCGCGATTCAAGTAAAAGATTCGCTATTTCTTGAACAGTAGAAGGCCGAGGGGCTGATCCGCGAGAATCTATAGATAGTATCTATTTTATGAGTGATTGCTCTTCAATTTCCGTTAAGCTATGTGAGTTAGGGCGAGAAATCGCGCGGTTTTGTACGCCCCGGAGGCGCGTGGTAAGGGTCGATCTTGGTACTGCGAAGATGCGTGCTGCTTCCCGAATAGAACTAATTTCTTGGTTCTTAATAGCCTGGATACCTAATAAGATCCTACCCTCTTGCTTAATCGAATTTCTAGGGGTTTGGGATCGTTTGGGTGGCATGGTAGGTGGTTGAATTAATTAAGTGCTAATTCATGGACGCGTTTTGGGTGGGGTGGCCAGCTCGGTGGTGGATTACGTTAACTAGTTAGTTAACTAGTAACGAGGGGAACGCTATGCGTGCCATCAATGTGCACGGGTCGATCCAGCATGGAGAATGCCGAGACTACTACCAAGAAGCAGTAGCTAGGGGTCAAATCAGAGAGGTGTAGGAGTCTGTATTCCAATCTAGTCACTGCAAGCGCTATACAGTAAGGACAGGGCTCATAATACCGTAACGGCATACCAGGATAACGTAATGATACGTAAGGACGTGGTCCCCCACTACACTAGTTAGTTAAACTTAGTTAACTATATCCAAGCACAGGTGTGGACGCCAATGGGGAACTAGGATTAGTCATATTTTTCTGGGTCCCCGTCAGCTGGGGCCCAGTCGCTAACTCCACACTTTCTCGTACCTTTGGACTATCCCCCGCCTTTTGCTTTCGCACGGACCAAGAAATCGAAGCTGGTCCGCGTATCCAGTTTGATTCACTCCTAAGTGAATACAAGAAGGATATACTATTTATAGGCAACGACCGGACTGATCTGTGCTCGTAAGATATAACCCACCTTTATACGCAGAATTGCGCCATTAGCACTCTCCAATGCCGCCCTTTCGGGAATCTGTGTCAAAAAATGTGCGAGGGCCGAGCTCGAGATCGAAGCTAGGTAGGCATGGAAACATGAGATTCCATTGTTTCTTCAAACGAGAACACTGACGTTTGATATCAAGCCTGTGATCACTGTCGCAAGAGCCACGTCAAGTGCGATCAATCGCGGCCTTGTTCTTTATGCAAGCGACGAGGGATTGAGTGTACCCTTTGTCAAGAGGTAACCTTCACTCCTCTCGAGTTCAAAGCACACGCAGGCTGCTTGTTAGAGGAATTTGTCTCCTCAAGGACAGTAGATGGCCCAGGTTAGCAATACCTACCGACGATTGCTCTCGCCGTGAGTAACAATTACTGGTCTAACGCCTTTCGAGTACAGTGATTTTCATGGATGAAACGCAAGAGGTTTCCGACCTATATCAAGTCATAGAAGCGAGTGACGATGCCTGGAGCGTCCCAATAGATCAGCACCCGTCGCCACAACCTGCACTATCCGGCCACGCTTCCCCTATCACGGATCCCCTTGACGCCTTTTTCCTCTGTCGATACGTCGACTTCATCGGTCCGCGCTTCGACATGTTCGACGATGCACCGCGATATTTCTCGACAGTCGTGCCGCAGCTCGCTCTAAAAGACGAACTTGTCTTGCTAGCCTGTGCCGCAGTTGCAGCCCGCCAGTACTCCCTCGCCAATGAACAGAATCAACACGATCACGAGCAGGCTTTGAAATACTACAACGCGGCTATAAATCTACTGTCCAAGCGGCTACAAAACAGTGGGCCAGATCCTGCGGTATTTGCGAGCTGTCTGCTTGTAGCTCACTGTGAGATGGTGGAAAGCAGGGCCACGGATTGGGGCCTGCACCTCAAGGGGACAGGAGATCTTCTCAAGATTCATGGTTGGCATGGGGCGAGCAGTGGTTTAGCACAGGCTGTACGTCCTTTCCTTCACGCTGTGATCATTGTTGGCTAATTTCAATTTTCATATACAGTCGTTCTGGATTTACTGCAGGATGATCATCCTTGCCTCCCTATGCTCCGGCAAGCCAGTAGCATTAGGACCTAAAGAATGGATCCCTGAAGGTGTTTTCCCTGATCCAGCAACATGGAAACTCGAATCGTGGCAAAAAAAAGTCGTTTTCCTTCTCGGGACGGTTCATGATTTTTGGAGTCGCACCCCCCTGTGACATCGACGAGCACGCTATGCAATTTCACGCTACCCGATGGAAGGAGCTTGAAGCTGAATTGGTGCGCCACCAGGGCCAAGCGCCAACTGTGTGCTCACCAATCTGTATTCTACCTCCGAATGGCGAGGAAAACCCCTTCCGATCTGTGCATTACTTGAACGGTCCCATGTCCGCTGCATGGCAAATGCTGCATACTGCGTTTCTCATTCTTACCATCTGCACGCCTTGCTCACCGGCGAGTCGCCTCTCAGTGCTCTCAAGCCCCGACGTGACTTGCCAAGCACAGATCTACGCACGCCAGATTGTCGCCAACTCGCTGGCGAATCGATGCTCTATCGCATGGGCGAATGCCGTCCAACTCCTTACAATTGCGGGTCAGTGTCTTGTGGTAGAGCTTGAGCGGCAAGCATGCGTCCGCATTCTACAAGAGATTCAGCAAAAAACGGGCTGGAACACGCGGGCAAGCGTCGATAGACTTGGCGTAGTGTGGGAGAATAGTTGGAGGTATGAGTCCTGTGGGAGGTACTCGGCAGTCAGAAAAGTTGATGTTGGGAAGCTGTTGTATTATACTTGGCTTGGTGAGAAGAGAAGTCCAAAATAGATGAGTCTGGCTCGTATATGGCGATTGACATGTAATCTATCTTCAGGAGACCATACTCCAAAAGCTGATCATGATGGAGAAGATAACGCTGCACGGAGTCCGACTGCCATATACTTTCTTGGATCAATCTGAACGTACGTTCACAAGCGGCCTGGCTAGCTGATCGAAGGTACTGGTCTCGAAGACTATTTACATGGTGGCTGACGAAAGATTGGTCAGCATGATTGTTTACCATCGAGTCGTAGATACCACTGAGGTCGACTGTAGGAATCAATCCTAGAAGGATGGTGTCACAGAGTTCATGTGACTGTCGAAGAAAGTACGCTGGTAACGCACAGAATGCACTCATTGTAACAGAAATGTCCTCCAATGACACCGTATTGCAATCAGAGCTCTAATGATAAAAGAAAGACGGGGGATCAAGTAAAGCTTAGCGTTTTCCAAACGCCCGCAGGGATTAAAATTCACCCAAAGCCGTCAAGGAACCAGGAAGCATATATTGCTGCCTTACCTCCTATATTCAGGTAAGATGGTTCGTGTGGGGTCGACTGGGCTAGTTCAGGTAGGAATACCCCCAGTAGGGTAGAGCATACTCAAGGAAAAGCAGCCGCTGTATATAAATCAGGGCAGAGAGATGCAGTGTAAACAGCCTTGCCGGAAGAAAATAAGCCCTGTTGGAGCTAATGCCTAGAACCCCGCTAAAATAGACCAGTATACTAGACTGCGGATTTCCGTCTGTGAATTCTTACGAGATCAATAGAACACATAACTTGAAAAGCAACTCAATCAGATAACTTGGAAGAGGCTGAAGCGATATAGAGTTTGAAGTATTTGGCAAGAATATAATTAACGAATTATTTCCTTCATCTTTATCACTGTCGGAAAAACTAAGTTCGTCTTGACTCTCTTCACCGTATACTTCTCGAGTTATATTGGGATCAGTTATACTGGCTGTGTCTTTTAGACCTGGGCTTACTTCAGCGGAAGGCCACCAGGAAGATGAATCTCTAGCCACTGCCTGAAGTAAGTTGATCCAGATTTGTCCTAGGACCTAAAGGTGCTGAAGTGGGAACGTAAGCCTCAAAAGCTCCTGATAAGCTAGGGGCCTAAGGCAAAATGCTCGTAGAACGAATGTGACAAACTGTTTCCATATACGCCGGTATTAATTCCGGATTTGTTGGGTTCTGAGGAAAGAAAAAGGACGTGGTGAGGTCTCTGCGGCTATATAACATTTTAGTCAAGCTAGAATTGCTTGTTCAGTATGCTGTATGGTATCCTTACAACAGCCTAGCACTATATCAACGGCCGCGACCAAGCGGTATACATGATCTTCGTCTATATCCGGACTTATAAGCTCCTGGTCTCGGTAAAAACCTAAGTGGAAGCCATACCTGGCGCTGGAACAGCGGGAAGAAGCATCATTCGCTTAAGGATGTCCTGTGCGATCCCTTGGTATGTACTTATCCACCTTGTCCGTTCCAGCTACGGCCGAGTTCCTTAATAAGTATCTATACCCGTGCAGATAAGAGCGTTTCTCTGTTGATCAATGGTTTGAAATCGCCACTCCCGCTGTCAAAGATTATATAGAAAGGCCATATTTGCGGTTGATGGTGAGCTGGATAGATAGCCTCTACCAATATCTTCTGGGCTGTCACTACAGTCAGAGAGCACTACCCAGTATGACTGAGTTGCTGTTGACTGAGTTCAGGTTTGTAAACAGACCGGCGCGTATAGTAGTTCGATCTTTGGTCGTGGAGAAGGTCGGTTGAGGATATATATCTTCGTTATATGCCGTCCTATCAACTCATGGCTTGTGCTAAGGAAGGGAAATTGATAGCATTAGAATCCCGGAAATACCCTCAGGGCAGAATAGCATGGGGATCCATTCGGTCGAGGCTTTGCTAAGCTACCGCTTTTGAATTGGTGTTGAAGGTAATGATTGAGCTTTTGCTGCTCTCTTAGAGGAATACCATGTTTCTTTCGAAAATTAATACTTCCCTGAGAGCCTTCCGTAGATATAGCGTATTGGCAAATTGTGCATATAGCAATATTTTCACCCCAATCCAAATATAAGGGAAGGCAAGGCCATTCGGGGAAAGACGCTAGATATGTAGATGAGTCATCTACATATCCAATTCACGTCATCCGAGTTCCGTACAACTGTATCTTTATATTTATCTTATTAATCAGTACCCTATTTTCCTGCAGGAAAGCCACCTGCTGATAAAGAAGCTATAATATCTTCTGAGGCTGAACCTGCTACTCCTAAGGCTAAACCTACTACTACTAATATCTGTTCTGTCACGGGATTCGAAGTATACGATACCCCGGACTCTCGAGGCCGATTCGTGGACGAATCCCCTTTGAGTCACCTGCATATCGATATCCACCCGAACCCTAATGTATTTAAGATCCCACAAGCATTCAGGATTCTTGATCTTCTCAAGAATCAGTCTCTGTATCGACTGCCCAATCTGATCTCTACCGTCCGATATCCTTGCCTAGTCACAGGTCTCTAGCCTGACAACTTAGTAACCATTACATGTTCCTAATATACCAGATACTTCTGCCTTTAATAAAGCCAATGCTTCAGAGTTTCTGAGAAAGCTAGAGGATATATATAAGTAGAGCAGTATCGTTTATTATACAGTTATTATAGACCTACGTCTTTAATACTGCTTAATAACCATATACAGATAGGTAGAGAGTTATAATACTTAGAGAAATCGTAATTAGCTAATATTCAAGAAAGAGTTTCTAGATAATTATTATAACTAGGATAATAAACAGCTGCAGTATAACCAGGGATACCTTAATAAGCTTGCTAATAGTAATTAGTAAATAAATAATAAGATCAGACAGTATCTGGGCAAGTTCTATAAGGTTTCTACTGAGGCTTTTATACATGGCCAGCTGAGTAATAAAGAACGTATAGACCTACTGCTTAAAGGTCTTCCTGAGAAGTTGTAATTAAAGATCCTGAAGGATTATAATTTGAAAGTATGTTTGTACAGTGATAAAAATATACAAGCAGGTATAAACTTATCTATATATTGAAATAAAGGTTTATCGGAAGATAGAAAGGAAAGGAACAGATATAGTATCTAAGCAGTAGTCAGTATTATAACAGATAAAACTACTGCTACTACTATTATTACTGTAACTGCTATAATTTGATATTGAACAACCTCAAACGCGATACAGTATTTTACGCTTTGTAAGCAAGATGTGCCAGCTACCCTAAATTGTGCTATCCGATATACTATTCCTGATTACCCTCCTAATGGTTTTATTGTTTGACTATTTTGTTGCTTTGCTTTTCGGTCTCTTTATTGACCAAGGATGGTTGATTTCTTAGGGAGGGTGATATGTAGTGGGGGATTCGCTCTGGTGATGTCAGGTGACGTCGTAGGCCTTAGGCCTTAGCTTCATGGAGTATATGAGCCCTCCACGATAATTAACTTACACATACCATCCACCTTTCGGGTCACCAATGTTATTTTCGTTATTCGGATGCACGCTGTGGTATATCGGATATCCATGAAGACTCGAATGTCTTATTAGTCGCATCTCAGTAGGGCACCGCTTTGTCTACTACTCTCCTGCACTCTGCGAGTGTGGTGGTTTTGTCCTCTTGTGTCGCGACAAAGTCACTGTTCCTAGTCGGATATATTGCCTATTACTTGGCAATTATTAATCAGCCTGCTTACCAAAGCAGTAACTTTTGTTAAATAGCTTTTTGCCCCTATCAGGGAATAGACCAGACTTTCATGCAAGCTGCAATACCATTACGAAATGACAACTAGCGGCCTATCGTGGTCGTGAAATCTTGCAATCGACCCGTCTGCCACAGCAGACTGCCAGCGAGCATTCCCATCTTTCAATATATAAAAGAAATAGTCCACCGAAGCGACAGGTAGAGAGAGATCAAGGCATATCCGTGGGTGAGGCTCATGAACTAGGTATTGGTGTTTTATATGCAACAGAAGGTGGTGCGATGGTACCCGGGTCGCCTGTTCCTAAGCCTACGGAGACCGATGACCACCCCACCAGACGTCGATATGCATGTATTAAGTGTAGGATTCCAGGCCATAGGGCCAATTTTGTACATAGATAGATTGAATTGAATATAGAGTTATGGTGGTGGTCTGAAAGCTCTAAAAAATAGTAATAGTCTTGTGGGGTGACGGAACGCTTGTGGTGGCGGAACGCTTGTGAAATACGTTATATTCGACTGTCATGAAATACTTTCTAATGGACTCAGACGCAGTATGTATTTGGAATGAAGCCATGCTAAACGTCGGGTTCATCAATGTTCACGTAGTGGCCTACAAATGCCATGGCACTACACTAAGCGGCAGTCTCAACCTCAACATTCTCACTAGTAGTCTCGGGCTTTTTCTCGGCGATAGGCTCACCGCCGTCGGCCAAGCCCAGTTCGGTGTAGATTTGGAGGAGACGGTTGCGGTCCTCAATGGCATTTCCGGCCTCATCACCGAAGACTTCGTCCATCTCCTCAAGGGTGAGATTCTTGGTCTGGGGACAAAAAAGTAAACAAACAGTGCGCCGATGAAGCAGATGAGGCCAAAGAAGATGAAGGTACCGTAGCCCATGGCTGCTACCATTTCGGGGGTGGCTTGGCCAATCTGGTCGTTATTAGCACTTAGGAAGAGGAAAGGAAGATATGGAAAAGTTCTTACAGCGAAGTTATTGAGCCAGTTGGATGAAGCACCAATGGAAATACCCTTTGCACGCACTCCCAGTGGGAAGACCTCCGCAACAACGACCCAAGCCCCGGGCTAGTGTAATGATAGGCGTCAGTGTGTATCTCTTTCTCCAAGAAACTTGTGTGTAGAAATTGACTTACGCCCCAGGAGTAGCCAAAGTTGACCTCATAAAGCCACACAAAAACGACGGCGGCCCAGCCAGCGGCCCCAGATCTACCAACTGCCCATTCTTTGGCGTATGTTCCCATCAAACCGGCCACAATGATGTGACAAATACCCATCCCAACCGCGCCGGCAATAAGGACAGGCTTGCGCCCAAACTGATCAATATACAGAACAGCAGGGATGGTAGCAAGAAACATGAGAATACCGCCGACACCACTAGCAAGCAGCGATGTGGTGTTTCCCGTGAGACCAAGATCCTTGAAGATGAACTAGGAAAAGTTAGCACAGTCCATGCCAGTGTTGTCACGGGAAAGGAGGAAATTACAGCCGCATAGTAGAGGATTGCGTTGACTCCAGTCCCTGTGAGAAGAATAAGATTAGCCACTGGGTCCAGGGATGTCAGGTTGATCACGTACATTGCTGGAAAACCATAATGAAGACTGCAACGACGACTCTCTTGAAGAGGGACCTATTCGTCAGAAGACTGAGATATTGATGATATCCCAGTTTAATCTGGTTCATGAAGCCAGGCTCGTGGTATTGAGGAAAGCGAGCCTTCGAGGTCTCGATTTCAAAGCGATGCTGTGCCTTCACCTCCAGGTATTCGAATTGGACCAGATCATGGTCGGTAGGCAAACGTCGAATCTGGGAAATGACAGCAAGACTTTCCTCCTCTCGTCCCTCCGTCATGAGCCATCGGGGACTGGGAGGCATGAACATGATACCAATACCAAGTCCGAGCGCGGGAAGGATCTGAATGCAGATTGGAACTAGCCAAGCGGCCTTTGACTGGCCTGCGCCGGTGCCGCCAATGTAGTTCGTTCCGTATCCTAGAAAGAAATGAGCGACCAGCTTGTAAATTTGTGATTCATAGCTAGCTTACCGATCCAGTATGAGACCATAATCCCGAAAGTTATCGCCAGTTGTTGAAGCGATACCAGAGATCCTCTCAGTTCCGCAGGGGCCAGCTCCGCGTTGTACCTAAAGGAGAAATTAGCGGAGTATTGAAAGTGCTTAGCAACGGTAAAGCCTTACAGAGGCACAATCATAGACAGGGTGCCGACACCCATACCAGTCACAAAGCGACCACCGAAGATGTACGACGGACCTGTAGCACAGGCCTGAACGATAACGCCGAGGAGGAAAACGACGACACCGCTAACAGTCGCCAACTTACGTCCAAGCCGATCAGCGAGAATACCGTTGATGAGAACGCCGACCCAAGCACCAAGTTCAAGAATACTATTCACTTGTCAGTCAACCGAATTGCGATTATGACACAAAGTCCGTGGGTAGTCTATATGTACGCCGTCAAAAGCCCCCTCGTTGTCGTGTTGGAGATGGAATTAGGATGCACTGTCTCAGAGAAGGAAGCCATGTTCAAGATTTGGCCAAACATTCCTTGATTGTCTTTGGTTTTCGATTAGTACAGAAGATGGCAGTCGGATAGATCAAAACAGAACTCACAGCCATAGACAAAACCGCCGAGGGAGGCGAACACAGCGATGGCGAAAATTTTAAGATTCGAAAGCAGACCTTTAACTCCAGACGGCCCAGCGAGCTGGGCACGTCTTTGGGAGAGAATTTTATCTCCTGAAGCAGTTTCTGCGACCATTTTGAACAGACGGACGGTTTGGGCGAATACATCTTGAGCTCGGCGGCCGCATTTATAGACTCAAACTGATTTCCGTATCGTTTGCCCCTCATTTACCTTGATTGGGGGAAGCGACACAGAAAGCACCAGTCAGACACGTTTCAGAATCCAATCTGCCTAAATAGCTTCCTAGCTAGCCTAACAGTAAAATCTTGACTATCGGTTAGCCATTACAGCCTAGCGGCTGGCTAATCCGGCAACGCTTTGGAACGTGGATAATATTACGGGGGGTGGTCCCATCGCCCGATTGGACGCTATGGGCGCGTGACTAGTACAAATCGACCGCAAATACGAGCAGCCATAGGTAGTATGGGATCTTGGAGCTGCTTCAGGGGCTTCTCAGGTGACTTGTAGTGTATTGAGGCTAAATGTGCAAATAGCTGAAAACTGTTTGTGCCTAAATTTGGGGACTGAATCTAGAGGATAGTTTTCGCTAGCCCAAGGGATAAGTACCGTAACTAAAATGATGAAGGTCGGATGACAAGTTAATACTATTTAGAATTCCAATCACAAAGCTAACATAAATTCCATTTCAAAAAGAGATTCCAGAAATATTTTACAATTCAATATGACTTTGGACATACTAGATACTTCGTGAAGAACTTTGAAAATTTTCAGGCTCTCTGTATCAAAGCATTGTGCTTTATATCTGGCTTGTGCTTTTCGTCTTTCGTGCTTACCCTCGGGTTCTGCAAATCCCACGTATGATTACTGCGTACTGTATACACCCCGTACAGTACTGTGGGTATTATTCTACATAGTGGGCAATGATTATGATTACGAATGTATACACAGGGCACAACTAAGCAAAGCCCCATTAGAGCGGTACATTCGGGATTTTTGTTAACATACCGAGTGAAATGCGGGAATTAAAATGCTCGACTAAAGGAAATAATTGGAAACATCGTTGAAATTCTTCAAGTGCTACCCGCATACCTTGTTCTACTACCCCTCTAGAACGTACTCGTCCATACTAACGGCGGCTTGCCGCCTTACCTTTCGCTCGGATCAACTTTTTGTTATTTTCAATTTATCCGTAGCAGCTCGGCACTGCGGGGCGCTCACCCTGCAATACAGAAGTATAAAAATCTCGAGGAAGCTTGCCTCCATCTCAGGCCATTCACTCATCTTTCAGTTCTTCGTCTACTTGCAGGACAGATTCAAGATGAAGTACTCTTTGATGTTAGCTGGCGCAGCCACCACGACCTTAGTCCAGGCAAACCCCTCCATCTCTCCGCAGCCTCTTTCCTTTCGTACGACCCTTACTGTCAATACAGCTAAGAGGTACCAGAAAATGATCGGCGGAGGATGCTCTGGTGCTTTTGGTGCTGCCTGCCAGACCAACTCCCTCTCGACAGCCGACCAGCAGACGGTGGTCAAGACACTTTTCGATGAGAATCTTGGTGCTCTCTCCATCCTTCGTAACATAATCGGATCCTCCGCTGGAGCCACCATCCTTTCTGAGTGCCCTTCGACCCCTGCTGGTCCATTCAACTACTCGTTTCCCACCTCCAGCAACGATAGTTGCCAGTTGACTCTAGCTCAAAATGCACTTCAATACAACCCGGACCTATTCCTGTATGCGGATGCCTGGTCTGCCCCCGGATGCTTTAAGACTACCGGTCAAGAGGCTGGCGGGGGGTACCTTTGCGGTGTACGAGGCTCCAATTGCACCGAAGACTGGCGTGAGGCGTATGCGAACTACTTAATCGAATATATCAAGCTCTATGAGCAGCGTGGTATCAAGGTGTCTATGCTAGGCGCATATAACGAGTATGTATAGTGCACCCCTTTGAAAAGTTGTGCCGAAGAAGCTGATGAATTTGCAGGCCTGATTTCAACCCTTTCACCTACTCTGCCATGTTGTCCGATGGGTACCAAGTTTATGACTTCCTCTCAGTCCTCTACCCTATGGTAAAGAGGGCGTTCCCCAACCTTGCCGTGTCCTGCTGTGACTCTACTGGTGCCCGTCAACAGCGCGATCTCCTGTACGAGCTCGGTCGCCTAGGCGGGCTCAATCTGTTCGATATCAACACCTACCACAATTACCAGTCCGATATCAAGGTGCCTTTTCAAGATCTCCTACACAATCAACCCACCATCGAGATGGAATGGAGTGACGGCGGCTCAACATGGACTCCTACATGGGACATCTCAGGTAACAACTTCGAAGGCTTGCAATGGGCTATCTACATGCACAACGCGTTCCGCAACAATGTCGCCGGCTGGTCCCACTGGTGGTGTGCCTGGAGTGGCGGCGATGCTGCCCTTGTCAATGTTAACGGCGACTCCTACCAAATTGCTGCCCGCCTCTGGGCCTTCTCTGGTTACTTCCGCTTTGCGCGCCCGGGCGCTGTGCGCATCCATGCTGAGACTAGCGTCGAGGACTTGTATATCACTGCTTGGATGAACACCAATGGTACCATTGCCATCCCGGTCGTCAATGCAGCGCACTATGCATATACACTGGATGTGCAGCTGTCCGGCTCGAAGGTTTCGCATGCGGTCGCATACTTGACAGATAATGAGCATAATGTGACAGTGGATAATGAGTTCACATTCAAGGAAGGCAGATTCACAGCCCAGATTGAGCCTAGGGCAATGAAGACATTTTTTCTAGACTTCTAGTGAGAAGAAAGAAGAAGCGAATTGTAAACTCTCCTAGCTGTGATAACTTGATTTATTCCTTGTGACCCTAGGTGTCCATCTACCTGTTTGTCTAAAAAGTTGAGATAGTTTGCATGCGGGACTCTGTATTTAAGCGCATATTTTCCTTTGCAACGATTGTACAGTTCTGATGGTATTTATAAGTATTTAGTCTGTAATAACCATTAGCTAAATATGAATTGAGGCAAAGATAAACGATTTCATATACATACCCTTGCGACGGGAGCGGAAAGCACGAGCGGAAGCCTTGTTGCGCCGCTGGCAACACAGCTGTGTATAACTTGCCTTGGGGATCGGAAGCTCAATCATGTGGAAGGTGCCTGGCCTGAAGCCATGAAACCAAAACAGGCACCAAACGCTCTTGAACCTATTCTCAAGTCCCAAATCATCCTCGAGGACAGAGCGAGACGACCATGACACACCTAAAAAGGACGGTCATTATATCGGTGGCGTATGCCATGTTCCGTATCGGGTACATGCCCGCCTTAGCACATTTTCAAAAGATTTCACCTCTGGTTGGACACTACCTGACGCAGTGCTGATCAGAGTTGTTTCCCCTATTGAAATTTAAAATATCTGCCATCTGGCATAGTGTGAGCCTAGTCGGAACTAAAATTGGAATACATGATCGGCAAACCCGGCAGCGCATAGTTCTCCCCAGTTAGGAAATGATGATCAAGCATGAACAGCTTAGACTGTAAACGTATTTAGATAGAGAATGAGACCCAGGGAACTCGCCTGGATATCAACGTCTTTATCAATTTATCAATTCATTTCATCAGTATTCCGTTGATATGCTTCGGCCCACAAACTTCTCCTTTGGCGGGTGGCCCTCGCTTCAGCGATCCGCCCTACAAAGGCAACGGGCAAGATTGAGTGGAATGCGCCATGTCCGGCAAAGAACCGTACTGTCCCTATGACCTGTGACACACTAGAAATTGCATTAGACTACGCCGACCTAAGCTCCAGCAAAACTTTGACTCTCCAGCTCGCCAAGATAACTGGTACTGAGAAACCTAACAAGAAATCAGTTCTGCTAAGTTTTGGTGACCCGGGAGAGAACTCGTTGACAGATTTAAACAACAGTGGAGCTGAGCTAGAAGTGTGAGTTAGAAAGTGTCAGGTTTAGCTCATTTTTACTAATGTCTCGCATAGTATCTTCGCCGGCCATGTCGACCTCATCGCCTTTAACACGGTATTTCTCGAGTACTGATCTAACTAGTTCAAACTAAATCAACCGTTTTTAGAGGTGTTGGAAATACTTTGCCGTTTTCCTGCTATAACAACACGGCCGAAAGTATGAATGCACCCATGGAAGCGACGATCTACACCAACGCGTCTGACACAGCCGTGGCTTCCGCTTGGGCGGCGGCAACAAATTATGCGAATACGTGCTGTGCGCGTATGAAAAACATGGGCGATCTTTTTGGCACGGCGTTTATTGCAAGAGATATGATGGAGATCGTTGACGCACTCGAAGAGGATGGCTTGCTGCACTATTGGAGTAAGTAAGTAGGCGACATCAGAGAGTCGGCTAACAACCTACTAGGCTTCTCATATGGTACAGTTCTAGGAGCCACTGTTGCAGCCATGTTCCCATATAGGATGGGCAGCGTAGTTCTGGACGGTGTGCTAAATCCGTACGAGTATTGTCACGGATAGTAAGCAGTGTTATCCTTCCTTCCCAAATGATATTCTAACAACCACATTCAGCGACAATCAGCAGCTAGCTCGTACCGACGATATTTTGGACGGATTCTGCTCTTCTTGGCTCGAAGCACCTAAGCTTTGTCCACTCTCGACAATAGCTTCTTCAGGAATCCCGTTAAAAGAGAAGCTATACAAGATGCTGGACTCCATCAAATATCACCCCATCCCGGTCGGAGCATCTCTTCTGGATTATGTTAACGTGAAAGGCATGATATTCAACGACTTATATAATCCAGTCGACTGGCCGACCTTATCCAACCTGCTCTTCTCCGTAATGACCCGTAATGTGACCGCCTTGGTTGAATTTATGGCGGCCCAGAGTGCCAGCACGGCCACCTCCCAGGGTTCGCTTCAGGGAATCAAGTGTGGCGATAAGATGGTACGATCACCTAGCTTCGATCATGCTAGGTTTTGAGAAGGCGTATCATACGAGCCGCAAGACAGGCGACGTCAACGTCCACATCAATATGGAGTGTGCGCAATGGAAGAAGTGGGTTAAGGAGCACTACATGGGCGACTTCAGGGTCAAAACTCACAATCCAGTATTGCTAATTGGCAACACCTGGGACCCGGCGACACCTTCTGTGTCGGCACAAAACGTGAGCAATGCGCTAGAGGAGAGCGTTCTTCTCCGACATAACGGATAAGGGGTATGTATCTTCGCTTGTTATATTATTGTCCCATATTGACGCAGAGCCCACAGCATACCTCCGCTGCCCAACCATCTTTTTGCACGGGCACGATCGTCCGGGGCTATTTTCTGCACGGAACACTGCCCCCGAAAGGAAAGGTTTGCCAACCGAGCATTCCGCCATTCTCTAACGAGGACTGGAAGAGCGTATTTCTGCAGCCTCGGGTCGTCGGCGGACAAGAAGCGGTTGCGATGAAGGCGTTCATGGGGCTGCGTCAGAAGATACCGAGCCGGAGGCACGTCTAGTTTGATGGCATGCGCATGCAGCAGATATAAATGATTGTATGATATCCGTGAATACAATTTATATCAAAAGCTACTGTCCACACCAGGCAGTGTGTGTAACACTGCCGAGTAGCTCTTCCGAACGGGCGGCTTTTCTTCAGATAGCAATATTATTTTGGTCAATGTTACTATCAGTAATTCCCATAGAATAACAACAAAATAAAACAAATTATTCAACCTCAGACTATCTAATCGCAAGCCTTGAATAAATTCTGTAAGTACGTTCAATCGCGATCAACCTCTTCTTAGGGCTATTCTAACCCGTTGTCTTTCAAATACAAACAAACAAAAGCACGAAACTAAAAGCAATCGGTTAATAAGGCTTATCTAGTACGGTATCTACTTTACCTTGTACAGTAACTAAGCGACTTTTACTTAGTATTATACTATAGTAGAAAGAAATTATAATTTAGAATTCTATACTCTATATCAAACTCTTTAAATATACCTTCTTACTAAAGGCTGTTACTTATTAATAGACGATATACTTTTCGATACAGACTAAAATTTACATTATCTCTATTATCCTCTGATTTAAGCTATAAAACCTAGAATCAAAGGCTATAGGTACATTATACTACTGAGGATAATTTATATTTTGAAAAGAATAGAGTTACCCGAGGCAGAAAAATCAGAATTAAAGTCAATAATCGGGGGGGGTTACCATTAGCAACTCTGGGAGATACAGTCTGATAATGAAACAAATCAGCCTGGAGCTACATACATTATTTCCAGAAATCAGTGTCACCCCCCGCACGCTTTCATTGTTCCTCAAACCCTAATTGCCAAGATACACTAGACCTTCTTAAGCAAGAAATAAGAATACTAATTTTCCCTTTTTTATAAACTGGAAGACGCGTGCAGAGCGCGCGCGTCGGCCCCGACACGATCAAAATGAAGTGATAAGAGGAGAGGCCGAGAAAGGGCAAATCTGCGAGAGTATAGATGGTAGCATACCAAATCACTCGGATGTGATTCATCAATACTGCAGGTGCTTGATCTGTTGCATGTGATTGTATAGATGGAGGTTCTCTGCTTAATCTGCTAATTTGGATCGGTCTTGATCGGTTCTTATAAAGTGGTCTAATTGTCACCATAATATACTAAAGGGAATAGTTGAGGTCATAGCCGGGCTCGGCCAGCAGAAAATATGATTGGACTGGGTCTACGATAAGAAATGGAGAGATCTGCGAGGGGTCCTTCACAGCTACTTGGATCTGTCAAGGACTCTGCCACGTTGTGATGGCATCCATGACGGATTGTTGTTGGATGCGAGTCAGATGAATGCTGGCACCCTCAAAAGCTGAAGATGCGAAGAGCATCCACCATAAGAAGCGGAGAGAGAAAGGACTCTATTTTGCCTTGAGCGGTTGGAGGGGGAAATAAAGGGGCTAGCACAAAGTGTTTCAAGCGAAAAGAGAACAAAAATAAAAAACCATTGTGCTATATATCTAACACGCCCAGTATGCATGTCTCGGGCACAGTATTGCAACAGAGATATATGATCGTAGTCTCAAGCAAATACCTCATATTGGGCTCTCTTATTGCTGGATTTTAGCATAGACAAAATGTCACCCACGTGAAAAAGATTGCTAAATCAACTATATCCAATCCCATAAATTGCACAAGAGACCCAGAGCTTAGGCGATTATCTGCACCTCTGGTTTCTCGTACGATATCGACTCGTTCTGGCCTGCATCAAGCCCATCACTCTTGTTAACGTTGTGTGCCACCAAGACATCACCATGCAGTTTATACGCCATCTCCATCTTCCAGAAGAAGGGGCTCGGTATGGAAAATAGTGCTTCGATGGATTCCAAGGAGCGGTTGCGGGTTTCGGGGTAGACTATAACGATGATTAGTTCTGGTCCATCTATATCCTATGTCGTAGCACCAACGTACATAAGTAAATGATCGGAATCCAAATCAAGTTGAGAGCGGCGAAGAGGAAGTAGGTGCGGCTCTGTGTGATAGGGGTCAGCTTCGTCTGCTACAGGATCAATTATGCAACTTACCGCCATGGTTGCGAACATAATAGGATTGACCAGCGTAGTCATGCCCACGCCGATAGCCCACCCAGTGATACCAAATCCATTACCCTGAGCTCGCAAGTCGCTAGGGAATATCTCAGTGGGAATCAAGAATGCGACGGTACCCCACGTTGCAGCGTAACTGAAGAGACCCAGAGTTAGTATAGCTGTACAGCTGAAGTTGAACCGGTCGCCTTACGCAATGTTAAACAAGAACAACATGATAATGGCCCCGGGCGCATACTGCGTAGCCTTATTAGGATTATGCAAAGAGGCCTCGTAGATAGCTCCAGCCTGGCCGACAGTTAGAGATAGGTATCGGAATTGCCATATGAGTAGAGACGTACAATTAGATTGACAGCAAATAGCATCGCCGATCCACCCATTAGACAGACACGGCGACCTAGGCGATCAACAATCTGAGCGCTTATTATGGTACCGATGATGCCAACCGTGTTGAGTCCCCCGGCTAGACCGTTTTGCTTGATGGTGTTGTATCCAGCCTGGTGCAAGAGAACTGGAGAATACGCAGTGACAGCCTGGATTCAAAAGTTAGAAACAATCGCAAGGCAACGCTGACTGGGATGCACATACTGTAATTCCTGTCCAGGAGGCCATGATCTGAAGCCAGACACACAGCCAAGCTCGTCTGCCTAAATTCGGATGCCGCTTTCCACCTTTCCCGAGTAAGATTTTTGCAAATTGGATTGGAGAGCTGGTCTGGCTTCCCTCCGAAAGGGTAACAATCTCCAAGTACTCCCGATCAATTTCGTCTGGGCTGGCCCTATCCTTACGAAGGCGCTCCAACAGGTCACGTGCCTCTTCATTCCGACCAACTGAAGCGAGATACCTGGGACTATCCGGCAGCATCTTGATACAGCAGACGAGAATCAAGGCTGGGAAACATTGGAAGGCAAGTAAGAACCGCCATCGTACATCCGAGTATCCGTTATCGATGAAGGCAAGACCGAATGAGATCCAATAAGCGATTGATATCCCGAGATCTGGAAATTATCCGTTAGCAAGTCATGCAAGAATGCTTCGAGGGTCTCCTACAGTTTGCAATAAACACATATCCCAGAAATCCGCCACGGTGATTTGCAGAAGAGGTTTCCGACACTAAAACAGGGGTGATGCCGGTCAAGGCTGCGTCATCATGAGTCAGAACAATATTGCACAATCTACCGCTACATAAAGAACTCACCTCCAGTACCAATACCCGTTATTACTCGAGCACAGATCATGAAGTCCGAATTCTGAGCGGCAGCCTGTAATGCGCCGCCGACCAAGGCAAACAATGCTCCCATCAGCAGACCATTGATTCGTCCCACTCGGTCTGCCAACCACCCTCCAGCAAAGCAGCCGAATATGGCACCCAGGTAGTAGACGCTAACGATTCCACCCTGGTGCGTCGTGTCTGTCACAGTGCCGTCCGGTTTCCCAATGCCGACTTCAGTCACGTATTTGGGTGAGGCATTGACGCCGCCCATTACGCCCTGGTCATAGCCTTCGAAGAAGATGGAGATGAGAGAGAAAAACTGGATAGTGATATTAAGCTGCCGCGGTGAGAGCCGCCTCCAAAGCGTCGTATAGCCCATCTTTGCCGTTGTCTCTCTGCCTTAGTTCAGACGCATTTGAATTATCGAGGGCTCACAAGTCCTTATATAAGGTGGAGCATCCGCCCCCAGGGCCTTCCCCGGGCGATCGGAATGGAGTTTATTCTGGAGAAGCTCTTGAGTGACGAATATTCGGCTCTCGTTTAGACGCGTAGCCGTTTATCAGCATCTGCTGAAGTTTTGAGCCTGTTTCTCTATACTCTATACTCGGCCTTGGCAGGTGGCGGTGGCAGTGGCAATGGGAATGGTCAATAACCGTTTTGCCGTTTAACATTTAACCGATGCAATAACCATTTAGCATTGTTGCCGTTAAGGTTGATTGGAAATATAATGTTCATAGCGCTAGCGATGTGTTCTCCACAATGTGCCTATAGGCCTTAAGCTGTCTGTTAAATACCGCCTAGTCCTCGTTAACTACTCTCTGCGTACAATCCCACACAAGTATTAGACACTCCTGCGTGAATCAAAACCATGAGTCCGGATGTGGTCAACGGCAATGCTATCCATGCCTTGGATCTGACTGTCCTCGGCCTGAACAGCGGGACGTCAATGGTGAGTGCTCTGGCCTAATTATCATAAGAAGACGAAACTCACGGTTAGTGAAGGACGGTATCGACTGTGCCCTTTGCCGTTTCCGGCAGGAGACCCCTGAGTCGCCTATGCACTTTGAGCTGCTGAAGGTAGATAGATACTCTCATCATTCATACGAAAACATCTGACGCTGTATACAGTATGGCGAGATCCCGCTGGAGGCGGAAATCAAGAAACGGGTTATGAACATGATCTTGCACAACAAAACCTCTCCGTCTGAGTTGTCAGAAGTCAACGTCATCCTAGGCGAGACGTTTGCGTCGGCAGTGCACCAGTTCTGCAAGGACTTCAATGTCGACATTGACTCGATTGATCTCTTGGGCTCCCACGGCCAGACGATCTGGCTGCTCTCTATGCCCGAGCCAGGCGAGACTCGAAGCGCATTGACGATGGCCGAGGGAACATTCCTGGCCTCGCGCACGGGTATCACCTCAGTGACAGACTTCCGTGTGAGCGATCAAGCTGCCGGGCGCCAAGGTGCTCCACTGATTGCGTTTTTTGATGCGTTAGTGCTACACCACCCGACCAAGTTACGTGCTTGTCAGAACATCGGTGGCATCGCAAATGTGTGCTTTATCCCGCCAGACACCCACGGCGGTGTAAATGAATGCTACGACTTTGATACTGGCCCAGGCAATGTTTTCATCGATGCCGTGGTGCGCCATTACACCAACGGCGAGCGTGAGTATGATAAAGACGGCGAGATGGGTGCGCGTGGTATTGTTGACCAGGAGCTTGTGGACGACTTCTTACGCCACCCATACTTTGCCCTGAGATCCGCCGAAAACTACGGGCCGCGAGGTTTTTCGGGACACGCTCGCTCATGAACTGATCACCAAAGCGGAGACCAAGGGTCTTAGTCCTGACGACGTTGTGGCCACTATCACCCGTGTCACAAGCCAGGCTATTGTGGATCACTACCGTCGCTATGCCCCGAAAGACCTAGCGATTGCCGAAATCTTTATGTGTGGCGGGGGCGCGTATAACCCTAACATCACGTCATTTATCCAGAAGCACTATCCCGACACTCGCATTATGATGTTGGATGATGCCGGGATTCCCGCTGGTGCCAAAGAGGCCATCACCTTCGCCTGGCAGGGTATGGAGGCTGTGGTGGGCCGCTCCATTCCTGTTCCCACGCGCGTCGAGAATCGTCAAGAATATGTGCTCGGAAAGGTGTCTCCGGGCAAGAACTATCGCAAGGTCATGCGCCAAGGTATACTTTTCGGTGCGGGTCGCGATCATCTCTCCCCAGTGAAGGAGCTGGTCAACTATGTCGATGGCAAGGTCTTCAATAACAAGTGTTAAATAGATATCTCTTGTGGAGGAAAGGAAAAATTTTACCTATAATTACTGCTATTTCCGTGCACGGGAAGGCAAGATACATTGCATAGAGACTGTGCATAGGCTACATATCATATTGATGGATACACGAGCCATTGGATTCTTTTGCAAGTCTCGTCTATCCACCGTAATAAAGACAGATTCCTCCCAATAAGGTTTATGACATTTAGATCAGTATTCCAGTCGAAGCACTGCTCACCTCATTGAATCCGAGCACGCTCTTTTACCATCAGCTGTGTTGTCAATCCGACAACAGTAGACAATGTTGAAACTACCGCCGGATATGTGTGTCCTTCCAGGATGTTGCAGGATATTGCATTCATCGAAGATGGTGGACTTGTGGCCTGGAGCCTGGTCTAGAGCAACCCATGACGCCGCCTGCGGTATTCATCAATCTCCTCTTCCTTCTGCTTTATAAGAGTTCTTTAGGATACCATCGGGCCAGTTATCCGGTGGTTCGTACCAGTATTTCTGGGTGTTTCTAACCCCGCTCCTGAAAGTGATCGATTGAGATATGATACTGGCGGATTCATGGAAGGGCTCAAAGTCAAAAGGGAATGATCCGGGACGGACTGTGTTTGTCACCGAGCCCAGGGGACAATCTTCCTTTTGGCGGCAAGTATTGCACAGGGAATAACCTTTCACGAAGTGCCTAAGCCAGTCGCCCTCGCCGCCCAGAATGAAACTAATCGAAGGCCAAAGGCAGAAATCCCTCCGTATTATAAGAATCCAACGGCCATGGCCAATCCGTGAGCAGTTCTGGTGGTAGCTGAAACTGAGACATCTGATCGACGCCAGCACCAGGCGTGGTTCTGATTGCGGAGGCGTTCTGTGCATACGCTGACGGGATAGCGGCTTCTGGTATTCCGTTGATGACTGGCATCGCGTTACTTGTTGCGGAAATGTCTAGCAGAAGTGAGGTCCGCATGTAACAGTCTATTCGATCAACCTGGGCCCGCAGTCGTTCACCAGCGTCAGAGGCTCTTTGTGAGCCCGTTTCGAGACGTTGTAAGAGATCGGCCATTTCAAGACTATAGGCGAAGTAAGAAATCAGCTAGGATTCACGGTATCATCTGACTTCCGCTCCATCGTTTTTAACGTACAGTAATGTGCGAACTCGTGTGTAGGATGCTTCGGACAAACTCCCTTCTATGACAGAGCCGAGGATGTAGCCAATTCCGCCAAGGTGATGGAGCTGGGGCTGATTAGTACATGTACCAAGAGAAGCATGGATACTGCACATACCAAAGGGGAGCTGATCGCTTTCAAGTACTCGATGGGCACATTCGAAAATACGTTAAGTACTTCACCCGCGACATCACATTTTCGCTCCACCCCAATTCCCTCAGCAGACAAAAGCACCATTCGAAGGAGTTGTAGCGTCGCCTGAATATTGGCTGACTGAAACCCGAATAAGTCCTTAGACATGTCTCCTGTCATTGGCGGCGTCTCGCGAAACTGCGATGGGAGTGCGGAGTACATAGTCAAGACTCGATCCATGACCGCCGACTCTGATATGGATATTGGATCAAATAGTGACCACACTTGTGTTGTCCCGTTAGCTGACGAGAAGCGACGCCTATTGCCATCGACCACATACTCAAGAATACGGTAGAGGTCTGTGGTGAAGTTCCAACCACGCAGCCAGGCCACGGGCTGGCGAGAAACGATGGTCACGTTGCTGGAGGAAAGCGAATTCGTTTCCGGTGATAAAGTCGGCACGCCATAGCCGTGAATTGTGATAAATTCGTCGTCTACTTCGGTAGGATAACGCACCAAGGAATGGGCCTCACGATATCGAATAACGCCTCCCCACACAACAGTCGAATATACGTCCAGCGTGTAGATAGACCAAAACTAAAGATTTAATCAGTCAGGCGGTACTAGATAAAGGGTATATGCCGTACAAGCCGCCGCCGCTCCTCCGTCTCAATCGGACTCAAGACCTTTGGCCAGAGCTTTTCATCATAGAGGCCATCCATCGAAATCAAGGTGTGGTATAAGCCGGAATACTTCTGCATATTTTTGATCTGGCCGTTTTGGATGCTGGCTATAGCAAGCATAGCACACGCGCGCATGTAGTGAATGCCTTTGGCTGCGATAAGGTCCCGAGGAATCGAGTCTCGAGCAGCAGCAAAGAAAGCCTCGGAGGGTGGATCTATTAGATCTTCTCGCTGCCACCGATTACAGTACAGCGCACCGTCACGGGCACGACCGGAGGCCAAAGAGCAAACAGCCATCGTGGACGCAAAGAGCCCTTGGTTGCGGAGGTGCTCCTTGCTGTTGATCCGCTCAATGAATGACGGCATGTGGAACAAGGGAAATCTAGATATGGTAATTTAAGTCAAACAGTCACCCAGAAAAAAACAGGGATCGATCCATCATACATTGGATAGACGGTCTCGAAATACACCTGGACTAATTTTTTTATTTGCCGGTCACAGGCAATGGCAAATACTTTCCAAGAATTGTGCAGTGTCACATCGCCGTCATCACTCTCGGCTGTGGACCAGCCATAGTCAAAGGTAGACCAGAGATCGCCGGAGATCGATGGACGATACGAACTGCGAGAAATCGATGAGCCAGAGGCTCTTTCGCCACTCGCAGTCGCTGCAGGCGCGGGAATACCATGGTCGCCTGATACCCTCGCGTACTGAGTATCGCGACCACTCACTAGAGACCCAGCCTTGACGCCCCGGCGTTTTGCGGGGCGATCAAAGGTGCATGGAACATCGAAGTCCGCACAATTCTGACAGCGACCTAGCGGGTCCTCGTTTTGGCGGCATTTGATGCCGCGTCTATTGCAAAAATCGCCTGTATTGGGTTGCATAAATTAGCGAATGTAGGGCCCACGTCCCTTGGGTTGAGCCCCTCAAAGTTAAGAGTGGAGAACTCCAGGTCAATCAAATAGCAGGTCGGAGGACTTACAGGCTCTTGAGATGCGCTGAAGCTTTCGCGGTTTCTGCGACATATATTCATCAGATCATTCCAGCTGAGGTAGAGCGTGGTATACGAGCCAATGCTTGGAGCTTTGGCAGGTTGCACAGAGCTTGACAGTGAGGTTCCACTTGGTGCAGATGACCCCGAGCAGGATAATCGCGGTGTAAGTTAAGACCGAACGATGGGACAGAAGCTCGTCATATGAGTCGTTCGAGAATCGGCACTTGATTATCTCAACTTCTCAAGGTTATCATCGGTGTCAAAGAGACGCGGCAATCCCGAAAGTTCCTTGTGCTCGCGAGATCTGAGTCAGCGAAAGTGGAGATCATGTGACTCTACACGAACGACCTGCTAAAGGTCCTACGGCCGAGACAAGAAGAATGCGAGACCTAGCATCTCCTACAAAGGTGACCAGAATAGCTTATAGGAAGCTAAGTTGTATATGCCAATCACGGTCGTGTTCTGGGTAGAGCGGGCAAATTTGCTAGGGGACAAGCACATCGTGGAGAATGAATAGTTACGGACAGACGGACCGGAAGACCGCAATCGTGGCAGGAACGATGCCTACCCGGAGAACCCACATATTTTCAAAACAGGTATAAAATGGTGTGGATACTATTGTAAGGTTAAAAAGCTATAGTAATACCATACTAGCCATCAAAACAACACAACAACGGCAGTACAACGGCGTAGCTACTAATATAGCAGTGGCCACCAAACACGGCATTCGGCCACCAACACAGCACTACTACAGCATCAAAATAGTAGTAAACCATCCCGCCTGTCACTAAGTCTACAATACACCTAGAACAAAAGAATATAGTCAGGACCACTCTAACTTCAAACAATACTGTATTTTCTAGGTTGCAATGTATTCTAGGCATATTAGTACTACCTACTAGTACTAGGCAGCACTGCGCGTAAGTCATATCTAGTACTAGGTACACACTTACCTTAGATATATGTATTCTTTCCGCGACACGCGTTACCCCCTAACTAACCTTGTCTTTACAAAAGTCCTCTGTCTTCTGAGATTTCTAAATATCCTCACTTTTTGATAAAAAGGAGAATATATTGAGAACGCAACACAACTTTAAAAAATAAATAACGAAAAATCAAACGTCGAGAAACCATCGGCCCTGTCGCCCAAAACCGGCTCTTTGTGCGCATGTACAATTCCCTAGCGAGCACAATCTCTCACAATCTTCTCCAGCCAGCTTCATTATGGTTACCTGATCACCATCGATGTCCATATCACGGAATTCTCCTTCAGAATAGCGGGAAGATGAGCTCAAGTGACTTCTCGGCGGCCGCGGTAGTGGCTTTAATGCAAAGTCCGTCTGCTGCTCTTCATCTTTGGGAGTGGCCGTTATCATCAGCGCCACGTCTTCGATATTTCGAGCACTTGCCGCGTTTGGCTCCTCATAATTATGCCACGCACAGGAAGACATACCACAGGAACTGGTCATCTTCGCGATATCCTCCGTATGCCTCAGTTGTGTTAAGGAACTAGACGTCGGTAAACCAATGTTGGCAGAACCACCTTGTCTGCCACTAGGCTTAAACCCCCAGGTAGTGGGTTTACTAGTTCTTCCTGTTCCCAATCCGCGTAGGAGTTGTATTGCCCTAGTGAAGAGATATCGGATTGCAGGAGCAGTGGCGCAAATGTGCACAACTGCAGACTCCGCACATGTCCATAGAGTAACGGGGACATTCGTATAGGTAGGATCATTAAGAGTGGCAATGTTTTTAAGACTCATAACACGAGCTGAAGCAATGCCAATAACGCTGTCCTAGTTAGCATCTTTTCCCTGCCTTTTTTTATACCTGGTGTAACGTAGAACAGGTTGACTGAGTATAGAGTAGTGCCCACGTGATGTGAGATGCAGTAGTTGAACTTACAGTAGGCCCGCGCCAAACAATACATACAGCGATATTGCCTTCCCGCGCTTGACCTGCAGTTTTCTCAGTACAGGAAGCGGTATAGCCACAATTGTAAGCTCTGTCGCAATATTGATGGCTGCGTTGGCATATGCAACTCCAGAGATGCTCAGACAACGAGCGTGGTTCCTTGCATCTAGCTGCCACGATGCGTAGATAGGGTTACATTGCCAGATAACCATGGGGATTAGGATGAGAACGGATACAGACAAGAAGCCCATACAGGTGAAGACAGAAATGCGGAGACTCTTGTTCGGAAACAGGCGGAGATAGAGTGCCAGTATCGACATCTTAACGAAGTAAATGGCCAAGCCCCAAAATATTTGGCACATATAGACTGATATAGTGGTTCCAATTAGTTCACTGGAAAGTCAACCCTACTGGGACACACACAACATACACCAGAAAAGAAGAGTAGTAACTTTTGAGACAGAGTCAAACTTAGCATCGTAAATATGATAGCCGAGGCCAAGTTTAGCGCCTGCACTCCATTGTCAATCTTATTTCGAATTTAAACCTCCTGCCACGAGTCTTACAGAGATTTGTTGCAATTACCAGTGGGACTGAAAGTGCCTGTATTCATTAGAAGCAGAACATGAGACGTCCAGGATTAAATTCAGTACACACCCCAGCAGCAATGTGGAACCAGTCATCCCACCATAGTTTGCCAATAGTGCAGAAACGTGATGTAAGACGTAGGGCGACCATCAGGAAAATTATAACTGCAGTACCGATTGCTGCCACGTTAATTACGAGATGGCGATTGTTGTGCGGATGGCTGCACATTTTAGCATCGAGCTTTGCCAACTCTGTACATCGTCAGCCAGTTGTCTCCACATTTGCCAGCATTATATACCCAAAGCTTCAGCCAAGGAGCAATTCATTAATACACAATCAGTGGCGGATTTGGTCATTTTATCGTTCCGGCACTGGCATGCAATGTCTGTTAGATCACAGCCTACACCGAGAACGGCTTTCGTTAAGCATTCCGCCTAATATTGCATTAGCTGTGGATCATAAAATGATTAGGCGAATCATACAGCACATGGTGGTAGTCCACTAAGAGAAGGCAGCTCATGCATTTCGACAGCAGAGCTTGTATGCAATGTATAATTGACAGCAATCGGGGAAGTGAATCTTCGAGCAAATTCCTGAGGATGACTTAATGCCGATTTAAATACCAAGGCCAAATATCTCTAGTTCATTCCTTTGCCATAAGTACGGCTAATGGATTGTGGAAGTCTACCACGAACTTAATCGCCATAGTCGTTCCGAGGAACAAGGGACCGCAAATCATGATGCGGAGGCAGGTCATACCAAGGTAGTGTCAAGGATATAGGTCAAATATTGGATTGTGGAGTATGAAGTGACTTAATAGGGCGATAGGAGACCTGTCCCGACTCCGTTCGCTAGTTGTAATTTCCCATGACCACGAAACCACGGTTATGCTACTTGGCTGCAGGACGACGTTGGTACTCTCATTGGATTTTATGTGGTCCTGTTCTGAAATAGCCATTATTTTGTAGTAGTCAACAGACAATTTCACAATGTCTGAACAATCTTTAACGTTAGTTGCTTTTTCTGCCGCGGCGTTACGTTTACATTGCCAAATATACTGCTATCGTAGAATTGGACAGCCTCAACAAGTGGAACCGGTCGGCCTCGTAGCGTCTCAGGAGTAGCGGCGTCCCACTATATGGATAACATGTTGAAAGCAGGCTCTTATTGGTAAACCCTAAACCCGTTCTCCACCTCGCTTCTTTTGTTGCCCATTCCTAGACAGCCCTAAAAACGGGTAAGCTATAAAGAGATTGTTCGGTTCTGTCTGCAAGGGTGAGGGAAAACATTAAAACAGCGTTAGCGCAGAAGTCCAAATAGAGTATATAACGAATTCCTCAGAAATCTGTGTGCGGTTTCTTTTTTTTCTGTTTTCTTTTTTTTTTTTTAAAAAAAATACTACCTTCCAAACCGGTTCCTCATGATCTAAAAACCCAGCACCAATACCAACAGTTGACCCTAAATTCGGGAATTTAAAGTTTAGACATTACGTCGATCACACATAGATTTACCTATGAGTGGGTGGCGATGCGAAGAATGGTTGCGGTGGAGCTAACCGGATTAAATGAAATCAGGAATGGCCGAACGCCATCGAGCGTAATGGATTATGTAAACATTTCGAATTCTGTGCCGTGTTCGAGAACAGTTTGGTCTTGGCATCCCACCAGCGTTGAAATGATATGATCTGAGGCTGGTGCAGACCAAGCCGCATCATCGGAAAGAAATCATTGCAGCAAGGTCTCGATCGTGGAGGAGATTAGTCTCGACTGGATTTCCAATTGCAGTGGACTTAAAGAATGCCGCGATTCACTACGAGGTGATCAATCTCTGTGGTCTTTAGATAAACTGAAGGCACGGGAAAAGGTTATATAGAAGGAGAGCTTGCAAGAACGCGGTGGGGTTTAACTCCTTAGATGGTATAGGAGGCATTTAATGTATATTCTCCCCTTTGTCATTTCTCCTCGTCTGTTAATACATATAGTTCTTATGAGATCCTGCCTTTTTGGATGTCGGTTCTCTATTCGCCTGTTGGCCCAAGGGCATCAGTCGACTGACAGTGTTGAATCTGCCGATGAATATTTGATGCCGTACGTTTGTGCTGTAATGATTGATCATCGCCTTTCTGTATCCTATGGACTACATAACATATGTTTCCAACGCACTATACAATTCATAACAGGGATTATAATGCAAACATTAGATGACATTTCGGTACACAAAAGGCCTATGGGATACAATTATTATAATATGATAAACAAATCAGCATCACAGAGACATACCACAAACCCACATGTCAAGATTCTAGTATCCAACACTAGGACGTTGAACCATAGGGCCCTGTCCCAGGTACGGGATAATATGAGGGCCAATTACTTTGTCGGTTTACCTGGCTGGACGGCAATGGCGCTATACTAACAGGGGGCTGGCGAGGCGGGAAGGGATTCTCCTCGCCGTGTTTGAGCCGTCCGTGATAGTCACAATGGAGAGAAAGGTCACGCTTCCAATAACTATTGTCGCAAACCCTATAATGAGGGAGCTCATGAGCGTAGGCACCTGGAGATGGTGGGACCGCAATAGGGACTTTTTCCCGATGGTGTGATACAGAGGGGCCCACAGATGCAGATTGAGGCACTCCTGGCGGAGGAGTGGTGGCTTCTAAGGGATTGCGGCACCAGAATCCGGGGTGCATGGTAGAATTAAGACCCAGGTTTGGAGAGACGGGGCAAGGTGACCAAACTGCCATTGTCGACTCCGGGCTGAGTATATATGAACCAGGATAGACGGGCTGTCCAGCAGAGGAAGCCACCGCAGCAGATGTGGTGTTCATAATGAGACCCTCGGCGGCTGTAGAGGTCCGAGCCGGCTGCTCAAAAAGAGTAATAGGTGAGTTGAGATCTGGGAAATCGTGGACAGCGTAGGATCTGTCTGAGGCACGGGTATGGTCCACCGATGGACTCGGTATCAACTGTTGAGCCAGAGAGGCATTCCACTTCTGGTCTATTTGCTGGGATTGCATATCTAATAGTGTGCCGACCGGAATATTTGACCAGTCCCAGCCCGTGGTGGATATCTCCTTTGCTGCTGGGGATAGTCTATTATTGCTTGGGGGAGCAGCTGGGTCTCGCTTCACATCCTTTTGAGACTCATTGCCCCCCGAATTCCGACCCCGGACTTTCTTGCCACTCTGGTGGGAGGACTTGGTGATCCGCCATTTCTTCAAGCGACTTCGCAGTTGTGTCTCACTGGCAAGTGTCAGATAAGTAGTAACAAACACAGAATGAATGGAAGCAATAGTTCACCTTGGATTAAAACCGTCCGAACAAATCTGTTTGATGACCTGCTTCAGAGGCCATTCCTCCTTCACGTATAGTTTAGCAATTAACTCTTTCTTTCTTTCCCACGCATCTGATGATATAGTAGATTTCATAGTTGTAGTGTTATAGGATAAAAGGGCTGTGAAGGAAGGGAGAAGAGAACAAAAGATCCGTTAAGAAGGGGTTTTATAGACACGGGAGAAACAAGACCGATGAGAAGCGATATAGAGTCGACCACTGAGTGACAAGGTCTGGGTCTTTCTAGTGTACTAAATGGATTTGGTCTAAGCTCCCACAATGCAGGGTTTGTCACTAACGTCCACTCCACTTTCCCACGTGGCGTCAAGGTACGCCTGGTCGATCATCACCAGATTGAACATGACGATACCTGCCGTATTACGCTGGAGGATCAGCGCTAATCCTCATAAGGGATAGTTTAATATCTCGCGCCATCAAAATTGAACAGGATATATTGACCGAATGAAGTTCTTGGGGCATGGAAACAAAGCATGGCAGAGAGGGGAAGCTCGGCCGGTCATAGGCCATTTGGCTAAAAACGGACTGGCCTGTGGATCCAAGGACTGATTTAGACCAGATTAGCATCCCCTGACGCGATTCCAAAGCCCGGTGTTGCTCTCCCGGGTCTCGATTAATCCCCATGGGACCTCCAAAGCCCAAGATCGCCGATCATAGACGACCTGGGAACTACACGTGGTTTTTGTGCGGGCTCTCCCCGCAAACAGCGACAAAGTCTGTTGGATGTTCTAAACCTTGGCCTTGATTTGGATCAGACATGTGCAAACAGGACATGCCGATAGGTGGAATGAACCGATCCTCTTGTGTGGGGAAGCAATCCTTGGCTCTGATCATGGATTTCTGGTGCCAGCGAGAAACAGACCAACTCGCCAACCAAAAATACCACCACAGCTCTGCCAGCTCACTGCCCTTCCCCTTCTCTCATACCGCATTGCTACTACTCCCATACTATACTTTTCTCTACCCGCGCCGGTGCTTTCATACCATTTTGCGATCAGCAGAGGGTGCGAAACCTCGCATTAGAAACTGGAGCATGATGGGTGGCTAATAGGGAGCTACCTCTCAGACATGGCCAATGATGATGGAAACTATGGGACGACGATCCGTGCACGGGCTAATTGGTTGCGGGCGTGGATTGTCAATGATTTTCCCGGTTCCTTCGGTAGTGGGATTGGCTGGATCTGCAATTTTTCTCCATCTACCCAAGAGCCTCTCTGCATATGTTTCCTGATTGCTCAAAGGCCGGAAAGAAATGGTGGTTGGCTTCTGTGGCGATAAATAATACGGAGGGAGCGAATGCACTGAACCGACCGAAATCAGCACTCCTTCATGGACTCCGTACCTTTTCCAAGAACCCTTGCCACCCACCCATTTGGGTTATGTTCTCGCGCCTGCATGTCACACTGGTTGCGAAGTAGAATTGTCAACAATTTTAGGGTCCATTAAAGTATTATCCAGCCGCTACCGCATAATCATGTCTTCTCCAGTTCTATTGGATGTTCTACGTCTCACCGCCGGGCAACCCTGCGACACTGGAAAAGTTCTCTGATTTGTCCGGGAACTTAATTGCACGAGAGACAAAAGTAGTCTCATCTTGGCAGAGGCAAATGGGGGGTCCCCTGATCATAAGGTTGCAGATAGTTATTTCATAACGTCAGAAAAAGTGCGGCATCTACCGTGAGATCCAACACATTCACACGCGGCATTTTTAACTAATATTAGGTAAAATGCGTATTTTCCGCTGGAATGAGTCACGGGTCGCTGCTCAAGGTATCCTTAGTCTCCCTTCTTTCGCACGGCTTTTTCTGGAACAATGAGACGGCCAGGTTCCTTCCTTTATATCTGAAACATAAGGTACCAGACTGGCCCCTCCTTGTTCAGAGGTACCTCCGTAGATCTCCGGATCTCAATGTGATGCATCCAACGCCCCAAGGTTCCCCATTGTTAGGTGAGACTCCAAGTAGGGAATTGAGTGTGCAAGTCTAATCATCCAGTCACAATCACGCGCCCGCTGAATCCTTTGCCTTTTCCGGCCTTGCGTAGGATTCCGGTGAAACAAGCCGACCAATACTCGGGACGTAAATCGTTCCAAAAGTCATAGAGTTTTGAAACGCATGTACGGACCTCCTCACGACAATTATCGAAGTTTGTTGAACAGTTTATACCAACTGGAGATGAGGGAGAAGCTCCACTCTCTGGTAGTAGAACGTTAGCCATGTCTCGTACAGTAGAAAGCCACGTTTCGAATGTCCTGATCAATGTTCGCTGGTGTAACCAGTCGAAGACTGGTAACGTTAGCACTAACCAAACTGCCCGATCCAATTATAGATTGGCGAAATGACTGCGGTCTTTAATCTAGAGCTCCAAATCCTTCCGTTTTCCTACCAACTGTTACTGGCAAATAGGTTTGGGCCAAAATGCAGCACCCTCGCGTAAGCACATCTCCATATTTCTATAACCCCCAGAACTAGCGGGTGGACCCGATTCAGAATTGCACGTGGCATTATTAGGTTTACCACTGTTAAGGTTCGACGTGATGTAGGCAATCGCCCACTTGCAAGCTTTCTAAATCTAGTAAAGAAACCCCATGTAGTTGCTGTAGAGGGCGTAGCGTGCCTTGTAATGATCGTCACTAGTTGGTAGCCATTATATCCAAAAAGGTGGTGAACCACGCGAGTGATTGGTGGTTGGAATGGGAATAGTGAAAAGGATCGATTCAACAAATTTCCCGGTTGGAATGGCCAACGGGTTTGAAGACCAAGCCTAGGACCACGCCAAAGGCTCTTCTGTCTAACATTGGGATGTACCGAGAGCGTCTTTGCAATTTGAATATCTACTGCATCTAGCCATATGAACTCCATTGTATCTTGAATCCCAGAATTTACATGTTGATATTGCTAAACACCGTCGACGAAGCCATCGCCTCCGGATTCTGCGTCAACCTTCATGGCATCCACCAACCCACAGACCTCGAAGATTGTTCTTGGGCCTAGCCCTTCAGGAGTACCTACAATTCCTTCATTCTTGAGTCGCTGCAAAGTTGTCTTAATCCCCTGGTAAGCTGGTGTGATTGTAGCAAATGAAAAAATCATGATCCTGAAGCCCATCTCTTCAGCCTCTTTTGTGGTGATCAGAGGGGTCGCCCCATTCTCAACCATGTTAAGAAGAAGAGGCCAAGGAGCCAGATCCTGGACTGCTTGTCGGGCTTGATCTTTCGAGGTGAATCCTTCCAGTAGCCCTACATCGGCCCCAATTTCCCTGGCCGCCTTCAGTCTGCGAATACACTCCTCGTACCCGTGTTGCTGAAGTGCGTCGGTTCGTGCAATTAGAACAATGTCAGAGTGCAAGCGATCCTTGGTCAGCTTGGCAGCACGAATACGTGTGAGGTACTCTTCTTGGCCAACAACCTTTTTGCCTTGCAGATGTCCACAACGTTTGTTCTGGATCTGATCTTCAATATGGAATCCCGCCACACCGGCTTGGATGTATTGCTGAATAGACTTTGATACCATCAAGGGACCTGCAAGAATGTCAGTTTTGTTTTGATGCAGTACATCGGGTTATTTTGTTTGTGTAGTTGCTAACTGACCTCCGTAGCCGGTATCCATGTCTGCTATCAATGGAGGACCAAATGGATCCAAATTTGCGATCATTTCAGCGTTGGTCTTCATATCGTGAAGCTGAGCAAGGCCAAGGTCCGCCATTCCCAACCGCGATGCAGTAGTTCCAGCACCGGTCTGTGTATTTTATCAGCATGCATTGATGTGAAGCCATTGCTCGGGGTTCTTACCATGTAGAGACACTCGAAGCCAACCTCCATCGCAATTCGAGCAGATAGGCCATCATAAACACCAGGGCATACGATAAGGTCTTTCGTGTCTTTGATAATGCCCCGTAACCTGGAAGCTGCAGGGATCACATGGAGATACATAGTAGGTTTCTGGGGGGTCCCATCGACTTCATAGTATCCATCCTTCTCGACAGTGGTCGTGATAGTCATGTTTATAGCCTTGATAAAAGAGAAATCTTCTTTATTGCGAGCCTATGTCCTTCTGTTACAATTCAATCCTCGAAGAAAAACGCTGCTCTTTATACCTTCAAGTTCCGTATTTTCGAGTGAATTTTCTATCCTCCGGGACCAAGCGGAGCGGAAACATCTGATTGATCGTAGAGAAAGAAGTCTCATCTAGTTGAAGTCAAAATGTTTGACCCCGCACCGATCAAAAAATGGTAACAATATCAAAAGTTAGCGCGGAGTGGGAGACGATGGATGAATGGCGATAGGTAGATCCAGAGTCCCATGGTTCCTTCTTCGGCTCCACTGTGACTTCGTATCTGAGATCCGAAGTCCGAAGCTGTGACATGTAGTGTGAGTTTGTATAATTAAGAGTACGATACTTGACCACTGGGCCAAATGTATTTCACTTCAGGTACTGGGTGCCTCAACTCATTGTTTGGCCTTCGGTGGGATAGAAATTCCGAAGATTTGGGGTCCTCTATAGATCAAATCCATGCCCCAAAGAATTGCATGCTGCTTACTACCGAGGCCAACCACGTGAATGAGGATTGCGTTGTTGAATTTTCGCCAATTAGAAGATCAAAAAGATCAAAAGCAATTTGAAAATTGGGTTGTGGAGATTGAGGTTTGGGTTCAACCACATTTTGCATTTCTCATTCTGTGCTCGCAACATTACCATGTATGGAATGCCTCTTAGCCCGACCTGGACGTAATCACGGATCTAGAACTATTAGTTGAAGTTATTTTAATATGAGGCACCTGTGAAACATAATATTTGGGCTGACACGAGGAAGAAATCCTGTTCGGCCCTCACAATAAATTCCTCAATGAAAACAAGCTTTGGCCGTTAATTTTCTGTTTATCTATCTGCTTTTCCTCAAAGTCCAGAGCTACCGGCTTCCATTATGCGATTCACTTGGTATTTTAGCGGTACTTGCAGCTCCATCAACTAGCGCGTGAAGACCTGACCTGCTATCAACCGGATGTTCTCCTGGTTTGACTGTCCTTGGAATTATCTATTCAACTTTAACCTTCGGCGACCTCAGGTTTTGGCTTGGAGGAAAATATCTCATGGTCAACTTTAGACACAAAACGAAATACCTCGGCAAACCCTTGGTCTCAGTCTTGCATCCCCGTATCTGATGTCAAAATTTTACTCAGAACGAACTTCTCCTCCATGAAAGTTTCGTTAAGGCCGATCATCATCTATTCGGCATATTCCGTAGGCACCGCTAGATGGTATTATGGAACCCACTTGTATTTTTCAGGTGGTTCGTTGGTGCCTCAAACCTATCAACTGCACAATAGGGTTGAGTTTGCGCGGAGTGGCTTGATACTATGCGCGTCTGCTGTATCTACCACAACGTGACGAATTCTCCCGGATACCGGATTATTGATCCTGCATATTGCATATCCCTGACTATAATTCTGACAGTTCAGGATTTGCTAACTTTCGAGGGGAAATATTGCACGCAAGAACACCAAGAATCTGGCCACGTCGCAAGCTGATAATCTAACATGGTCACTTGCAAATTGAGTTGATATTATTTTTTGTCTACGTATATCTCCAATGGTGCGCGAGATGTACCTACCTAGACCACCAGTTCCGTTCATTCTCGTCACCGACACTCCGAATCTGGGCACCCCGGTTGGTTGTAGAACACTTTGAACTGCTACCATTGCAACTTCAGGATCATACATACAGTATTATTAGTGGAACTCAATTGCTAAGACAATTTCAGTCCATGGCCAAATTCAATAATCTCAGATTTAAGAATAACGCTCAGTGGGTGATCCTGAGGGCTCACACGTTATCGGTATGCCCGTCCCATGGTAACATACCAAGCTTCCTTGGAAGGCGTTAGAAACCATAAACTGGACCATTATTTATGTGACGCCATTTGGTGTATTTTTACGTTAAAACATGGAAGTGATAGCTTATATCTAGCAACTGTTGGTTGCGTTTGACACTTCTTCGGTTTTTGTACGTGTTGTCGGTCAAATTGGAAACTCCGGATTCTGAAGCCCACCGAGTATCGGCGTATTTCACGCATTGACGGAGACTACTTTCAACCTGCCCTCAATCCCATATTCTTGTCTTACCAATCAATATTTCCACCTAGATTGGTTGCCTGGGTCTGTCTCATGCTGAATGCATGCTGATTCATGCAATTCATCTTGTTCGGCCAACTTAATGGCGGGGCTGGTCTACAAATTTAGCGGGCTTAATATTTAATCGGTTGCGCCAAAGGGACTCGATCCAGATCACTTTCCTCGAAGAAAAAAGGTTACAGATCAATGGACCGGACCTTAGTTTCTAGGAAAAATTCACTCCCTCTCAAGAGTCTCCAAATCTACTAACGGATATGTGGAAATACAGGCAGAGACTTTGACAAGCATCGACCCTTGTGTAGCCAGAAACATCAAAAGTATCGGTAATAAATTAAACAATCTCCAATCAAGTTGAAAACCAAGCTAGCTCGCTCTCTATAGTGTAGCTGTTGCGACAACTGAATCGTTTAAATTGAATGGCTACACGTTTTCACAATAGAAATCTTTATCATGTAAGCCGAGCAACCAATGACAATTTGTCTAGGAAATAGAACACCTACATCTGAGATCCCTTTGCTGTGGGGTATTTAATGGGGTGCTATTGGATCTACCATTGGCTGCGCCGTGAATAGCCATGGTCGGAGATTTTCGTTCGAGGGAGGACCCAAATTCTTAGGTTTACTGGGCGGCCAATAGCAAGAGGGCGAAGAACTATGATTCTTTTCGAATGGCCTCGAGCAAATTATTTAGCTTACTCCATGTTACTTATAAGAACGGCATCCTCAGTTCCATGAGCTCCGAAAACCCCCACAATCTAGTCTGCCTTGACTGCTTGACACGTATATCCAGCTACATTATCTAGAAATCCACTCAAAACCCAATGATTCCTGATCTTGAGAACGACCCATCGCGGGACGGGCCACGAGAGTCGACTCTCTCTTTCCGGTGGAGCCAGAACCTGGACCCTACCCATGCCGATCTGGTGTGTCTGCTGTTGTGCTTTCTAACCGGACTGTGCGATAGCAGCGCCTACAATATCTGGTCCTGCTTTTTGGGAATGCAAACCGGTACGACTCAAGACCCCGGTGGAACTGGATCATGCTAGTACGTGATTTTTGATTTTTGATATTTGATAGGGAACACCATCTTCCTAGGTCTCGGTGCCTCCAATCAGCCTACAAGCAAACCATGGGGCTGGCTCAAGTCCCTCGTCTCCATCACCCTGTTCTTCACCGGAGCTATGATCTTCTCCACTGTCATGCGGCACCTGGGTGCTCTCCGTCGCGGCACCCTTGTCGTTTCCTTCCTTTTTCAGACCATCCTGGTCATCATCGCCGTTGCTTTGATCCAGGCCGACCTGATTCCCCGCACGTCGAGCGACATATCTATAGACGAGGGGCCGCTCTTCCTGGAGTTGATCCCTATCGGACTGCTCGCCTTCCAATCCGCCGGTGCGATGACCTGCAGTCGGTCACTCGGGTTCAATGAGATCCCGACCGTAGTTTTGACCAGCGTCTACTTCGATATCGCGTCAGATCCGAAGATCGCAGAGAAACTCACGATCAACGTCAAGCGGAACCGTCGCATCGGAGGAGTGGTGTCGTTGCTGACCGGTGCGATCGTGGGTGGGTGGCTCAGCCGCAGCGGCGGCGGCATGGAGTCAGTCCTATGGATGGCGGCGGGACTAAAGTCCATCGCGGCCCTGGGGTGGCTGTTTTGGAAAGCGGCTCCCCCAAGTAGACAATAGTCCTAAAGATATGTTGATTGTGATGTTGGTGCATTTGCCTACTGCTACATAATTCATTTGTATAGAGCGACCGCGAATGTAACGCGTGCTGCTCAAATATAGGAGTCGGTGAATGCATACGACTGTAGACACTTTGTGGAATCAGAAGATATACCCTTTCGATTCATTATCGGATCTCTTATAGTTTACTTTGACATTTACACTATCCAGGCTTGTTGGGAAGAATTGCGGCAGCGCCGCTGTATGACAACATGGGTGTTTAAAGGAAGGATGGAAACAATGAAGGTGACAATAAGGAACATCACAAGTTGGGGAAATAATAAATGTTGTGCAACATGATGTACTTTCTCTCCCATCACAATCCGGTACATCTGTGGGGGTCTCACGTATCTTTGGATGAGGAGTGTGTCTTTCAGATGAATAATCAATATTAAAGAAAGCTATAGTCGACTCTAGATACAAGACGTAGAACGAGGAAGCAAAAGAAAGATAGCTTCCTCGCGTTCAGGGGAACCCAGATGCACAATGTGGGTCCGTTCCTCCACTTAGCGTGTTTGCTTCATAGATATCCCTGACAGCATGTTGTGGTTTCTGTTAGGCAGGCAAAATTCAGTCAATCAGTCATTTTGACTCGTCTGGATGACCGATTCTGTGTGACCTCGCTGACGTCTTCTCGAGCGCCAGGAGATACTGGGAACTTACGTCGGTGACTTTTGTCATGTTGGCGCAAGGCTGTCAAGAGAGGATATTGACCAGGACGAGGGGCCAAATAGATAATATACGGACCGTCACGGACCATGTACTCTGTGTTCGAAGTGACCCATACCTAGGTAGCCCTTAGTAATCATCGTATTGTTATTCGGACAGCGGAACGTGGTGACAATATGAGAGCAAAAAAAGCCGCGACTTGCTGCTCACTTTATATACTTCTTTCTTCGCTTTTTGGCTTGTGCGTAGATGAAGCTGTTCTCCTCTCGATCGTCGGCGGATCCGAATAACTGATTGGCCCGTGTCTGTGTTTGACATTACTGGGAGGATCGCCAACAACCGAGCGGTATCCACTTGTGGCCACTGCTAGGGGGAATATGGGCTCTGATGTCAGACTGTAGAACGCAGACCTTTCGTTGAGTGAAACTATTGTATGGTACCTTTTGAACTTATCTAAGTCTGTGAACACGCATTGTTTGGACCGCTGCGGAATCAACTGCTGACGGCACCTGTAGAGTGTAAGGTTCGACGAGTCTAGAACTATATAGCAAGTATCAGAATTAATTGTTAGCCCTAAGCGATGATCGAGAGAGACTTACCTGGGTCTAGGTGTAGGAGCTCCTGCTTTATGCTGATACAATTTTCCACGTGTAGTCTATACCTGTAATTATAACCTTGAGCCAACCTCCTACGTCAAATAATTAACTTCAAATTTTGTAACATAATTTTCTTATAGGTTCTAAGTACTCTGGAAATACTCTCTAATTAGTTTTATGTTCTCTAGTTAGTAATTGTTATTACTTCTGCTAAGATATAATAGTAGTAGATAGGAGGTCTAACAGCCAAAGAACCGCGCCACTTCTGGTTGTCCGACGGCCTGTGCACGCCGATCCCTCCAATGAGGCTTACACGCCAAACTACCACCCGCAGGCACGATAGCCCCCAATGTTCCCGCATTGGCCGCCCATCGGTACCGTGGAACAGAGCTACCACACGAGTGATATTTTAGAGCCTCCAGGAAGGGAACGGGCTTGTCGAAGGGGTTCGGCTAGTACCCCAGAACTCCGAACTTATCTGGCACATCACGAATATGGGCTCCTGGCCACCTTACGGCTCTATTGTAGTTCAGAGGTATGATTTATTGCTTTCTATTCAGTGGAAAACATGAGGCTATATATACAACGAGAAGAACAAGTTGGCTGGAAATCAACAACTTGTTTCTTCGTATACATACTTCGGGATTAATTCCGATGGTTCGGGGAGGGGATAGGCGGGCGTATATCTAGGACTCGATGCTCCAGAGATTTCGAGACAAAACGCATTGTAGCGCAGGCGCTATTTCCACTCTTTTTTCCACGGGGGGATTTTTAGTGGTTTTACCGAGGCCTGACTGCTCTGCGCAATTCCAGAATCGCCCTGCCAGCAAAGCGATCCAGAGGGGGAATATTGTGATATGAGGCTGGTGCAGATCAGGCACCAAGCCAAACCATCGTAATTAATCCCGAAGTATGTATATAAAAAGCCAAGTTGATTGGAAGTTAACTTGATCTTCTCGTTGTATATATAGCCTCATGTTACCTCTGAATAATAAATAACAATTCATACCTCTGAACTACAACAGGAAGTAACAGTGTCTGCACAGCGCGGAGAAGCCGTCTAGGCCACGTGGCGAATTTGGACACGCTTTCCGATGAAGGTGAGCCGTGAACGGCCATGTTCAATCTGAACAAGGCACATGGAACTCCCTAGTCGGGGTCCGGGAGACGGAGTTATATCAGAAGGCTTTCGCCGGCTATGCAGACCCGTAATACAATACAGTACAGTACAGTACAGTACAACAAGTAAATACAGATGAAAAACAGTGTGTATTGATATGTAATTCTCCTCATACACGTTACGCCTGAAATCCCTCCATGGCGGCTTCCGCAACCGAGCGCCAGTGGGCCACGCGGTCTTGCGCCTGGCCTCGCGGGCACACCTCGACAATGGCTCGAATGTGATTGACCGCTGTCTGCATCATCTCTTGCCTTGCATTCAGCTGAGTCTGCTCCAAGATATGCTCTGCCCCCTTTTCTCGGCAGATTTGCTCAAACAATTGCTCCATGCGGGTCTGCTCTGCCTTATCGTCAGGGTCCCATTTCATATTCCACAGGAATGCCCGCGGGGGGGTTCCACCTCGGGCCGGGAACCACCCCGCTGAACTCCCAGTCTCAGGACCGCGGTGATTGGACACCCTGGCTGGTCCGGGTCGCACATGATGTTGGCAAAATGCATATCTTTGTGTGCCAGGATGTAGGCGACGCGGTTGAGCTCTGCCTGGTTGTCTGGCCGCCGGAACTGCACCATGAACTCGCGGATCCGGGGAATCAAATCGCGGTAGGGCTCCAGAGAAGGATGGACCTCGATCGCGTGGATATACCGCTCGAGGCAGCTGTTCGTATACGCCGTGTAACTAGGGAACCCCTCGGCTGGTATGGGATTGAGACTTTCGAGTGTCTCCGTACTCTTGACTCCGGCCGAGGCAGACCAATACTTGTCCAGGTCAGGAGTCTGCCAAAAGTTTTCGTCGATGGGTGGTCCGGAGGTAACCTCGCCCGTCGGTGTCAGGGTCAGCCCGCCCACGTACCCCTCATGCCAGGGTTGCGCATGTAGCTCGATCAGATAATCCGTCAGTTGGTGGACCATCTGTTTCTTGACCTCATCGGATAGCGTTGCATATATCTGATCGACGCTGATGCCGGACGCTTTCTCGAGTAGGGTGAACTCATGTCCGATCACGTTGTTCTCCGTCGCATCGTACCGGATGATGGCCGGTACGGGAATAGAGGTATGCTTAACGACCCAGGTCATGACGCCCACCTCGTTGCGTGTCTTGATGCCGGGTAGCTGCCGTCCAGAGACGCGCAGCACGAGCGTAACGGTGCCATCCTTGTTTCCTCGTGCTGTGATACCTTGTACCGAAGCGAAATGGATGAGATAGATGGAATGAAAGGCGGCTTTAACCTGCAAGGGCTCGATGGAGCTTGGCGCAGGCAGGTCCAATGATAGGATCAACGAGGTAATAGTCTCCGCGCTCAAGGCAGGAGGCAGATAACTATCAGGGGTGCCCATTGTCAGGAATTAAAAAATTCTCCGAGACGAGAGACAATGGGAAAGGATTCTTGAAGACAAAGATGGCGAAGTCTCGCAAGCGGAAGATATAAGTAAGGTGGGTTGCCCAGGGTCAAAGAGTGCGTAATAGAACGGCGTCTTTGTATTGTAAGCGATATAAACAGAGCGCTGTAAATTACAGATACCTATGCAACTCGTTACATTCGCGGAGGAATATGCCGATCAGTCATACATATAACCAAAAAGTGTCTTGGAATCAGGGAGATAGCAACTTGGCCCCTCATCAGCGCTCTCACAGATTGTCAACTATCAGTGAATTTATTAATTATCTAGAGAAATTACCCCACTTTGCGGCCATCCGCCATGGTGATGACACAATCCATCCAGGCGACACTGGTTGCTCGGTGCGCCACGCAGAGGACCGTACTATCCCGGAAGGACTGCTGCAGAATTCGCTGGATGATCTCATCCGTGCTTTGGTCAACATTCGCTGTTGCCTCATCGAGCACCAGGATGCGCGGCCGCGCCAGCACCGCCCGCGCCAGAGCCACCAATTGCGCTTGACCCGCGGATAGATTGGTGCCCCCAGCCAAAATGTGTTGGTCCAGCACTGATCGGCGGTCAGCGCCGTCAAATTGGTCCTCGAGCTGGTGCCATGCCATTGCTGACAATGTCTCAAGCATGTCCACATCCTTGCTGCGCCGAGAGGGATCCAAATTCTCACGAAGCGTGCCATCGAAGAGCACGGCATCCTGGGCGAGCACGTGAACAGATCGTCGACGCTGGCGCAGTGAGACCGTCGTCAAGTCCACGTCATCAATCCGAATAGTGCCTGCTGTGAGTGGTACAATGCCTGTTAGTGCCGCGATGATGGTCGATTTGCCGGAGCCTGGACGATGCGTGAATGTCAGCCTCCGTAGTTCTGGGCGTTCCAAAAGTCACTGGGGTATCGGGATATATAAGAAATATATTAACGCACCGCTTCGGCCTACGATCCCCACCTTGGCACCCGCAGGGATGATGAGATCAAAGCCATTGAGAGACGGTTGCGAAGCTTGAGCATACGTGACCTCAACTCCAGAAAATACCACGCTGCCACTCTCCGGCCAGGAGGGTGCAATTTCTCGCCCGATAGAAGAAGAAATGGTCTCTGGGGCAGGCAGCATCAGGTACTGATTGAGGCGCTCCATGGAATTCATTTCAACATCAAGGTTAATTAAGGACCACAGAAAAGTGTCCAGGTGTTTCGCTATTGTGATGCTCAAGCTGAGAGTCAGACCAGCCTGAACGGCATTAAGCAATCCTAGGCCGCACAATGCGCAGGTTGCACCAAGTAGTAGGACGGAAACGAGTTCCACCCGCACTGTCACCCACGTCTCTAGTGCGTAGCGGACGCTGATTCCGGCCATGGCCTTGGACAGGACCGCGCGATGCCGCTCCTCAAATAACTCGATGGCGGAGTACGCTTGGATCGAGGCCCGCGCACCCATGGCCTCGTTGATCACGGCGAGGACCGGGGAGTCGAGCACAGAGCACAAGCGACGCACTTCTCGTGCAGATCTACTCCAGAAGCGTCACGTTAGCAATTCCAGACTGAAACGAGAGAATTGAAGAGCTATAAAGCTTACACTCCATAAAGCAGCTGTATGCGACTGGTCATGTACCCAATGGGCACGAGAGCTAGAATCAAGTAAAGCGAGCTCATTGCAAGAACAATGGTACTCGCTAACAACGGAGAAGCTGCGAGAAGCAAGCCATCGGCCGCATTGATCAATCGAAAGTCGATACCCTCTATATCAACCGATAAGCGATTGATAATCCGCCCAAGTAGCTGTTGGTCAAAAAAATCCATGTCCGCGTTAAAGAGCCGCGCCAGAACACCTTCATGGATGCGTCGGCTGGCTTGAACGCTTCCGGCAACCAGATAGACACCAACGAGAGCTAGATTGTAGTCATCAGCGAATGAACACAAGACATTCACAGCCCGAATTCTATCAATGAGGCAGTTGCATACCTACAAACACCGCCTGCGATAGCATCACCCCAATATACCCGGACATGTAGTGGTGTTGCGCCCAGTGCAGCGCGTCGCTAACCCACCACGCCAACCAAATATTTCCTACGATACGCGTACCCACCGTCAGACAAAATATCGCGCTCAAAGAAGCGATATAGGGATATCCCCCGCTGTGTCTGAGATAGACACCGTATAATCCCCGGTCAACGCTTCCTCTAACCCTAACCTCCTTATCAAGAGCAATTGCTGTGGAGTTGACTGTGTTAGGTGCTGGGGCAACCGATTGTGCCTGATCATCTATCGGGGGAGACAATTCCTTAGGTGCATCCAGCAAGGTACTTCCGTTGAAGAAGGGGTGTTTGAGGACCTGATCTGGCGGTCCCTGAGCAATGATCCCACCTTTGTCCAAGACCAAGATATGGTCACACTGGGGGGAGCAGGTCGAGTTGATGTGTTACTTTTTGCAATGTCAGCTAGAGCCAAGGGATAGAAGTGGAAGGTCACAGTATAGCAGATAGTAAACATACCAACGACGACCGTTTGGGACAGTTTTCTGATGCAATCGTTCCAAAGGCATTGCGAAACGCGGGCGTCCACAGCCGAGAGAGGATCGTCAAGCAGGATAATTTCGGCTTGGCTATACACGGCGCGGGCGAGTGAGATGCGCGCCCGCTGTCCACCACTCAGGGTCGCTCCACTGCCAGCCACCAACGCCTGGTCGCCACCGGGGAACATGGTCAGGTCGGCTTCAAGACAGCAGTCGCGAAGGACCTGACGGTATCGAAGCTCCTCATAGGGCTTCCCGAGTAAAACGTTCTCCCGCACAGTCCCTTGCATAATCCATGGATCCTGGCGGCAAAGGGCGCAGCTTCCATTGACCCTGACTGATGATGGTGGCTGAGCCACGGATTCGCCGACAATGCCTTTTATCATTGTGGATTTCCCGGCGCCACTGTGTCCATAGATACAGGTGAGGCGTCTCCGTGGGATTTTAAGGGTGAGGGCATCAAGCCGGAATGCAGTGTACTCATCTGTGGTCTCCGCGTTGTTTGCAAGGCCAGGGTAAGAGATGGTGGCTTTGTCGAGGCTGATCGCCATATCGCCCGGGTCCCCGGATCTCTTTTCGTCGACTTCTTCTTGGCGCAGGATATCTCGCACACGGAATACACTGGGCAGGATAGAGAACTGGCGCGTCACCGCTAGCGACAGCTTCGATGCAGGGCCATAACTCAGCTCAAATAGCGTAAGAGCCGGGAAAATTACCTGAGCATCCAGGGCATGTTGGCCGGCCCAGTAGGAAATAAAGGAGACCAGGGCCGTGAGGCCGGGAATCATTTGATTGATAGAGATAAAAAAACAAAACACGAGACGAAGGCGGCGCTTTAGCGCCACAAGCTGCAGTTCACGAATGGCAGCTATTTTCTTCATGATAATCGACTCGAGCAGCATTAATTTGATTCCTTTGATGCGCTGGAAGGCTTGGCTTAACATCGTGATCCGTCGTTCGTCGTGGCCAAGGTATTTCTCCATAGCGCTCGCTACTTTGCCGTTGGCTTGAGTTTGCGAAAGCAAGAGGAAAGCCATGGCGAAGTATCCTACACTCAACCAATCAATATTTAGCTTCCAATATATTTTGAAACGAGATCAGATTCTTACCCAGTAGCCCGGACAGACCCAACAGACGTAGCACCAAGAGAATGATCAAAATTAACTGTAGGGGGCTGCTCCAAATGTCGTGCATTTTGAGGATGTAGTTACGCAGGAGCATCATGTCGGTAGTTGAACAGCTCACTAGGCGACCCTCCGTACAGGTCGTCCTACCCGAGAACCGGAGGCACTTGCGAAAGAGCGCCAACTGCAGGATCGACGAGACGCGAACCGCCAGCACTCGGCAAATCTGATCTTTGCTGCGACCGGCCAGCGTCGCCACAAGACTGACCCCGAACAGAGCCAGCAGATGGCCTGGATCTGACGGTTCTTGAAGCACGCGCTGCATCAGCAGCGGCGCCGCCACTGTTGATAGACAGGCGACTGCCTCTAGCACGCCGGACAGCACCAGGGGCACGAGGATCTCGGGATGTCGCAGCATACGACCGAATTCGCGCCGGCGGACATACTCCGCAAGAGGGGTGTAGTAGGCCGCATTCTTGGATGAATGGGGCAACTGAGACTCGTCGAGATAGTCGACAGCTCGGATGGCCCGCATCAGCCCCGTCAACCAGCTCTGTCGCAAGTCGTACTCGCAAGCGGCGAGGTTTTCACGTACCCGGCGGCGGCCGTCGGCGTGTAAATCTTCAAGGTCGATTTCCTCAACCGGATCGTAGCCATTACGCCGAAAAGAGAGCAAATTCCTGATTAGCATTGGGATTGAGCCTGGACAGTTGCACGACTTAGCAAGGTTGTTGCAGTTGGTGCAGGTAATTGACTGGATTCAGATAAACTCGCTGTAGCCTCCAATATATATGTCTTTGTACCAGTACAACCAACCAGCTAGGATGGAAGGTTGTTAGAGTTACTAGAGTGAAGAAAGGCTATAAGTATAACGGCTACAAGCGCCAATTCCGCCGTGAGACATGATTGGTTATCTAATTCCAGTTGATATAGACCTGAGATACGCAGCATTATAATACCCCTAGAAGACATGCTCGCACATGGTGATGCCGAAGCAAGGGACTGACTTGAGTTACATTCATGCTGCGACCACATAACTGATCCAGATCCCGCAATTGTGGACAGGTAAGTAGGACGTACCAGGCGTTCCCTCCTGTGGCCCGAGTCATACAGCAACCGTGTTCATTGCTCGAATCGGTCGTTAATACATGTATTACCAATACAGACAATGGGTAACTATTGCTATCATCCCCCACCTAATATTTCAACCCATAATGTAGCATGAGCAAACCTAAAGTTGAGCATACCCATAAGTAGTGGATGATCGCTGCAACATAAACTCGCCCACCGTCTGCTCCCCTGGCGGACATTCGGCTGCCAGGGACTGAATGGAGCACGAGCGATTGGGTTTGGCAAAGTAGGCGACGGAGAAGCGCTCCGCAAGGACGGCGTTCGGGTCGGCGTCTCAGGTCGGATTGCGCAATATGTACACGATGGCGCGTGGACCGCAGTTGGCCGTTGGTCCAACGCTGTAGACAATCCCCAAGGTTCACGATCATCTCATCCAGCGCGGTCGACTCAATTGGCCGATACCGCCCTGGCTGCAGCGGATCTTCGATCTCCAGGCCGCCGACCGCGTCTTGGAACAGCAGGGTAATCGTCCCAAAGTCCGTATGCTCGGAGATGCGTGTGCAGTTGCCACCGCGAAGCTGCTTAACCGGCACCAGGGGATAGTGTGTCAGCCGCAGCTCATTCTCAGCGCGGCTGTGACGACTCGTGAGGGTCTTCGGGGCCATCTCAAGCCCGAGTTCGAGCGCAGTCAGAATGCGCTGCTGGCATCGGTATGCAATCCGGTAATACTCCTCCATGAAGCTTCGGAAGCCTGGAAGGTCATCTTCGGGCAACCAGATATTGGCGTAGAGATCATCGTCTTCCGCCCCTTGGTCAAAACATTCCTGGTTGAAGAGGGCTTAGTCCCGGGAAATATCTATACAGCAAGATATTTCAGTAGATGAGATCTGCTGCCTACCTTCAGGTCAATCAATGTCACCTTTCTGTCTTCCTGGCTTCCATGAATGGACGTATTTTCCATTCCGACGCCGCTGTATCCCCGATTGGGTATCGGTTTGGGCGGATGAGGCGCCTTGGCTTTGATACCCTCGGGGAGGGCAAAGAAGCGTTGGCTCTGACTATGTGAGCAGAACTGTACAATTACTTGAAAGGGAAGGAAGAAATGCCCATTGGAAAAGCTCTTCGATTGTATGGCGGGGAATTCCGTGGTTGACCAGTTTCAAGAATCCTTGACGACGAAAGGCCTCGGCAATTGCGGTGCCAACGGCTTTCTTCTCATCCGGCGAACCATGATCAAAGGGGTCAAAATCAATGGTGGCAACGGTCGTCTCCATGATGTATGAATTTTCAGTTGAGACTACAGGCAGTGTGTTGATCCAACAACCAGCTATATATAGGATCAATCAGTACCTTGGAAGGGATAACGTCTTTACACTTGAACTTTTTCATACATAATTACCAGTTTTTGAATACAGACTGCAAAACATTGCTGTATTATATACACATACGCTATACCATACGTAGACCCGTCTGCGTTCTATAGTACAGTGATTGCGCAATATGTACTCGATGGCGCGTGGACCGCAGTTGGCAGTTGGTCCAACGCTGTAGACAATCCCCAGATTCACTATAGGGTAAATGAGACCTCAATGGCTAGTGCTGACGGTAGGGGCAGATCGCCGTCGGAGAAGCGGTGGCAAAGTGAGATGGAAGCGTGGCGCACAGACGAAAACTTGGATTGCTTAAATTCTCAGGGACCCTTGGCCCCCAGGTTTCATCCGCCTCCGGCCCGACGCCCCGCCGCCCCGCTATGATAACCTAGACTTACGGGGTGGGGGGTAGTGTATGTACGCGCGCTATTACAGCCCAGCTGTATCAGATAGGCTCTGTGAACCGCGTGGTAAAGTCATGCCGAGCATGCAGACCTATCAAGTGGATTATCGGAAGGTGGATCGTTACGGACACCGTGTTCAATAATGATTACATGGCAACAATTAAATTAATACTCTGTCAAGCTAGAGCCTACGACCACAGGATAATGGTGGGGCGTGCGCTCAGTACGCCCGCCGGAAGGAGTCCCAGGAATGCACTCAGAGTCAATCGTGGTCGCTGCCAGAGCCCCCCTTCGGGATGAATTTCCGATCCTGTCGACTTGACCTCATGCAGATTGCGCGTATTGAACAGACATAGATCCCCGACGGACGGCCGCAAGGTAACAGTGGCGCAGCCATCTACTGCCTCGCGGAAGTAGCCATACGTGGTTGGGTCCCGGTACTGGAGCAGCTCTTCCTCCCAGATACGATCGTACAGAATCGTTTCGCCGTCAATCATCGGAGCAAGATACAGATTCAACACGGCCTGGTGGGTCACCCGATTGATCACCCAGTCCTCAGTGAGTGAGTCGTAGGGAGACCAGTCGCAGTGGATCGGAGTCGAGTTGTTGATACTGCGATAGATACCTGCGTGGTAGCGGCGTCCGTCCGGCTCGTGGGCCACTCGCACCTCATGCTCCGGTGCTAGCTCCTGTAGCATCGTTAAAATCCGCTCCCATGGATTGTCGCCCGTCTTTTTGGCAATGCGTGCATGTAAATCTGTCAATTGCGCGACTTGAGTGAAGTATCGATCTTGAGCTGTTGACAGTTACGTCAGCGTTAGCATCAATCACCAAAGAGCAAACCCCGCGATAAACTAACCATCGGAACCTCGGGCTTGAAAGTCCTCGGCTGACTGCGCCTGAAACTCAAATTGTGCGAGACCGACTTTGTCCACGCTAGGGCCCGCTATATGCGAATACGGACGTAGCAACGGATGCAGGTACTTTTCGAAGCGCTGCGCATGATGACGGCTGACGAACTCGGGAACTCGAATCGCCGCAGTATGACCATGTAACATACTGAGAAAGCCATCGCGCGTCAGCGGCAGCACATCGGGCGATCTCCAGCTGTGTGAACTCATCAGGGAAGGTACAGAGGCCCCTTCAGAATTGCTAACTTGGGACGCCGCAGGGATGGAAATCTTTCGAGAATGGATGCGCGCCAGTGAGCGCATGGGGACTCGGGGGCGAGCGATGTAACAAAGAGCCGAAGACATGATCAGTGACCTAGTTTCCAGATTTTGTGACGCTGTCTGTCAGGGGGGTTTTAGATCCTTTTACAATTTTCAGCCCCTCCGGCTACGACGTAGACCAGACGCCACTCCTGGACCTGAATACCTTACTAGAGGGACATGGCGTGAGACTCCATCCGTGTTTCAAAACACATGGGTTTTCTTCACTCAATACATCGCACCCCGCAGATAAGCGGGATCATACTGTGTATCCATTAGGTCAATCGATCAGCTCATCGTCCACAAAGGATCGTGATCAATTGATAATCATATTGTCCCCTTCGGAGATTCTCAGGAAAATTCCGATATTGACACTTTGCCCTGTTTAAACAACCGTCACAATGCGTATGCCAGAATCCACTTCTCCACCTTCAAGGCTTCGGATTACCATCATCGGCTGTGGTACCTTGGGCCAAGCTCTAGCCCATGGTGTCGTTAAGCAGCGCCCCGGCAATGTCCGTCTTGATGAGATTGTGCTCACGGGGCGTCGTGACAGCCACGTTGACGCCCTACGGTCGCAATTCCCAGAGCTCACGGTGACAGGGAACAACTGCGACCCTTGCATCTGGGACATCGACGAAGGAAACGTGCAAAAGGTCCACCTTCTCTTTCTCGGGCCCAAGCCTTACGATATTCCGGCCACCTGCGCGCAGCTGTACCCGGCTCTTCAGAGACAGAGAGAGCGAGGGCACTCACTGCCAGTGATCATCACCTTATGTCCCGGTATCACAATCGCGCAACTGCAGACCTGGCTTCCTCACGAGACACCTCTGGTCCGAGCGATGCCGAACACCCCGGTCAAGGTGTCGCAAGGCGCTACTGGCATTTTCCCCAGCGAAATGGTACAGCCTCTTGAGATGGAGCTTGTCCAGGCAGTGTTTCGCGCCATCTCACCCACCGTTGCGGTTCTGCCCCAAGAGAACCATTTGGATGTCGTTGCATCTATTTCCGGGTACGGATAATCCCACCTCTTATCTTTTGACCTTTCACTGAATCAAACGGCAGCTCTGCTCCGGCATATTTCTTTCACCTCATGGACAGCATGATCGAGGCAGCTAAGGGTCTAGGGTTACCGGAGTCTATCTCGACGAGCCTGGTCGCACAGTCCTGTATTGGGTCGGGATCTATGGCGCATCTCGATCTGGGTGTCTCCTTGGCTCAGATGAAGAATGACGTGTGTGTGCCTGGTGGCAGCACGCGTCGCGCAATGGATGTGCTGGACGCCAACGATTGGCATCGGCATGTCGAGGACGCAGTACGGGTGAGTTGGAAGGCTAATCGAGCTATGAAAGACGGAACGAAGTAGGTAGGATGCGGGACGATAGCAGTATCTTGAGATTTAACATCGCTATATTCAATCGCATGATATCAACACACTTGAATTCTATGGAGCTTTTTCTGGCTTTGACCATTCGCAATATAAACCGATTTTCAGCACGTACGAGACACCAAAGCTCTACTTGAAAGGCCTACTGTCTTCTGCGCTAGCTTCTTGAACCCCTCAGTTTCCATTTGATTATTCTCTCGCAACGGCAAAGATAACTACTTCTGTATTTGAGATAAATATGGAACTATAGGAGGGGCAAAGGAAACTTGTAGGGAAGGTACATCAGACAGCTAGTTAAAGACTCGCCGTTTTCACCGCCGCCTTTGCCTATGATTAGGCTGATAACTAGTCAAGTCCGTTGGTAAGGCTTATATGCTATTGGTCGAAGACCCAGTCCACGTGGAGAAGGTGGAGGCTTCCCATTTCCCCTCCAGCGTATATTTGCCGCCAACCGGAGTTCATTCCACGAAGCAAAACATCGTAAATTCAGAGTTTGGCTGAAAAGATATAGTGATCTTGTGCAACACACCTGTCCCATAACGCATATTTCAGTCCTAATGCGCCACCGAGCTTCCTTTGTGGCAATGTGTCGACCTGAAGACCCATTTACCCCTCAGCTTAGCTATAACGAGAAAGTGGTGCGAATAGCCTATCGCCGGGCCGACTATAAGCCCTACCTACGAGGGACTATAGCTGCCAAGTCCGCCACATCAGCATTTTACAAAGTCCATTGACCACCAGTCTCGCCGCTCGCATTGTCGCCTTTGCTTCATGGCGATGCTTGTTGCATGTTACATTTGGCTACTAAGCACTACGTTTTTGTATACAAAAAGTGATGGAGGAATGGCTACTAAGCATATAATGCAATGGCCAAAAAGCACTACTTTTTGGCATACAAAAATAATTTGGTAATGGGAAAAAGCCACCTCTCTTCTACATACACAAAAGTAGTACTCGGTAGCCATCGCCTGATCGCTTTTCGTATACAAAAATGTAGTGCTCAATAGCCATTCCCTAATCACTTTTTGGCCATAACCAATACATGCTTAGTAGCCATTTTCCGATCGCTTTTTGTGTATAATCTTTCCTCTTACCTCGTTCAACCGATGATCAATTGTGAATTTACTAGTAATAGTGTTGATGAATAGTATTAATTAACTCCTCAAAGGCCAGAAGCAATAGACATCGGAGATATGTAGAAAATGGAGTGTTCAAATTGAGACGGGGTCGGTTTTTCTGCCAGCAAAATTCCTGGTTACTAAGTGACATTGCGATATGAAGGACTTGGCAGCTATAGTCCCTCGTACCTAGACCTGTGCAAAGGATTCACATTCCCATGGGTCCCATGGGATTTCCCACATACGTAAGCCCCATCAGCCTATGGGAATGGTATAGGACTGACTGAAGGTTATGCCCATGGGATTCCCATGGGAGTACGCTAACTATTTACAGTTAGAGTATACTAATATTTAGCTAACCAAAATAAGTATTTTTTTATATTTTGTATAACTTTTGTAACTAAGGTTTCTACACGACTACGTCTATATATATTTTACTCAAACTTTTTTATAATATAAATCAACTTATTTTCTTCCGAACTATCTTTAATTCTTTTCAAAAAATGAAGAATTGAATAAGTCTTGGCAAAAATTCTTAATATTTTCATTAATTCATGGGAATTATATGGGACCCATGGGATCTTGGCAAATGGGATGGGAATCGATTCTTACTCTCATGGGTCCCAGATGCACAGGTCTACTCGTAACCCTACCCCACTTACCAGCCTTTCGGGGACCTTGACCCTGTCGCCGGGGATACCCGGGCGATCGTACATAAGATTAACCGATAGGCTTGCTACAGTGACTAGCACGTAAGTAAACACGTAAGGCAAAAAGTACGGTGGTAATACGGACGTATGGGTTGGCGTATTGAATACGATTTGTAACTTACCACTATGTATTTTAAAATACATCGACATTCGTACGCTGTCTGCGTAGCATGCACGGTAGACTTAGCAGGTATTGTACCATTGACCATCGACATCAGACAAGTCATCTTGATTCAACAGCTGATACTTCTGAAAACGGAGCTTGAGCTGGAACGTGGTACTGTAAATTGCATCCCCAATTTGGCCAGCGAGATCGGCGGTGGCTGTTTACTTTGATCGAATCCTCGTGGGAACCCCCTCCTGTTGATCGGCATCACCATCGAATAGGAGTGGTAGTGATGGAGCTGTGTTCATTTTACCTAAATAGCCCGCTATGAAGGAGGTCCTAGCTCGAGTTTCTTCTTCCGATCTTCAACTACATCCTGCTGCATCATGTCCCCTCTGTCACACTCTACACTTACCCAAACCATGCTACCTATTGCCACAGCCTTCGATGGCGTGGCTAATTCTTCCTCAGAATCTATTTCGGTTCAATTTGAGGAAACTCAATTCTGGACATATGCGCAACTGCAAAGGGCATCCCGCCAGATCGCCCAAGGCTTGGGTGCACACGTCGGCCCTGGTCAGCCCGTCGCCGTGCTCCTGCCCCGGTCCCCAGCTCAAATTGCAGCAATCATTGCCACTTTTCGACTAGGGGCAGCATACGTTCCCATAAATCCGGATCTTCCTCAGGGCCGGATCGAACAGCTCCTGGCCCAATTAACAAACCCTTTGGTGCTCTGTCTGCAGGGACAAAAGGCACCTGTGCTGCAGGACGTAGGCCAAGCCTGGCTGACCGTCAACAGCCAAGAAAAAAGCATCCATTTCATCTGCAATAAGACTACCAGTCGAGATCTACGGGACATTGGCGAGGAAGTCCATGTCGAAGATGTGGCTGCGGTCTTGTTTACATCCGGGAGCACCGGTCTGCCTAAAGGAGTCTTGCTCACCCACCAAAATCTGCTATGGCCGGCGCAGACGGTAGCCAGTCAGATGCAGATCACGCCCGCATCACGGATGCTGCAATTCTCGCAGTGCTCCTTTGATGCGCACCTGATCGATATTCTCAGCACTATCCTGTACGGTGGCTGTTTGCTACAAGTGTCCCAGGACAATCTCGTGAGTGATCTGAACGGCTGGATCCGACGGATGAATCCCAACACCGCACACTTTACTCCCAGCACGATCTCGCTTTTGGATCCATCTCGGGTTCCTTCGATCAAGAAACTGGTTGTTTCGGGCGAGCCGGTCTCGCGGGATCTTGTCAACCGTTGGGCGAACAGGGTTCAACTGGTGAACTTGTATGGTAAGGCATTGACATATCCCCAGAAATATATAGAGTGCCCGCGCTAAAACCGTACAGGACCATGTGAAGCGTCATCAATCACTTTCAAAATCCTTCATCCTGGCGATGATTTCAATTCCGTGGGAAAGGCGGCGAGCTACGCTTCGATTGCCATTGTGGACACAACAGGCACCGAACAGCCGGCAGGAGTCTCGGGAGAGCTCGCCGTCAAGGGTGGAACAGTTTTCCAGGGATACTGTAACTTTGCTTCACAGAACCGTTTTCTGGACATAGTGCAGCGTCTTGATGTCCCTGATCGTGGCCCGTGGTACTTGACAGGCGACCGGGCATATGTGGACCAAGGTGGTGAATTTTACCTCCTTGGTCGCAATGACGACCAAGTTAAAATTAATGGCCAGGTAGGCATGGTTCCTCCTACACCCACATATTTTTATCCCAAGTGTTTGTACACGGGTCTCCTATGTAGTGGAAATTCCTCTCTTACACCATCTTACACCTTTTCCAACACTTTCAAATCCTTCTCCAAACCCTCCCTCAGCACGTCTCAGGAAGAGATTATTGCTAATTGACATACTCACCAGAGAGTGGAGCTTGGTGAGATTGAACATGCCATCCAGCGCCACGTTGGCCGTGTTATTGTGCGAGCGCATTGCGTCAATTGTCACACACGTCTTTTCGCCCTCGTATCTACTGCGAAGGCTCTTGGAGCGCCAGACAAGGAGATTCAACTGGAAAAATCAGCACACGGGTTGCAGAAAACTGTCGTCGCAGTGTGCCGGGGTCTCTTTCCAGCATACATGGTTCCCCGAGTGCTGGTAGTCGAGGCCTTGCCGCAGTCGCATAATGCAAAGATCGATTTGCACAAAATCAAGCTTTTCCTCGAGAACCTATATGAGCATGAAGAGGAACCAAAGCTCATCGTGCAGCAACTCGATGAGATGGAGGAGAAAATCCAGCGTTTGGTCTATCGGCGCCTTTTGCAGCGGGTTCCAAAAAATGACAGCCTGTTCGATTGGGGATTCACCTCGTTGGACGCTATGTTTCTTGCTCAGTCCCTCTTCGATGCTACCAGTTGCCAAATATCGTTCCGTCAGATCCTCGAAGCTCCTCAAATCATAGATATCGCCAAATTCTGTCGGGGAGGGTCACCAACGGCTGCTGCTGCTCCCCTCCCACCTCCTTGTCTGGCTGGGGAGTGCTTCACACCCACTATCGGACAGGAAAGCATGATGAATGCGTGTATGGTGTTTGGAAACCAGATGCATATATTGACCTTTACCTATGAGGTTGACTCCGCCGAGCTTGATCCCTCTTTGCTATTGCAGTGCGTGCAGACGACCTACGACCGCCATGAAGCATTTAATACCGCATATGACCACGAATCTGATGCGTTGCCAAGTGCTCGGGCCCGCGTCTATGCCAAAGGATCGCTGCTAGATCGGACTGTGTTTCACCCGTGGGTGAAGAGCGAGAATTGCAACCTAGATGAGAAGAAGGCAGACATCCTCCACAGAGAGCTCAATCGTGACGCCGATATGGACTTGATGAAGGATTCACCCGCATGGACGACACTGTATCAGTTGACACCGCGGGCAGACAAATGGCTGGTTGTCTTCAAGTTCCATCACTTAGTGATAGATGAGCTATCATTTGATATTTTCCTGTCCGAAGTGCAAGGGCTGTATAGCAGTGGATGCAAAAAGCAGCTTGCGCCTCCTGTGACCCAATATAGCCAGTTCGCCCAGGTTCTTCGCAAGCATGGCGAGGAGAAAACAGTCCACGACCTATCATGGTGGAAGTCACTAGGCAAAAGCTTTCGGCCGTCCGCTTTATTTACAGAGCACCATGGCATATCAAGCTCGTTGTTGTCTACGGCGAGTGAGATCTCCTGGCATGACCTTTCTGATTCCGCTGTCACAAACTTGCTGAAACACTCCGGAAATGGCACAAGTATGTTTATCAACTGGCTTGCGTTCACTCAGGTGTTTCTGAGCCGCATGACCGGCAAAGAGAAATATCTTATGGGAGTCCCTACCTCCCATCGTACCATTGATCGCCGTTTCACCACTGTTGTTGGTTACTGCGTGTCGCTGGTTGTGGTGCCCGTGTCAGTCAAGCCTGAGAGGACCATCGCTCGGCATATCGCCGAAATGTCGAAACTCTACTGGGAGTGTGTGGAGCACGAGCAGTCAGTTGAGGATGTCTTGCGTTGTTTTCCAGCAACAGAAAGTGGTGGTCAGCACGCGGACTTAAATGTTCAGTTTGCGTTCCATGAGAGAAACGTTACGCAAACTGTTCATGAGGATGTGTCCCTCATATTGCAGGAAGTTCAAGCGCCGTCAAGAGGAAGCCACTATGATCTGATCATCCATGTCGATGTCTCCTCTCATCCTCGCAGGTTAGGACTTGAGTATCGCACCGAGGTATTGAACGGGAGCGCCATTATCGAATGGGCTGCCGCATTTGAGACCCTCCTTAGTAACATAGATACTGCGGTTGACCTCGGGGATTCCGATGTAACTTCATCCCCCGTGAGCGTCCTAAAATCATCAACAGGCATCACAAAAGCGCAGACTGACTTCAGTCCCGCGTTGCAGAAGTCCATTGAGACAACAACGCCCAAAAACCAGGTCATCCCAGGGATCAAGTTGGATTCGTCGGTGACAAACGCTGGGCTTGATGTGGCTACGATTGAGGATGCTTTGCAGATGGCCGCTATTGTCGGCAGGGATGTTGAGTGCATATATGCCCCGACAGCAATGCAACTTTCTATGCTCTTGCAAGCATCGTTCAGTCCCAGCACGTATAACTTGACGTTGGTGCTGCACCTCAAAGGGCGAATAGACGTTCAGCTGCTGAAAAAGGCGTGGGACAATGTCGTGGCCGCGCATCCTGCTTTGAGAACTGTATTCCACGGCATCGACCATGAAAGGCTCCTTTACGTCGGCGTCGAATTGAAGCCTGGTATCCGTGTTCCAGTTTTCAATTTTGTCGATCAATCCGCAACGACATCTAGCCAATTGAGCAATCTACTCGATATCGAGCAGAACGCGTTACACGAAGCTCGCAATGGACTTCTTCATCGGCTTTTGCTTGTGCGCGTGGCCGATGACCAGTACGCTCTAGTATTTACAATGCACCACGCCATTATCGACGGCTGGAGCCTGCGCAGACTAATGGCCGATCTACGAGCAGCCTATGCCAATGAAAAGGTTCCTGCAGGTAGCTCTATTTCCGCTCTTCTTGCAGAAAAGTCTGTCCTTGACAAAAATGTGGCGCGCACCTTCTGGACCCAATATCTTTCGACCACGAAGGGACCAGACGTGGTCAAATCCGATGTCGATGCCGGGGACCAATTGACACCTGAGATCAAAATTGTTCAGCCTCGACAGCCTTCGCGTGTCACCCCGAGTGCTTTGAGTGGTGCGAGTAGGAAGTTCGGCGTCACGTCCTTCACCGTTGTACAGGCTCTTCTTGGTATGGTTTTAGCTCGGACAAACCAGAAAAAATCATCAATCTTCTGGACCACAATCAGCGGAAGAGCCGATCTCACTGGTGACGTCGATGCCATTGGGAATTTTTTAACTTCAATTCCATGCGTGGTGAATGTCGAAGACGACGTATCGATTGAGTCATGGCTGAAACAGACCCAATCACGCTTCCAGAAGAGCCTTGAGTACGAATACTTGCCTACGCCGGACATTCTCAGATGCCTACCGGAGACTCAAACGCAAGTTGACACGCTGCTCATATTCGAGAACCACCCTGGCGAAGGGCTTCAAGGACTAGCGGAAGATATTCGCATCACCAAGGTCGAGGGTCAGGAATACTCAGATGTACCGCTGACCATCATAGTCCAGCCGAACCAAGAATCTGTTACCCTAATAGCCAAAGTCGATCAGAATCGCGTTCATTCGGGCCTTGCGCAGCGCATCTTGGACCGCCTACAAGGAGCTTGCGAGGAGCTCTGTTCCGCTGCCACAACTTCCCATACCCTTGAATCACTTGCTGCGCACAGCAATGACTATCTGGAAAGATCTGCCGCCCTCTCACGCAATCTGGAAATTCAGCAACAACCTTTGCCTTCCGAACATCTTGTCTCGTTATTCAAGGAGGCGGCGAAAGGACACCCAAATTGCGTCGCTCTCACCACCGTCTCGTCACAGATTACCTTCGCAGAGCTGGACTATTTGACAGCAAAGGTGGCGAGGAAGCTACTTCAGGCCTCTGGTAACCGACCGGGGGTCGTTACCTTGTTCCTGGATCGAGGCACAACGATGATCATTGCCATGATTGCAGCACTCAAAGCCGGCATGACCTACTGCCCATTGGAATATGAGGCACCGTCTTCTCGTTTGGACATGCAGACGCGACGGATAAATGCTTCCATGGTGATTAGTGACCACAGGGGATTCTGTCGACTGGGCACGGGTTTCTATCAAGGACTGCAAACACTGGACATTGACCAAGCCCTGCAAAGCCCTGTCAATGACCTGTCCGTTGTCTTGCCAGCCATTTCCCCCGAGACTTTGGCCTATATAATGTTCACATCGGGTACCACGAGCGAGCCGAAGGCCTGCACTCTCTCTCATGGAGCTGTCGCCCAGTATGTGCGACAGGCCGTTGTACGCTATGGTTTCAAACCCGGATCACGCGTACTTCTTTGCGCGAACTACGTCTTCGACGCCTCAGTGACAGACATCTTCGGTTGTCTCTCCTCTGGAGCGACAATCTGTCAGGTGCCTGAGGATAGCCTACGAAGTGATCTTGCCATGTGTATTAACACCCTTCGGATCGACTCACTTCATGTCACGCCGTCAATGTTGAGCCTGCTGACGCCTAGCTCCGTTCCAACCCTGCGTACCGTCATATTAGGCGGGGAGATCATCACACCGGACCTTGTAGAGCAATGGGCGGAATGTGTGGACTTGTACGGCTCTTACGGCCCGACCGAGACTGCAGTCCAGGTTCTCATTCACCGCGCACGCAGAGGGACTTGCGTCGCATATGATGCCCTGCCCGGCAATCTTGTCATTTTGGTCAACAAAGATGGCGAGGTCTGCTATGCCGATGAGCCAGGCGAAGTCTTGATTGCGGGTAACCAATTGTTTGAGGGCTATTATGGTAATCAGATCGCCACAGAGGGCGCTCAGACGCGTTTACCCGCGTTCGGGAACACTCGGTTCTACCGAACGGGGGACCTGGGCGTCTATACGCCAGAATTGCGAATCCGCATCCTTGGAAGACGCGATCACCAGCTGAAGGTCTCGGGGGTACGTATCAATCCCGATGAAGTGGAAAGTGTGCTGCGGCTACATCCCGCCGTGCATCGCGCGGTGGTCAGCGCCGTTCACGGCCGCCTTCATGCTGCGGTGCAGGCTCGCGAGTCAAATCACGAGCTAGACACATTAGAAATAGCGGAGTTCTGCAAGATCCATCTCCCTGGGCGCCTCGTACCAATCGTGACCCAGATAAATGAGATACCGACCGTCACGAGCATGAAGGTCGACAGACGAGCCGCTGCCCTGATGCTGATGCAAGCGTCCGTGGCAGTGGATAGCATGACATCACGCTCTCTATCTCCAAATCAAAAACTGATTGCTGAACTTGTGAAAGAAATCACCGGGAATGATATCTTTGATGCCCACGCACCCCTCCAACAACTTGGACTGGATTCTCTTGGGCTAATGCGACTTCGTGGCGCACTAGCAAAGCAGTATAGAATTTCTCTCACCTACATCACATTGCGCCGCGCACGAACACTCAATGGTATCGCAGAGTTATTGCAGCCAGCGGCCTGTGGCGAGTCTATCGTGCCAAGCCGTCCAACTCTGGAACATGACTCTGTCACTGTCGGGTTATATCCAGCTCTACCTAGTCAGGTTACCATGTGGCTGGCTCAAGAGCGCCTTCAAGATACTACCTATAACGTACGGCGTATCATTGAGTTGAGTGGCTTATCAGGAGCGGCCGTGCTGGCCGGCGTCATGGCAGTGACCTCCCAGCTCGAAATGTTCCGAACAGCCTTTGCTCACAATAAAGCCCAGGGGCAAGTTTCGCAAATCCTTGGACACAGGACATTGATTGAGGCCCATTATCACACCCTTAGCGCGGAGAAAGATGCGCTGCAGCAAGTGAACGAGATATTAGCTGGGTCGTCCTCGCGAGCGCTTGATCTACGCCTCGGGCCACTTTCGATATTCCATGTTTTCTCTGAGTCAAAGGACAGAAGTTACCTGTCAACACAGATTCATCATATCCTCATTGATGCTTACACGGCTGCAGAAGTAACGACGATGATTCTGAAAGCGTCTCGGGGAGAACTTGTTGTAAATCATAACGACAACACTGTTTCCTATGCGAAGCACCTGGCAGAGACTGGGAACAGCCAAGGTGACCAGACTCGCAGGTTGGAAAACTGGCTGGCAAGGCTGCAGGGAGCTTTGCCCTTCATCCCGGCCCCTCTAGTCCTCTTTAAAGGGGCAGGATTCCAGAGTATGCGGCGAAGAAGATTTCTTGGACCCAGATGGCACGGCGAGGTTTCATTTGACATCATGCTAGCTTTGTTCCTGGCTCTTATGCACCGCTATGTTGGCTCAGACGATGTGTTGGTGACTACTCCAGTGTCAGAACGAGGATATGCGCCTGGAGCTGCGACCGTGCTTGGAAATCTCACACATACGGCCTTTTTGCGAAGTCGACTCTCAGGTCAAGATAGTTTCAGTGAGTTGTTGGCAAGGACCCGCGCCAGCATCGACTTTGCCATGGAGAACATCCTTCCTCTAGAATTCGTTTTGTCCCAGGCTGGGCGAAAGTTAGACGATCATTCTGTCCAGTTCGTCACTCATGACAATCGTCCGTTTGAGCAAAAGGGGATGGTTGATAGGACCCTCGATGTGGTTGACCAAAGCAGGCCCGTGTTTGACCTTATGTGGCATGTATTCATCCATGAAGATGCGATGGAGATTCTAGTTGAATTCAACGCCGAACGGCATCATGGCGCCTGGATGCATTCAGCTATTGATGGCTACGCCACGCTGGTGTCGACAATCACTAACAGGCAAAATAAACCAGTGGACAGCCTTCTAAACGACACACTACAAATGCCTTGGGCTGTGCCCGAAAGGGTCGCGTTATCACAAGCAGAAACTATGTCAAAAAGCTCAAGTTCAATCAAGATCAGTACTCGTCCAAGTTCTCCAGGGGTTGGCCATTATTCGGAGAAACTACGACCCAATAAAACAAAAATGCCACAAGCAGACGGCTTGGATTCGCTTGCGACCTCGTTGGTGCTGTCTACACAGTGCAACACGCCATCCTACGACAGCACAGTAGACGACGATGTTGATTCTGCTTCCTTGTTATTGCGAGAGTTCAAAGACGCCATGAGTCATGCTATCTGCCAATCTCTGGGTATTGCGACAGTAGATCCGGACCGAAATCTCCGAGAACTGGGCTTAGACTCCTTTGCCTCTATGGCGTTCATTTCCCATCTGTACAACGTTTATCCAGACCTTGAGATCGGTATTAATGACATTGTCCAGTATCCCACCATCTCTGACCTCGCGAACTACGCATTGAAGATGCAATCCAATGACAAGACGCTTGATTCTACCATGCAGGACCATATCTCCTTCGTGGTTTCTAAATCCGCTTCAAATGAGGAGGGCCTCAAGGTCGCCCAAGCCAGTTCCATCCAGCGCCGGTTTTTCCTATTACAAGAACAGCTCGGAGACACTACTTACATTGTCCCTTTGCTGTATCGTGTTGTAGGCCATGGTCTGAGCAAGATTATAGACGCAATACAGATAATCGCGCAGTACCACGAGATCTTCCGCACCACATTCGACCTAGAAGGCGACACTGTTGTGCAAAAAGTCGCTTCTCATGCTCGGTACAGCTTCGAAGTCGACGATTTGAGGCACAGCGCAAACCCTGACCAAGCAAAACTTGCAATGCGGCAAGTGTGCGCTGGGATCTGTGGACAGGAATTCGATCTCAACACGGGGCCACTTTTCCGCTGCCGAGGCTTTCTCCTCCCAGATGCTCAGCAATATGTGTTCCTGAACTTCCATCATATCATCGCAGATGAGCAGTCCGTCTCCTGCTTTGTGAGACATGTTGAGATTATTGTAAAGGAAAAAGGACTAATCGATAATATTGTGCCATCCACCTCATACCTGGACTTCTCGGAACGTCACAATCGGTCTCTCCAACCGGATCAGATTTCAACGGCGCGGAAGTGGTGGACGGAGCATATGAAGTCACAGCCACCCACAGCCTGGTCTACATCGTTTGAGAGCAAAACTGAGCAGTTTGCCCCGGCAAAGCATGTTCGGCATATAGCCTCCTTTGACTTTGATCCCGCAAGCTGGGCATACTCATGTGGAGCGACTCCATTCGGTACATACCTCTTTACTTTGCAGCTACTCCTAACTCTACGCTCCGGTGCCCGAGGGAGCACTATATTAATTCCTGCTACCAGTCGATCTCCACGATTTGGCGAACAAGATATGTATGGATGTTTCGTCAACACGTTGCCCGTGCCGATGATAGCGGAGACCGATGCAACGGCAATGGAAAACCTGATGGCGTTCAACCCGACCTTGTTTAAGATCCTAGGCTTCTCCAACCTCCCATTCGAGAAGATTATGGAGTTCAATGGCCACAAGATGGGTGACTTTGACATGATGTTTGTTTATCATGAGAATAAAAAAGCCAAGAATGAAGCTTCTATGCTTCAACCGGCGATGGATCTCATGCCGGCGCTTCCCGGAATCACGGCCAAGTTCCCTATTACCTTCTCCATGACTCGATCAGTGAACAACGGTTCGACCACATTGAACATGTATGTTGAGCACAACCCGAATTTAGTGAGCAGCGATGAGGCAGCGACGGTGTGCCAGCAATTCGAAGATCTCCTGCGACTGCTCACCCTTAGACAAGGAGAGATCGCCCTTGATGTGATTATACAGACCCTTAATCACGGCCCTGTGGTCCCGTACAGTTTCCATGGAAAGTGGGACCGTCACATCTTGGATGACCCCGTTTCGGACATTCAGATCATGCAACAGGCCAAGAAGACCCCGGAATCTACCGCCATTGTTTTTGAAGACTCCGCTTCGGTTACATACCGAGAGCTGGTTGAGATGGTTAATGGCGTCGCGCATTTCCTTTGCTCGCAGGTTCCGGCCTCCGAGTTGCGCCGCCAGAACATCTGCATTGTGGGAGACGTCTCTATTGAACGAATCGTTACCATCTTGGCAGTCATCAGCATCGGTGCTGCGTATATTCCACTCGATATGAAAAATCCACTTGAGTGGAACGCTACAATCATCCACGACTGCAACCCCAAGTGCATTCTTTTCTTACCAGAAGAAAGCGGAAGCGCCAGAGCGGAGGCATCGAACGGCCTCAGGGCCTATCTTCCAACAATCTCAAACTCGATCCACGGCATTGGCATCACCACCCCATTACCCAAAGCTACAACTCCAGCTATCGATATGCGAAGCAGATCTGAGATGGACCTCGCGTACGTTTTGTACACCAGCGGATCAACCGGTGTTCCTAAGGGCGTTGCCATTGAACACCGAGCCCTAAAGAACTCGGTTCATGAACACGTGAAGCTCTACCATTTATCCGCGGAGGTTCGACTGCTGGCGTTGGCACCCTGGACATTTGATGTCTCGCTTATGGACCTTTTCGGCCCACTGGTCGTGGGGGCTACCATGTGCATTGGACGAAACGATTATGTCTTCTCGGATATCGAGGAAGTCGCAACTGAGATGAGTATCACGCATATCTCCACAACTCCGACAGTGGCAGCTCTATTACGACCCTCGCATCTTCCTTCTGTGTGGATGCTGGCGATTGGTGGGGAGCCCTTGACGGCAGTGGTGCGCGACACCTGGGCCGAAAAAGTTACTCTCATGAACGTGTACGGCCCAACCGAAGCTACTGTAGATGTGGTCTGCCGCCAGGTCGCACGAGACACCTCGCCCAAGAACATCGGCTGGCCGTTGACCAACGTTTTCGTGTTTATCGTCGACGAACAAATGCAGCAAGTTCCCGTAGGCAAAGTTGGGCAACTTGCTGTTTCAGGGCCACAGGTAGCCCGTGGCTATATTCGTGAGCCACCGGGCAAGCCCTCCCCATTCGTGAATCATCCACTCTATGGACGTCTTTACCTGACAGGCGATTATGCTCAATTCGAGCCTGACGGAAGTGTGATCTGTCTCGGGCGTATGGACACGATGGTTAATCTTCGGGGATTGCGGATCGAGCTGGGTGCGATTGAGCAGGTCGTGGATAAAGTTCTCGATACCGGGAAGTGCGTGACGCTCAAGATCGAGCGGGATGGTCAAGAAGCGCTGGTTGCAATTTTCACGAACAAGAATGAGCAGTCGGAGATCAAACTTCTGCCGCGCCCGGTAGGACAAAATTCGGCTCGTTTGTTTGAATTTGCACGCGCTATTTCAGAAACGCTCCCAGGCTATTTCATGCCTACATACTGGATTCCAGTCACAGGTTTCCCGCGGAACAAGAGTCAGAAGTTGGATCGCAAGGCAATTCAGAAGTATCTCGACGCAATGCCCAGTGGTGTCGTTTCGCAATACCGCTGGGATCAGTCGGCAGCTAGAAAGCTCGAAATAACCACGAAGATTGACGATGCACCGCTGGTGTTGACCTCCAGCGACAGCCTCACACCCGGCCAGCAAACTGTCCGGCAGGCTTTTAGCGACGTCCTAGGAGACAAGGCCTATGCCCGTGACAGTAACTTCTTCTCTCTCGGCGGAGATTCCATCTCAGCCATCCGACTTTGCAGTGCTCTGCGAGCTAAGGGAGCACAAGTCAAAGTCCGGGAACTGTACGAGAGACCGACAATTGAGAAACTTGCTGTTCTGGTCGAGCAACGAGCCCCTGCAAAACAAGAAAGCATCCTGCACCCTACCAGTCCCGCCGAAGTACACTCACCTCCCGTCAACTCTGGGGTGGAGCAGATAATCATTGACGCAATGTACAAAGTTCTGGGCGCCCAAAATGTCGATGTCGAGAGTAACTTCTTTACTCTTGGAGGAGATTCAATCTCAGCTATCCGCTTCAGCACTGCGTTGCGTAGCGCTGGGTTTTCTGTCAAGGTCAGGGACATTTACGAGAAGCCGACGGCGCGGCTTCTTGCTACCGAGCTAAACCCATCAGAATGCTCCTCTGGAATGTCTCAGCCTTCGCACGTCTCTGCCGCCACGCCCACTCCACCACCTCCCGCGTCTAAAGTGACCTCGCAAATCTCTTCGGAAAGTGCTGGTTCGGCATCCGAGCTTGTCATGGTCGTGCGCGTTGCTTTCCACAGGGTGCTAGGGGACCGGCCGATTGAAGATCAAAGTAACTTTTTCACTTTGGGTGGAGACTCGATCTCAGCTATCCGATGCTGTACTGCACTTCGCACTTCCGGATTCACAGTCAAAGTCCGTGACATATATGAGAACCCCACGGTCGCGGGATTGGCGGCTCTCCTGGCCCAGCGAGACCCGAAGTCGGTGCAGCAACGTCCCAGTCATGTGAGCAACGCCTCTATCCTTCGAAACACTCCTATCGTTGAGTGGTTTTTCCGCTCAGGTCGTGCTAATGAGAATTGGTTCAACCAAGGGCATGTAATCCAACTCGCAGATCCCCACCGGTTTGCCGATCTGGAGAAGGCCTGGCAGGTCTTGACCGATCTTCACCCGATGCTCCGAGTCCGAGTTGTCGGTGACGGTCCAGAGAAGACGATGGCCGTTCCCAACACGCCGAATTCCCAGGATTACTGCGTTCTGCGGCGCAGGATGAACTCCTGGGAGGAGTTCCTCCAGGCAGCGCAGGAGCTGCAGTCCCGTCTCTGTCTACGCCGGGGACCCATCTGTGGCCTGGGTGACTTCACGGTTGAGTCGGCTGTGTACGTTGTCATTGTGGTCAACCACTTGGCCGTAGACGCGGTGTCCTGGCATATTATATGGCATGACCTTGATTGCCTGTTGCAGGGACTTCGCCCAGAGAACGAATTCAATACGTTCAAAGATTGGAGTGACCACCTCGCCATTCGTTCCTTGAAGGCACGTCTTCTAGGTTGTCCGGCCTCGGAAGCCGGCAACGACTTCTTTGATATCGATGAAGCTGCCTTGCAGAAAAACACGGGCCGCTCGGTGCACTTTGCCTACCTCAAGTCACCGGCAGAAATTGTGGAACTTGCCAGCAGGGTACACGACGTGGACGTGGTGGACATCGTTCTTGCGGCTTTGCTTCTAGCTATACGGAGATGGAAATCGGCCAGCCACGTCGAGCTCAATTTTGAGAGTCATGGAAGAGAGTTGAACCACGAGACACTCGACGTAACACGCACTGTGGGCTGGTTCACAAATATGATCCCTATCTCGTTTTCGCTACCCCCGGATACCACTGGCAGAGATTTCGTCAAGCAAGTGCGTGAACAGCGGATGAACGCCGTCCGCCAAATCGACTGCGCTGCGCCAATACCCGACCAAGTACAGGCGCATCCCTGCACATTCAATTATCTGGGATATACAACAAGTTCCTCGTCTTATGCATCATTCAAGAAGGTCCGCGCAGACCTCGGGCCACTGGAGGATCCTCGCAACCGCAGACCCTTCACCATTGACTTCGAGGCGGCAGTCAGTAACAACCTCTTAACTGTCGGGGCGTTCTTCAGTACGGCGCTATTCAGCCGAGAAGCTTTGACTCAGCTACTGGAATTTTGGACTGCGAATGTCCGAGATCTGAGCACCAACGAAAGCTCACGTATAACCGTCGCGTCAGTCGAATCCGTGGTCGAATTCGTGATCCCCATTGACGCAGCACTTAAAAGCGACCGTGCAGCCATTGAAGCTTCTCTGCGGTCGCATCGTATACCGGCAAAAAGTGTGGAAGAAGTGCTACCCACAACGGACATGCAAACTGCCATGATGCTGGCCAGTTTGGGTTCTCGGTCATACATGCATCGGTACGACTACGTGTTGGAGGTTCAAGATTTGGACCGGTTCTGTCGTGCGTGGGAAGAAATATTTATCAATCGTCATTCCATTTTTCGCACGGTCCTCATCCCCATCTCTCGCCCAGGGAGTACGACAATGGCTCAGGTGATCTTGCGGAAAGAGACAGTTACTGGCAGACTCGTTGTTCGGGAAGAACCACCTAAGACGCAACGCGCCATGACCGGTCAACTTCTTTCCGTGCTCTACGTTTTTAAGTCTCCGGCTGGCAGCCTCAATGCATCCTGGGTTTGTCATCATGCTTTAATGGATGGGTGGTCCCGACGACTCGTGTTCGATGAGGCACATCGTCTATATGCCGGACACACGTTGTCCCCGCCTGCAGCTCAGTTCCGTGACCTTGCACTCCATCTTCAATCTCAGAAGGAGCAGAACAATCAATTCTGGAGTCATCTCACTCAGAACGCGCAGCCGTCACTTCTGGTCGAGCATGGTGCGAATGAGCATCTCTCGGTGAGACAGCCCAAGGACCGACAGTACCGCACAAGAATCAACGTCGATCCAGAGGATTTGCAAGCTGTGGCATGGGCTCACTGCACCACTATATCCGCATTGTACCAAGCCTCCTGGGGGGTTAACTTTGGCTATGTATCTTTCCTCGGAAGACGCGACATTTGGTCTTATTAGTGCGGGCAGGAGCGTTGATCTAGATGGTATACATGCCGTAGTCGGCCCCTGTCTCAATAATACTCCAATGAGAATACGAGTCAATTGGACGGACAAGATGTCCCACTATATTGAGCAGGTCTCGGAGACGGCCATGGAGCGGAGTCAGTACGAAGGAGTCTCACTTCGTCAAATTTATGCAACATCTGGTCAAAGGGATCTTTTCAACACTACGCTTCTCGTGCCATTCTCACCTCTCACAACGGCGAGCTCTTCAAACTCAGCAAGCTCTTCCTCTTCCTTCAAAATGGAGCTCCAATCACGGGATGAGGTGACAGACTTGCCTCTTCTCATGAGCGTTGAACAAGGGGTCAGTGTGGCCAACACCACAGTCCTTACACTCCGCACTAACAGCTGGGGATTCAGTCAAACATTCTGTGAACGACTCATGCATAGTTTCGGAAAATCTCTGGGATACATTTCTTCTCTTGCACGAGGCATCGATTGTACCCTCTGCGATATCTCGCTTCTGGATGAGAACCATTCTCAGATCCTTGCTCGACACGCGCGCGGGGCTGGCTTTCCCGATCAATTCGCATGGACTTCCTATCAGCTTCTGAGTCACAGGGTGCAGCAGACGCCCCAAGCCCTTGCCATAGAATGCCATCAGCGCGGCCAGACAAGAACCTTGACATATGAACAACTCGAAACGCAGGTCCAGATGGTGACCGCTCGTCTTGCGGATGCTGGCATCGAGCAGAGAACACGGATTGCGCTGTTCTTGGACAAGTCCCTCGAGCTTGTTGTGTCCATATTTGCCGCCCACTATTTAGATTGTGCATACGTCCCATTGGATATCGAGAGTCCGGCAGCGAGTATCACCACTCTCATTGAGAAAATCGAGCCCTCCGCTATCATCACAACGCCAGCTCTCCGAGCCAGCTTGCCAAAAAACCCGGTTCCTGTCTTCACAACGGACACCCTTTTCTGCCCTCAAAAACCTGCTTTCCTCTCTCGTCGACGTCAGAACGCTGGACTTGACGACCTTGCGGCTGTTTTGTTCACAAGTGGCACCACAGGAACGCCCAAAGGTGTCTCCATGCCTCATCGTCAGGTTGTCGGATACGGCATTATGATGGCCAAGGCACTCGGGTACACAACAACAGATCGAATTTTCTGGTTTGCAAGACCAGTGTTTGATGTTTCTCAGAGCGATCTTTTCGGCTCCGTATTTGCTGGAGCAACTCTCGTTATCACGCCGCATGCCGACTCCATGGCCCGCCTTGCCCCGTTGCTTGTCAAACTGCGGATTACTTCAATTAGTGTCACTCCATCAATCGCCTCGCTGCTCCAACCGCACAATTTGCCACTCATTCGTTCGCTATTTCTCGCCGGCGAGATGGCCTCACAAGAGGTCATCCGGCGCTGGTCGGCGACCGTTCGTGTCATTAACGGCTATGGGCCCACCGAAGGCGTTGTGGTCGCGTGGAAGCATATGAAGCCTGACACCAGTCCGCACTGTATTGGACGCCCGGCAATTGGTATGAATGTTTTTGTGTTGGATGCACAAATGCGTCAAGTTCCCATTGGTGTGCGCGGCACAATCTGGATTGCGGGACGGCAATTGTCCCAGGGATACTTTGGTCAGCCCGGCGCGACAGACCAAGTCTTCCGATCCAATATATTCGGGCATGGACTAATGTACAACACCGGTAAGAACCCATCCTGCTTCGTGAGTTAGTCAAGCTACTTCGTGGCTATTTCAAACAAGGTGGCTAACAAACTTTTCTTGTACACGTGTAGGTGACATTGGCGTCTGGAGTCATGATGGCGAATTACTCTATCTCTCTCGGGAGGACCGCCAGGTCAAAATTAATGGACGACGCGTAGAGTTAGCTGAGGTCGAAAGTGCCCTCTCCAATGATAGCGTTCAAGTGGCCGTTTTGCTTCTCAATAAAATAGGGGGGTTGGAAAGAGCTGGTCGCCTTCTTCGCGCATGAAGAGGAATCTCAAAAGGATCATTCTTTCGTGGCGGCAGAGCTGTCAGCGCAAGCTAAGCGTTATCTACCGCCTCACATGGTGCCTCAGCGCTTTATCTTCGTCCCTCACCTGCCATTGAACGGGAATGCCAAGGTTGATACAAAAAGCCTCGAACAAGCTTACCTGGATGGATCTCTGCCAAATATCAACGCCAGAACCACGAAGATGTCCCGCGCAAACGAGGGCTCACGTTTCTCAGCAACTACCCTGACAGATGAGGAGCTGGATGGGCGTCTTTCTGAAGCGTTGATTCATTTCCCTCCCGCGCTGAGCGCCGAAAACAAAACGTCAGTAGAGGCATCCGAGCGACCTAACATGTTTCTCTTCTTCGCTGTGACAGGCACGTCAGTCCAATACCGCTTGCTAGCACAGCATCTGTCCACCTACCAGGTCATCGGCGTGGATCATCTCCACACGAACCAGCCTGAAGCGTATCCGTCCATTACCAGTATGGCGGCCGACCTCGCGGCAATTCTGCGCCGACAACAACCACGGGGCCCATACACTCTGGGTGGCTTCTCATTTGGAGGGCTTGTCGCCTGGGCTGTCGCACAATATCTCGAGGAGCAACACGGCGAGACTGTCCGTCTGGTTTTGATTGATAGCGAAGCCCTTGTACAAGCGCCGATCCCACCTCAAGCCAGCACGCAGGACTCTCAATCGGTGGCCACGGCACAAGAAACGCGTGAGAGGATGTACGAGCGGCTCTTTGACATTCCCAGCCGTATAATTGCGGACCCCATTACCACGCCGGAGCTTGCTGAGTTTCGGGACATGCTGCTCACCCAGGCGCACTACAATCTTGCCATTCATGACGTCTTTCGGCCAGAAGTGCTACACGCGCCTATTTTGTTGATTCTTCGCTGCATGAAGAAAGAAAATAACCCAGAAGAAGTGGAAGATGGTGGCGACTCTTCTCGCCATCAAAGCGCATGTCAAGGAACAAATGGATTCGCCGAGTTTGCCGCGGGCTGTCTTGATGTCCGCTGTGTGCCTAGCTCAGATCATTATACAATGCTGAAGGAGGAACGATGCTTGCGAGCGATCAGCAAGATACTAGAGGAGGATTGGCGCGAGAGAGAATGATTGTCTCGTGTTTACTGACATTATGAGCAATAGTTGGCTACGATTGGCATCAGCACACTAGGTGATCAATATTGAATGAAAAAGAAAATTTTCAGCGCATCGAGTGGTATTTTACCACTAGCCAGTGATTGATTACCCAGGAACCCACATTTATTTGTGTTTTGGATGGTAAGTTGGCAGTGTACTACTGCCGCTGCTAGCCAGTAGAGATAAGTATTTATATTAGTATTTTTATCTGATTCTATAGATTTGGGTAGATATATGTTTTAATGTCTTTGTTAATTAGGATATATAGAATCGCTACCTGACTATACTATACTAACTAATGCTATCCTAACTAGACAACCCCTATATTGAAATATAGCTTCTAATATAACTTAATCTTTAAAGTAATCTAGATGTCTCTAGGACCTCTGGTTATAGAGACCTTGGGATATAGCAGTATATCGGTTTTGCCAAGGGATAGTTGCTTTTATAAGATTTTAATATATAGAGAGTATTATCTATAATCTTTAGATAGATAAAAGAGAAGAATTAGAATTATAATAATTACTAAGTTATTAGGCTAGAGATTTATAACTAGGTAAGGATATCAAATAGTAGGGATTAGATTAGATACTTAATGTATAGACTAATCCTTAAACAAAAAGAATTATAACTATCTTTGTGTATTCTAATATTACTAGGGCTATAGTAGATCTAGATATATAAGCTATTCAGGGGGAATTTGATATATGAATTACTATTATTAGATTATTATTATAGCTTTGGAATCCTGTGACATTTCTATTGATAAGTTTAATTAATATTAGACCGAGTTAAGTCTTACTTGGACCACTGAAAGAAGAAATAAAAAAATGATATATCAACTCTGTGCTGTTAACCTTGGAATTAGTTCTTCGTTGTTCTAATTTCTATTCAATGACGTTATGGTATAAGACAGATAAGCCTATTGCTGAAGTCATTAAATCTCACACTTCGGTTCCGCCTAGGATGAAATCAAAGGGACTTTCATTAGACCTCCTTTTTTTCAATCATCCTAGCTGATGGTCGATGAAGTTTGAACTAAGATAGCCTCGAACGCATCTCTCCTCATCACAGCACCGAACCTAATGCGCCAAAGCAATCCCATGTCAGCTAGAAATACAGATTCGTTGCGGTAGAATACACGTACCCATGACATTTGATAAGCTTGAAAAGCGACGCACTCAACTCTCGGAGTATAGCTGAATCAAGCTTATTTGCCCACGACTGTTGGACAATATGACACCAGGCTTGAGTCGGGCTAAGCTCATCATCGAGAACAAGCTCTTCAGACAGGGCTAGTAGTTTATCAAAGATAAACGCTGGACTCTGAGGTGACGAGGCGTGTTTTGACAACGTGGACGGGGTGTATAAGTGTTTATGCGGATGAACGAGGGTGGCGGATGCAAGCAGAGCATGGCCGTTAGACTTGTCTGGCTGACGCTCCAAGTGGGGCAGACAGGGTTGTTCGAGTCTGGAACACCATTAAGAGATAGGAAGATGGATATGGTGAAGGAATCCTACATACGCCAAGACAAACTCCATACCCATGTCAGTCATCCTTTGCTTGAAGGGGTGTTCAAAGCATCTTGACTGTGAACCGGTTTGCTGAGCGGGTGGAGTAAGAGTCGGTGGACGGAAATATGGATCAGGCTGTTGACTGTTTGTTGACCCAACGAGCTGGTCATGGGGATTTGGAGACTGGTCCAACATCATGTGGTTGGAGAGGGTTTTACTAGACGGGTCCACCAACGAATCGGTCCCCTCAAAACCCATCCCCGCTTCGGGTCCCCAGGAACTAATCCCATGTTTGACACCGCAATGGGATTGAAACAGGGTATTGACTGCAGTCGGGTCTGCTCCAATGTTTTCAGTTTGCTTCAAACCACAAAATGAAACCGAGAGCCTGGATTGCTCATGTATATCAACAATACCCTGTAGTTCGTCGACCTGATTACGCAGTTTCTGAACTTGAATGACCAAATTCACTTCATTTGTGCGTAGACGCAATACTTCACTTTCTAGGTTCTTAAAGTACTGATCCTTGCGCAGACGGTGCGTGCTACTGAATATCAGCTTAGTGTGGTATTGCAAGAAACACTTCCATACCGCTGAGCTTTTCGAAGCTGTTCTCGTCGCTTAAAGAGGGTTGAACTGGTATCGCCTGTGATCGGAGATTAGTGGCGCGTTCCAATCATTGAATGTGCTTCTCCACTACAAGTAACACGATTGGACCTCTGTACCTGATTCGGAATCTTGTCTATTGGAGCGATGTCCGGGAAGGAAGGTGAAGGCTTTCTTCATGTTGAATTAAATGGCCGAGTCAAGTAGATCCGGAATCCAAGGGTGCATGTGGAGATGAAGATCAAATGAAAAGAAAGATACAAAGGATGGGTAACAAAGGTATTGTTGGACGTAGGAGACAAAATAAGCTGACAATCAAGGAGGTGGCCATCGAGTAAGCTATCGCAAGGTATCCACTTCAATATCGTAATCATAGGATCCGGTATTTAGACTAGTGGCGATTTAACTCCGATGCTAGACCCGGTTTGTTGAGGCGCCTAGCGTAGCATCGCCCAATTGTGCCACACAAGTGGATTGTTGACTTAATCGCTATTTCCTATTTGGGCTAGCGCGAACCTTGAATACAGATCCATTCGGCTAACTTGGAAGGGGTTCGTGGATTGTTGACTTAATCATGGTTTCCATTTGAGGGGAGCGCAAGATTGACATCAAGCTTGAGTCAAAATCCGAGATGTTGACTTAATCATTCCTTCCTAAATTCATGTAACTTCGTACAATACCATGGGGCTGGAGTTCCAGGTCGGTCTTGGACCCCCTACCCTTGGGAGGATGTTATATAAAGAGCATCTCGGAGGGGTTTCAATAAACATCTATAAAATAACGTTTAGTGGCCCTTCGTGTGTTTATTTCCGCTCAAGGTTCCTTGCTCCATCCAGTTCTTTAACAAAATGCGATCTACTTTCGCTCCTCTCTACCTATGGGTAGCGTTCCTCGCAGGGGGCGCATATGCCAATAGCAGGAATGCATGCCCCGAAGACCCTCAAGAAGCATTTCGCGTTGGAAAAGCGGTGTACTTCCAATCCAACAAACAACAAAACTCGATTATTTCAATTCCCATCGGACATGACGGCAAGCTCTATGGCGGTATGGTGACATCCACGGGTGGCATGGGAGGCGACGGTATCGACGGGGCCACCAACAAACCTGCCGGTCCAGATGCGCTCTCATCTCAGGGTTCTGTTGTAGTAAGCGAGAATGCAAGTTACAAAACATCCCATGGGGCTCTTTATCGGGGCAATCATACTGATTGGTTCTTAGTATCTTTTCGCCGTGAACGCTGGTTCAAACACCGTCAGCATGTTCAGAATTGACGAAACTGATGCAACGAATTTGTCCATGATCGGAAAGCCGGCTGCTATTCCTGGCGAATTCCCAGTCACTGTTGCAGTTTCGGTGAAGCGAAACGTGATATGCGTGGGATACACTGGAGCAAAGGCCGGTGCTTCCTGCGCTTCATTCACGCTCGAGGGACTTGGTCAAATGAATCAGGTCCTCGACTTTGATCTCGGTCAGACCACGCCTCCCACGGGACCCACAAACACAGTTGCGCAGGTGTTCTTTACTGCCAATGATACTCGCCTGATTTCAACTGTCAAGGGGGACCCGAATACCAACAAGACGGGTTTCATCTCAGTTCTACCATTCAAAGATTCACGCTCATCTGCTTTTGAAAGTCATGATACTCGAAGCTCTCCATCTGGAACCGCTGTGCTGTTTGGCGGTGTCAATATCCCCGACACCTCTGATCTGTTCATAACGGACGCATCTTTCGGAGCCGCACTTCTCAAGCTTCATGCAACTACAGACAAGGTGTCTCTTCAGCAAAAAGTTGTCATCAAGAGGCAACAAGCGACGTGCTGGGCTGCCTACTCTCAAGCACGGAAGAGTGTCTTTGTAACTGATGCCGCGGCCAACCGATTGATTGAGATCAGTGACGACGGATCCAAAATCATGTCAATTCTTGACTTGAAAAACGGTGACCCAGGACTGATTGATCTTGAGACTTCCGGTCGCTTTGTTTATGCACTTTCCCCCGGAAATGGCACTACATCTGCCGCAATTACTGTGGTGGATTCTCTCCAAGGTCGGCAGATTCAGCATTTCATGCTAGACAAGTTGGGCGCGGGTAAACGCTCCCAGGGTATGGCTATTCTCCGATAACCGAATTTCATGAAAGAGGCTTCGGTGGCACATGGAGTGATTTCTTGAGTGTCATGGTTTAAGTATAAGAAGCCTCTTGCGGATCTGGATTATCCTTGTCTGTGTCTAGAAATTCAATGTATGGAAATCGCTTTTGTCGCTTCGTTTTGATTCATCATTTCCCACTCTTATTTTCCCTCTGTTTTTTGTAGCTAACTTTCAGATATGGGAGGAATCCCTCAGGGTCATGACGGCCTAAGGCTGTTAAAAGCCGGAGGAATAAATAAATGAATGAATTACCGCCAGCAGCAGAATAATTCAGTGCATACCCAACCTCCAAACTATCTGTATTGTATAGTAATCGGGGTATTCTCGGCAGAGCAACCCTGTAACATGGCCTTCTGAACCGTTCCCTGCAGATAGTTTCTCAGACAGTCAATCAATCGCTGAATGGTTCAATTCCCCTGATGAGTACTAGTCGATACCGATATCCGATAATCCGACATATATCAACAAGGCGTTACAGCATGTAACTAGATAGAGTTTTATCTGTGAAGGTTTACAACGATAGGCATCAGATATTTCAGGACTATGATGTAATTGTTTCGCCGAATTATTTCGGCAATGGTTCATTAACTAGCCTGTGAGCTCTCCAAACTACATAACATATAACACAAAAGCTAGATTTAGCTTGCAGGAAAAGGTCCGCCAGCCAATGGCTTCACTGGAGATCCACTAGGACAGCCTCGGTGTCCTTAACGGGGATTGTCACCTTACGACCCTCTACGTTTAACTTCTCCACCTGCTCATGGTTGTTGGAGATAAAATGGCCCTTTCCCTGGTTCAGTTTGTAGCTCCACTGTTCTCCCGCGAAGGTAACGACTTCACCTTGCCCCCCCAACGTCGGACCCCTGCGCAAAGGAGCCACTCTCCGAGCTCATGTATCGGGCCATAGTCGACTGGACTCTATCACCCACATTGAGCGTCACCTGGGTCGTGCCACGCTTCAAATTGGATTTTCTATGCCATTCGTGAAGGTTGACTAGCGCGATGCGCTGCGGTCTGTCGGATTTCAGATTGTATAGAGCGTACGCACTGAATTTGGTGTCACCGGACACTGGGAGCTCCACGGCTTTGCCCAGCGAGTCACCTTTACCCACAAAGTCGGTAATGAATGCAGCTGTGGGAAATATTCCTTGAACAGCCGGTCCTTGCGTGTTGGAGCCGGAGTTATCGGGGACCCAGAAAGAGTGTGTCGCGGCAGGCTCTTGTGTGTTACACATCCGCTTGATACCGCGGGTCATGGCCGCGAGATGAACATCAACTGCCCACAAAGCGGCGCCGAATCCCCCGCCAAATGCGGATGGGCTATTACCGGTAGCTGACCCAATTTCAGATATCACAAGGGGGAGGGACCCGTCATTATTAACATAGTGTGCGTAAGGCTTCAAGTGGTTGACTATGGTAGCATGGTCCATGAGTTTCTCTATGGCGTGTCAGGAACGTGAACTCGTGGCCATTTTCTCGGTGCACTCATATACATACCTTGTAACAGCTCAGGTGCGTACACGGACTTATTGCGAGTTTTATCAATCAACTGATAAAAATGATCGGCGGCGTACTTGCTCTGGCCATTGTTATTGATGCCTCGGTTTATTATCTACTTCCTGCTCTGCCGTGTAAGCGCCTGAAATTTGTCAACATGACTAGAAAGTCGGCTCACAGATTAAATTTATCGGACAACACAGACCGACTGGCAATTTCTCCCACTTGAAAGATGTGGGAATCATCACCAATCAGCGAAAGGTTCTTGATAATCTGACTCTCAACATCGAGAGCATCTATGACGTATAATGTCAACGTTTCCTCACTCTTACGATACGAGTTTGGCTCATTTCCAAGTGCAATAGCCGCCAGTCGACTTTTTCCAAGTGCCTTCCAGGCTTGCTGTATGTAGGCCACGGTATTTTCCATGTCCACCTCCGCACCCATAGGCGCTTTTATGCTCATCGACGCCTTCTGGAACCGCTTGAATGTATCAAAGTAGCTAGGCCCGATATAAAAGGTGTCCTTGCTATTTTTCTTACTTTCTGGGCCTGACTTGGAGTAAGTCCCATTATCCTGATTTCGGTTGAAGAAAACATGATCACCGCTGGTCCCACCGACGCGTATCACCAGCGGCTTGCTCATGCGAGAGCCAATGGCGTTTACCACATTTTCTGAGAAGTCATTGTTGTAGTGAGGCACAAGGCCTTACTCAAATCCAAAACCAAAGAAATCGGCAGGCGCAGCCTGAGCACGTTTAGGTGTAGCTTTCGGAATTGATATACTATTCAGGTCAGCCTGGACCAGGACTGAGAAAAGAAGAGAACCAGCGAGAATTGAAAACATCGCGAAATTGCGAGAAATATCTGTCAAGGTATCAAGAAGAACATCTGTGAAGATGTTTGGCAACGCAGACAAGAAATATCAGGCACGTTCTACTGGTATTTTGAACTGAACTGCTAAACACGAGCTACCTTCGTATTATATTTTCTCTCTTCTTTGATAGCTACTACTAGCCTCCCTCCTCGTCTGCAGTTTTGTACATCATCCTCATCGAAAATACTAATTGCTGGCTATTATAAGGGGTATTATGAGCCAGTCCAGTCACACTTCGTAAGTGGTCTTCTCGCCCTCGTTCGCCCTGGGTGAGCCTTCCATGTTATCTCCTTACTCACTAACCTTTCATCATTGGCTGCTGAAATTCTCGCTCTTATAATACGGGAACGCGAACACAAATGTAGGGCTGATGATGTATAGTATGATATTCTCTAAATTATGGTTCAAGATGTAATTTCCTGGTCCACTTCATCGCTGACCCCTTCCATGTTCGCCTTGGATTTGTCCTCGATAACATCAGATGACTTCAAACCCGCCGATTCAATATCCGCATATTGGTTAGATTTCTTCTCATTGTTGTCGACGAGATCGGACTCAGGCATGCGTGCTTGCGAATAAGACTGGGTTCCAACTGCCAAAACAGTCAGGTATCTCTGCTTGAACATCAGGCACAGAGTAAGACTCACACAAAACTAGATAGGCATATTTGCTGACCACGGGGAACCATATGGTCATCGCGACAATCTGGCCAAAGCCCCAATTTGAGAAGTCGATCACTTTGATATGCACAAACTCCGCAAAACACAAACATTCTAAAAAGACAGCTGCGACGAAGAGCGACTCAACACAGAATGTGAGCAGGCTAGGGAATCTCTTAACCCATTCGGCCCAAGCGGACGCGACCAATCGTTGACCTTTTGATGAGGAATTGCCAAGGCCTAGATGAATGAAGGTCCTCTGACAAATCTCTTTAATATCTACTATCCTGGCAAGATATGGTACGAGCCACAAAATAACATCCAGTCCGAATACAATCAAACAATAAGGATTGAGCACTTGCCAGAAAAAGACAACTGGGACCCTTAGGTAATAAGCCTCACTCTGATCGGCACAGTAAATCAATGGCGGCGCATACCCACCACAGCTTTGTGGCCATCCGTTATAGTCAAAGGCGCTAATTTGATCAACCGTTGGGGCCTTATGTGTCCAGTATAACGTGAATTCGGAAACGATGACGGTGGCAACAGACAAGAAAAAAATCCATGGCTCTGTCAGATGCATCTTATGGAGACTCCACATACCCATTACGATTGGTAATACGCCAGCGCTCGAGACCATCCCCGCAATGCCGTTACTCGCTCGTAGGGAGGGCATTGTATTGGACTCGAAGATGGCAGTTGAGCTCTTAGCGAGCAGAATCGCGACTTGTGAGGCAATCATGAAGAAACATTGGGCTTCTTGGAATTCGACAAGGATTACCCTTGTGATGCGATCATGCTGGGTGAAGTACTGGCAGAGTCTGAGGATGATACGCCTTTGGGTTTGGTCTTTGGCTGGTGATGTTTTTGGAGGCTGTTTTCTTCTGCTCCACATGGATATGAGGAGCGGGAATAGGCGAAATGACCGGAGGAGTATCCAGAAATAGAAGATAAGTCCTAGTTGCACCAAGTAAGAGACAAAGACCTGTTGGTATGCATTTAGTACGGATTCCACAGTGGGTAGAGTTGGAATGACCCTACGCCAGGTCCTCCAATGTCTGTATTGACCCCCTTGCTGACCCCGGCACAGGTAGCGTTGTTCCAGAAATACTGGTTGCTTATCGTGGTGCTAACAACAAATGGAAGAGGTGTAGTTCCGTGCCAATTCTCACAGCCACCTAGATCAGGATATCGATTCTTGCAGTAATCAGTCAGACATCTTTCCACGATCTTGGTAAACTTAGAGGTTCCTGTTTCTTGAGTTGCAGCGTAGCAGTTACCGAGATTATTGAAGGACTGAAAGACATATTTTGGATCGTCACACAGCAAAAGAGTGCGGTTGGCAGCCATCATAACCTTAGACCTTATTAGTTGATTAGCCTGATGAGAATAAACATGCGCAGGTGGCCACAGAAATCTCTTTTCGGCATAGGAATAGGAGACGAGCTATTTTTGAACTTAAAAGGGCCATCTGGCTCAATCTGCTCCTTGTGGCTATCCCTTTGCTTGTTTCCAGGGCTGAAAGTGGTCCGTGAACCTAGCCCGTGCCGCGCACAATGATGCTTGCTCTAATTGGATTGTTGCAAAATCGGCCCCCAAGCGACCAAAACCTTACTCGTATACGGGTTGTCCAGTCGATGGGGCAGCAGTGGGGCAGCAAAGTGCAGGATTCATGCAGTCAGCACTGGATTAGGTATAGAGCGGTGGGGTAGGACTATTTACATATCACATCGTTGGTTATGAACTGACTGATTGTGGATATGCTGCCCAGGTGAGAACCACGAACTTGGGAGGTGCTGGATGACTTCGAATGACTAGATACAATCTAAGAGGAAGCCTGGAAACAAGGAAGGCGATGCTGATGCATGAGACTGCCAGTACACACCTCAACAATTTGTAATATATTAATCCCTCATACGCTTTTATTGCCGCTCACTTCTCACTCGGACGATGAAAGCACTTGTTAGCTTTGGGACTCTGTCTATGGAGTGGCTACGACATATGTTTGAATGCTAACGAAGTAATTCATCTATAGCAAGAATTGAAAGCCAAGTCGTTCTTTGATTGTTGCACAAATCAAGCTCGCCGCATCTCTCTGCCAGATTAATGAAGTAGGAGATATCAAGATGGTCCTTAACGATCCGTAAACCATAATTGCATCGGCCCACCCGAGAGTAAATCCGTCACTGGATAGGTGACCGGCATCTTGTGACAAGCCCTGGGTGCGTAGGATATTCGTAGCTGTGGTGCGAAAGGTTTCAATGCAGCGTTCTTGAATTGCGGTATAATGAATATGCTGCTGTTGTGAGCAGTCCCCTTGGTAGGCACAATGTAAAAAGGCCAAAACTCCCGCCGAGAGGTGCATTCGGAAATTTCCTTGATATGCATGAACACCAATCGACAATATTGAGGGTTGTGCACATGAAAAGCTGCAATTCTTTTCCATCTGATCTAGCTGTTCCAATGCGTACCAGTAAGCGACTGGCATTAATTCCGACTTTCTGATCAACGCCTTTTTAATCTGACTAAGAAGGCGAGTGCAGTGGTAGGCAAAGGTACATGCGTGGACGAGAGTATACTCAGATGGCTTCACATCTTGGCAGAGTTGGTGGATCCAGCTCAGCACTTCTATAGGGGACTCTCGGCCGGCAGCCAGTGCTTTGGCTTGCTAGTGTTGTCAGAGGACCCGACTGTAAAATTGGGGCTTAAGATGTCGTACAGTGCAATGACATACGAACCAGACAAGATTCCGACCATCCGGTCTATAGAATTGCTCTGTGCCCCGGAGGTTAATCAACGTGGCCATACCTCGGCAATGGCGGTCTCCCTCCTCTGATCCAGCAATAGATGTGAGGTGGGCATTTGATAAAAACTTAGGGCCAATCAGTTTTTCCGTCCTGTGACACCCAACGGAAGAGGAATAATTACCTCATACACCACAAACATCCAAACAGCTAGCAAAGTGCTGTCATTCTTGCATTGAACAGGATCACTTAGAGCTAGATTGACTGTCCGTAGTGCGGTCCCATACGCAAGAGTTCTCTTGGTCGTTGCAGCTATCGTCCCTGTTGTATTAGCTAGATATGCAGATGCAATAGCATCGCAGACTGCATAGACTGGGGAACCTTCTTGTGAGTTGAATATTATGCGTGGAATGGTAGCGAACATGCTACCGTCTATTGTTGTATCAACAAGTTCGACCGAGAATTTGTCTAGGACCAAAGGAATCACATGGTGGCTCCAGACTTCCGAAGGCTCGCGTATTATCTGGACAGGAGGTATGCCGCTGACTATTTCCGACTGCGCTTTGGGTATTGGCGGGTCGTAGTAGCGTACTTTCCGACGACGACGCCTCGTGCTCGGTTGAAACGACGAAGTGCTGGCTATACGGAATTGCATGCTAATGTGGTCTCGATAGCCCGAACAAGACATCCCTGCTCGAAGACATTGTCCACACGACGGACGTACAAGATCACACTGTAACTCGGTTCATCAGTAGGCATAATGCATTCGCGTAATGCAATACCGCCTTACCTTGCAGCGTCGCTGTCGACAAGAATAGCAACTTCGGCTATATTGACCGGTGTTTGGCATTTTATTTGTATCTGGCTCTTCTTAATAGATTGTCGTTAAGGTGCCAGTTGTGTGATCAAGTTGCGTTCTCTGGGGAGCCTTGGGAGGGCCAACTGATGCATCGTGTCAGCAAAGTTCAGCTTGTCCCTTTTAGGAAATCGATTCGGCCAGCCAATAGCAGGTGCAGTGACAGTCATCTATATATCGCTCGCTCACGAGTATAAATAGCCGCATCATAATGGGAGTTTATTTCTTTCCGAATATGTTTTCGCAACCGTGAATTGATCCACCACGATGTCACCCCTACCAGTCATTACGTGTGGCAGCACCAACCCGCAGGTTTTCAACGCTGTCAAACCTCTTTACTTGCCAGAGTATGAAAGTAAGGATGAACGTACAAGCAGTCTTTGTTCAAGCCTATTCAAGCCTAATGTTCGTGCTAGTTATACATAATGTCACCAGCAGCACTTCCGGAGCAGTGGAAATACCCCTGCTGCTGCAAGGGCTTACCCCTCCCATTGCCGAGGAGCCCAATCAAGGGACAATGAATTATTCCAACCCACCCGTAGCTGTCTTTGCGGGAGCTCTGTACAGTGATAGGGAAATTGATGAAATGCGCCAGGCTTGTGGACAACTCAGTTCTGTGCCTTGGTTAAAGATGGATATGACTGTGCCTAGACCGCCACTAGGACCAGGGTATCCTGAGCATGTCGTACGGAGAATCAAAGCATGCATGAAGAAGATAGGAGCTGGGGGGATGCTAGCACAAGATGGTGTGTGGCTTTATTGAGCCAGCGAGAAGAGGGGTTCTATAACAACCATAATATGCGTGATCCTAAGATAGGTGACTCATTAATGGACACTTGCCCAGTGGTTATTATTGCAAGTAGAAGTATGTGCTCGCTATATTAAATATTCAAATCAAGGAAGCCTCATGGTGCTTCATGTACATCCCCTCTTACTCCTTGATACCCACCTGCAACAAAACAGGCCTGCGTACGAGCGTTGGTATTTCCCGAGTTGGAATTGAGCTCTTCTTGTGAGTACCGTTGGGCTGCCGACATATACTCTGGATAAAGAGGCTGCGCCCCGGGTAACTCGGCTTGCTGGCCCAAATCAGCCTGGTCTTCATACTGTCTGGAATTGTCTAGTTCTTGCTGATTGTATTGTGTGTCGATCTCATACCGCACCTGCTGAGGAGGAGGGCTTTCCGGGGGGGGGCTCTGACGGCAGGGTATTTGGAACTGCCGTATAAGATGGAAACACGTTGCTCATTGTTGAGCTCGGAGGTTGGGGAGATCGGGCGTATGATTCGGGGCCGTTCTGGAACCCTAGACTATCCTGATGATGTTGACCTTGTCGTCGTCTCCGTCCTCGGCCAACGAATAAAATTATGGCCCCCACAATCAGACTAATCAAAGCTAGGCCGCCGATCACACCTCCTACAATAGCCCCAATAGGGGAAGAACTACCTCCATGATCGGATGAAGATCCAGTGTTCCCTTGGGTGGTACTTGAGGTGGACCCTGAATCCTTGCTAGTACCAGAGTCTGAGTCTGATCTCGTTGATGAAACTGATGCAAAGTAACCAACTGGGTATTGCGTTCCGGTCGAAATGCCGCTCGATCCGGTGTAAACAGGAAATGCGATAGGATCGCTGAAACCTTCCCAGTATGGCTCCAGCTGGTACTCAACGTCCTTCTCTGACATGCATACGAATGATCTGTAGTCGGATCCATAGGTGAAGGTCGCGCAATAGGGCCGGGTACCTGTACTACACGTTATATCGGTTATATTAGTTAGCGCTTAATATCAAATGAGTTGAATTAGATCATATTACCACACTCCGACTCGCGAAGAACACCCAATCTCACTGCAGGACCAAGTGCTCCATTCAGATTCTTCTAAACATGCCGTCTGTGGTGGATAAGCATCGCCAACAAATTTGGCGTCGCTGTTCCAGAAACAGGTTATGGAAGGATCAACATATGTCCATCGACCATCTAAGAAGCAAAAAAAACCTCAGTCTGGGATCCTGAGGCACCCAAGTTCACATCATGAATAAGGCGCACATACCATAGTCAGAGCCCGAGAACCACCCACAAAAATTCGGCGGAATGTGATCTGCTCTCTTTGACAGGTTCTTGAACGGTGTCGGTTCAGCAATGAAGTCGGGGCCAAGTGTAGCCGTCGGAGGAAATTTAGTGCGCGGCGCAATGTCATCTAAGATCGCATGAGATAAATCGGCGTGCAGAACACTGACAAGCAAGGGAAGAAACCCGGACGACATTGTCTAATGCTATCCAGTCGTTCCATTCAGGTGCAGGCAGCACGGGCTATGGTCGCGACACTCGCCTTTTGAACTCTTGGAGCACCTCAAAAAGGCCCCTATGCAACTATCAGTCAGGAACCCTCATCATTGGTTCAAAGTGCGGCTAGAATATGACTTTCCTACAAGGCCACGGCTTGGCACGAAGCAATACGAAATTCAATTCTCAAAAAGGAAATAATCTACGGATCCAAGCCTCGAACCCAGTGACAGCACTTTTAAGTGGAGAGAAAATACGATGTTCGATCAAGCTAGAAAGAAAATAGATTAGTAGAAATAAGACCCAAATAAACTGAAGTGGGAGCCATCCAGGTGTATTTTCAAGGCAACACAAGCCATCGTGCTCAAGTAGTACATAGGGTAGTTACTCATAGCGTTCCACTGGCTCATCAGTTTATTGACCCGAAGTGAATTTTGAACCTGCATATCACATTATGGATCATACCGATTCTATTTTCTATCAAAGTTCTAAAGTAAGACAAAATAGCTACCTAAACGTCTTTAAACTGACAAGATATTTTCCGCCACTTTCACGATCTGTTATTTGGTGTTTGGTGTCGGAGAGGGGGGAAGTGGTCTATATTTGAAATATTGAGATTACTTACCTCCAACAAACAATTAAGGTATTCTATTTTCCCTTTCGGGACAGGGTAATGAGAAATAACTTTAAGCTCTCCCACGAAAGTTAGCTTTAATCAACAATCCACATTATACTAGATGCGAAACTCCAGCGTACTCAAGTTGCTGATGCTGAGCTAGTCTAATGTAGGTTGATCTGTGAGTATCTGAGTATCCTCACACTCTTTTTAGTATATTTCCTTCAATTCTATATGTATTATAGTGGGAGTCGCATTTGGGCGGATTCTCATTTACTATAGAGGAAACTCTATAGAGCTATAACGCTCTTAATTAGGCTATATCAGGTTTATAGAATCACAGATAAATTTAAATGATCGATTGGGGTGGGGGCTCCATGGTTTACCTACTCGTACGCCGGTTTCTAAGATTAAATTTATCGTCCGTATAATCCGCCTGCGGGTGAGATTCAGCAGCCTAGCTATAAAAGCTCTGCGTGAAACCAGCTAAACGGGTTCTCGATTTTCAGCTTCTACTGAACTGTAAAGCTAGTACTGAAACTTAATTTTCTTTTCATACCCACCAGCTTGGTTAACAGCAATTTCTCGCTCCTATCTACTTCTCATAGGGTCTTCTTACTCGTCGGTGAAATTTGTTCTAGGCATATATCCGTCATATACTAACTTCGTCAAAACAGTGCATGGCCAGGTGCCACGTACTATAACTAATGAGCCATGGCTTAGGAACAAGCTTAAATGTGCTCTAATTACTAGTGTAGATATGCAAAAGCTGCTTCATAATCCTTAGGTTTGACTGGCTAGGGCTAGGGAAAAACAGTTAATTAAGGATAAAGACCAGCATCCGCCGGCCATTTTGTCTTACTTGCTCTTCTTGAAGAGATTCTGGACCTCCTGGGCATTGAATCGGCAGTTTTTATAAGGTACAGCCCTGGTGGAATAGTTAGTATGCCTAGCGTTGAAAGCCCCTGAGTTTATCCGAGGTATAGTGATCTTTGGGTCTGGTCAATTTAAGGCCTAGGGATTCGAGTCACAATCAGCACTCTAGCTCGGGTTGCCCAGGCACAATTGAGGGGGGTGAATGCCATTCTTGGAACACACTTTGGCTGAATATATCTTCCAAAGGGTCGGGCCTTGCAGGAGCCTTTCTTCGACGAGTCGCTAAGTCAACTAACCCAAAATATATGCTCATATCTGCCAGGCACTAGTTATGTGATGTGACACATGTTGGTCCCAATTATGCAAATGTACCATTGAGCCCAACTTGCATTAATGCCAGTCGCCATGATTTCATCTCGCCCCGCGAGAGATTTCTAAAGGTGGTAAGACACTGGACCTCTTCTTGTTGGAAACTAGGCATATGCAACTTCTGGAAGACGTCTCTGGCGTATCATAGGTTATTAATCACGTCCTTTCGATCGGCCCCCGTCTCTAGTAGTAATGCCGGAAATCTACTCTACTGTAGGCGGACGTTTAGAACATTAATCAGTGCATGCATTTTCCTCATCAAATGCCAAGCATCCAGAGGACTAATCACATAATATAAATCAAGTCAAACTTCCTTTCTCCATATTTCCGGTAGCTCTTGGATGTACAGAATTTATTCTCGTTGCCTCAGATATGAGGTTTCCTTTCGATGTTGCTAGATGCGGAATGTCCATGCGAGCATTAGCGATTGGGATTTGCTGCGAGCCAATTGCCATTCAATGAACTCGAAATCCTGTTGTCCGGGATATTTTGGTAACCAATGGTCATTATATGAGTTATGCCATTGGACAATTCCAATTATAGTGGACTGCGGACATTAGTCCGTTGAGGTGAGATACGTGCTCCATAAATGGTTTACCCCACGGGGAATTAAGTCAACACATTCATTTAAACCCCTTAAGTACGACTATCAACTGGATGTAGGAAGAGACAATGAAATTTGGTGGACTATTCATTTTTCATGACCGATTGCACTGTTCAATTCACTAAAGTCGCATTTTTAAAAATCATCCATGACAGCAATTTGGTCGCCCTCAAGTCCATCGGTGGGTAACTTCTCGTTGATGAATGTGAAGTCATATTCTGATCCATTACACCAAGTGACCATATCAGAACATTCTCTCATTATTCTCTAGATTTCCGATCTTCTTCTTTCGTTTTTTCCTCTTTCTTTTACCCTTTTCATTTCTTTGTTTTCTCACACTCTTCTGGTGCATATTTTGCGCTCAGAACAGAGCAGAGGGAGATAATGTCAATCCATACCAAATCCAGCGATGGCGACTGTCATCTAGATCAAATAGATCACAGGCGGGATCTTAAGCAACAGTTTTCCTTTCTGTACATTTCTCCTCGACCTCTCCAAGTAAAAATACCATATGGCTGACCGGAACAGATCAATGTTAGGCTTGGCTTTTGCCATCTTGAATGTCGGCCGCACCAAACCATAGCCCATCAAGCTACCGTGTCCCTTAACTAACAGCAAGCAGTCATGGACCGCATTATCAACAAGTCTATCCATTAGTTTACCTTCGGGGGGGAAGTTCCAGTGTTGTCTGGGGTGAGTAACATTTGTAAAGTCCAACACAACAATGATATGCTCATAATCTGGAATCATAGGGCTTATCACAGCCGGAACCTGCAGTTTATGTATGGCTACCTCGCTTGCGGAGTTTCTTTCTGCATATCCAACCGCGGGAGGACAGTATCACTGGGTTGCACTGATATCCTGGGATAGGTGGAAGCCAATAATATCATGGATAACCGGCTGGGTGAACTGTTCTGGCTGGGTTGCACTGGCAGCTACTGGCGGCGTCCTTGGAAGCCAACTGATCCTCGGCATCGTTTCCTTGCTCAATCCAGTGGGTTTCAAAACTGCCTTTTTTTGGTCCACTTCAACTAAAAATACGGATTAGGCATACCAATCCCAGAGCTGGCATCAGTTTTTGATATACATTGGGTACACTTTCGCTGCTTTTACCATGAACGCCATCGGTAACAGCCTATTGCCCCACTTGACCAAAGCTGCGTGTAGGAAATATGTTCCCTCCAGCTAATTATGTCCATCCGGTGCTGATAATATGTTAGTTATCTGGTCTTTGAGTGGCTTTGCCATCATTTGTATTGTGGTACTGTCTTGCTCGGCCCCAAATTACAACTCGGCAGAGTGAGTCGGCTTCCCCTTTCTCATTTTCTGGCTAGAGCAGCACACTAATATGTTCACCAACTTCTGCAGGTTTGTTTTTCGCAATTTCGTCAATCAGACTGGGTGGCCCGACGGAGTTGCCTGGCTGCTGGGACTTTTGCAAGGTGGTCTCGGTGTCACTGGCTTTGATGCAGTAGCTCATATGATAGAAGGTGACCCTCTCTCCTTGGAGACTGGCATTAAGTCATTTTATGTTCTGACACCTCACAGAAATTCCGAATCCATCCGAGACAGGGCCTCAAATTATGATCGCTTGTGTAGGAATTGGGACAATAACCGGATCTCTCTTTCTTGTTGTCCTTCTCTTTGTGGCTGGTAATGTCTCGGAAATCATTGATTCTGCAGCAACACCGCTGCTGGCAATATTAAGTCGTGCCACTGGGAATACCGCGGGGGCCATTTGTCTGTTGATGTGAGAAATTTCAGACCGTATTTTGCGTATAATCGTTTTACTAACACGACAAAAGGTTCCCTATTATTTGTGTCCTTTTTGCGGCAACTGCCATCATGACGACGAGTAGTCGCATGATATATGCATTTGCTAGGTGAGTGAATCCGCGGAACTTCAGTAGTAGGTATTTACCTGGTTTCAAGGCTGTGAGTATTGATCGACGCATTGTTCACAGAGATGGTGGACTTCCCGCCTCATTCTTTTTCTCTCGGATTCACCCCAAACTCCAAGTCCCTCTCAATGCACTTTATCTCAACTTGGTTATTGTCATTATATTCGGAATCATTCTACTAGGATCAACCAGGTATGTACTTTCCTCTCATTCCGTTTTGGAACGCGAATCATTTATTTCTCTTCCTAGTGCTTTCAATGCCATCATATCAGCCTCGGTCGTGCTGCTGGATCTCTCATATGGGATCCCCATTGCAGTCCACTGTCTTCGAGGACGCAATATGCTCCCTGAGAGGAGTTTTGTACTTCCCGATCTTCTTGGTTGGGTATTGAATATCGTATGATTTGATCTTATGAATTCCCTTTCCTTCTTTCCAATGATAAAGTCTAAATACTTTCTGGCAGGTTTCTCTATTATACATCAGCTTAACGACGATCCTTTTCCTCTTCCCACCCGGGTTGCCTGTTACCGGCAGCAATATGAGTGAGTTACGACCTTCTATCTATATATGTTTAAGCTTTTCCCCTTTCATACTGACTATGGTTATCATCATAGACTACTGCGTTGTGGCATTCGGTATCATCTTGAGTATTTCGACCACCCAGTGGTTTGTGGATGGGCGAAAGAACTACTCAGGGCCTCGAGTGGAGGTAATTGCGAGGAGGTAGGAATATTTAGGGTTTAAAGATCAGGGTAGTAATAGTATAAATGAATTTCCAATCCTATTGGTTGTTGCTCCCATACTTCTATAATTTCAAGTTTTATAGTTGGCCCCAGCCGCGGCTTTCCCAATGCGGTCCGGTCCGCTCAGGTCAGCCGCCCCCAACTTCAACTTCAACTTCACCTTCCTCCACCTCCACCTCCACCTCCACTTCAACACATCATCTCTCCCACAACCCTCATCAAAATGTCTACCCCCAAGCCGCGAACAACTTACTTTTCAAATGGACAGGCCCTCGAACGGTGAATCAACCCTCCTCGGTCTTTTTTCTTTGATCTCCTGCTAACGCGTACTCCACAGCCCTCCGTTCACCGTCCGCGTCTCCCGTCTCTTCAACGATGCCTACAGTTTCCTTGGCTTGTATACAGTGAGCCTCTTCTCGGTGAGTAAAGCCGCTTCCTTGCGCGTCCGATTTCATCCTTATCCGATCGGCCCTCTCCCCACTGGCGTCGCGTAGTGCGCGTTTGTCTTATCGCTTCCTGGGTCGTCGATCACTGATCGCTGATCGCTGATACTCAATCTCGCAGCTCGACCCATACGGTGCCGCCCAACATTCCCAGTTCAACATTCACCGATCAAGCACTAATTCCGGTCTACGTGGTCGGGGGTCCGGGTCTTTCTTCGGTGGTGGAGGTGGTGGAGGCGGAGGTGACTCTGGCCCTGGTTACGATTATGGTTCCGGCTGTGGTGGTGGTGGTGCTCGGCGCATTGGCCGGGTGGACGATGTACGAGGACCAGAGTGTGGCAGCTGTCGTTGAGACATCTGATCATCTCCGGCATGAAAATGCACTGCCATGTGCCCATGCTATGTCAACTCCTATTACGATACCCGAAATGTACTTGTTTGCTCCGAGGAAGTGCAAGGGGGATACGAGTTGTACTCGTACTACTTACTACCTTCAAATGCAGCATTTTTCTCTTTCTATTCTCCCTGATACCACTCTACTATCATCCCACTATCACATCACTGTAAGCTCTGGTGACTCTCGTTCCGTGCCACTCCCATCCCAGGGATCAACCTTCCACCACTTTCCATATACAGTATACTGGTATATACTAGTACCCTGGTATACTCTTTCCGGGTTCATTTCTATCTCCCAGACCATGACTATTACTTTGATTCTGTCATGATGAGCTAGTATAAATCTCACGTGATGGCCCCCTCTTTCCCCTCTCTGCGGTTACAATTGGCATTGGCATTGGCATTGGCGACCCAGGGAACTTCTGATTCTTCCTTAAACATCTCAGAGACCACCGGCCGCTTCAATATTGCTCCGCGGAGATACCATCATGTCGTCCGTTCCCTCCACCGACGCCGAGTGGGCGGCATTGATCTCCAACGTGCGCGAGAAGGTCCCCGAGAGATGTTTATCCCAGCCAGCTATTCCATTACAAGTCCATCGCATGATCGATCACACCCTTCTTAAAAAGCCCATCGAACCCGAACAGATCGATACTCTATGCCAGGAAGCCATCGACCATGACTTCGCCACGGTCTGCGTGTGGCCTGAATACGTCAACCGCGCCGCAACCTACCTCCGCAACGCCCCCAATACTGGCATCGCTTGCGTCGTGGGCTTCCCTGAAGGCACTCATGACACCACCGACAAGGTACAAGAAGCCAAAGTGGCCATTTCAGAGGGAGCGACCGAGCTGGACATGGTCATCAATTGGCCCATGCTGAAGAACGGCGGGTATACCTCGGTCTTTGAAGACATTTTGGCAGTACGCAGGGCAGCCCCTTCGCCGACCATCATCAAGTGTATCTTGGAAGCCTCTCAGCTTACGAAAGATGAGCTGATCGCCGGAACCATCATCTGTTGCATCGCCGAGGTGGGGTTTGTGAAGACCAGCACAGGGTTCAAAGGGGCGGGCGCCGATGTGAACCAAGTCAATGCCATGCGACTCACTGCGGAGGCCTGTGGGAACAACGATATCAAAATAAAGGCTAGTGGGGGTATTCGCACAGCAGTGGACTGCATGCGCATGATCAAATCCGGCGCCACGCGTATTGGCACCAGTGCAGGTGTTCAGATCGTGAAGGCTTTGGACGAGGGCGAAATTCTTGAGCCAGGAGCAAGCCACTCCGTCACCTAGAATGGATCTTACAGCTGGCTTTCTCGACTTTCTAGCTAGGAACAGGACTCTTCCCAAGATACCTCTGGGGGAGATGGTCGAAAGAAGACCGGTTGAAGCACCATGTGTAAAGTTTATCCTCATCACCTCTATCCTAGCATCTCTTTTCAGTAGCTTTCAAGAAAGTCTCTAGTCTTCTTCTTTAAATAATTGTTATTCTTATTGTCCTTTTACGCCGCCACGGCAAACTCGTCCCGCTCCCAATACTGCACACTGCGGTGCATCAGACAGCGCTTAACAAGGCCCATCCGGTCGTTTGCCTCGCTGAGAAAGTCGCTCGATAAAAGTCTCTCCCCATTTGGCGCTGGATGAAACCGGTTAGTACAATGCATGAGTCTCGAGAGCATATTCAATGTCTTGCCTGGTATTCCTGTTCACGAAGTCACGCAGATACTCATATTTTCGCTTCCGCTCGCCAGGGTCCAGATTCAGAGCCTTGGTAATCGATTCTGACATTTCAGTTGTGTTGGCTGGATGGAATGGAATGCTCCCATCACACATGAAAGTGGCCGCTCCCGCAAACTCGGACAGGACAAGAACCCCGTGTCTCTGCGCCTGACATGCAACGTACTCAAATGATACCAGATTCATTCCATCGCGGGTTGAGGTGAGAAGGCAAACATCGGCAATTGAGTACAGGGCTGCGAGCTCGGTAAATGGGACCGAACGATGCATATATAGAAGCGGAGTTCCTTCAGGAGTTGCTAGGCAAGTCAGCACTGGCAAGGTTTTGCACTTCCGACTGCTGACTACCAGTGGTCATCAAGGACGAACCATGTTTGCCGTTGATCTTGCCCGCGATGGTGCTGAGCTCCGTTTCCAACTCTTGGTATTCCTTCACATCTTCCCGGCTTGGAACCGCAACCTGTATCAGAACCACTTTGTTGCGCAAATCAGGATTGTCATCCAGGAAGGCGTCAAACCCCTTCAGCTTCTGCGTGAGCCCCTTGATATGGTCAAGTCTGTCTACGCCAACAATGACTTTCACCCCTTTGTATCTCTCTTCGAGCGATTTGATGCGAGCCCTCACTTCAGGCTTCTGCAGAGTATCGGTGAATTTCTGCGGATCAATTCCTACAATGAATTTGTCAGTGCAAACCAGTCGATTCCGGTATTGAATCTGATTTGGGATCCCTGTTCGTGCGCCACTGGGAGAGACAGAGAAATATTCGGGATTAGGAACTCGCAATTTGGTCAAGTGGTACCCTCGGATGAATCAACAACACTCACAGCAAGCTAGCACAAGTATCGATAAAGTTCTGTTTGTACTCGTCCGTGTGGAACCCTATCAGGTCACTTGACAATAACCCCTCGATAAGATGCTTTCGAACGGGGAGATTCCTCCAGAAGTCACCAGCAGGGAAAGGAGTGTGCAAGGAAAATCCAACCGCACAGTGTTTCCCCTTTTCGTGGAGTCGGTTGCGGAGTAGCTCCGGCAAGAGCATAAGATGGTAATCATGGACCCAGATTAAGGTACCGGTTTCGGCGACATCGGCAATTGAATTAGCAAAGAGCTCATTCACGCGTCGGTAGGCCTGCCAAGGTCCATCATCGAATATCACGCCGGATTGGTAGTGTAGAATGGGCCATAGGGTGCGATCTGCATTTTGTTAGGGAGAGGGAGTCTGAATTTGCCGCATAAGCTTACTGGAGAACCCATTATAATGCTCATGAGCGAGATCACTGTCGAGAAAAATTGGAACTGCGTGGTGTTCTCCCAGGCTTTTCTCCACGTCGGCTCTATCCTGGCTATCTTTCACCTCCAACCCGGGCCATCCAAACCACTGGAATTGAGTCGACTTGCAGAGACCTGAGAGAGAGGTGACGAGTCCCCCACTAGAAAGGGAAGATTGGAAGGTTCCATCGACTCGTTTGATAGAGAGCGGTAGTCGGTTGGAGACGATGATAAGGTTGCTTTTGGAATCACTGGTGGATCCCATAGTGGAACTTGAAGTCGAGTTGACCGAATCGGGATAACACAAGGGGAGCACTTTGATTGTTTTTCTTACCTTCAAGTCAAGTTCATGTAAGATAGTACTAATGAAGATAGGGTAGCAGTACTATATCTACAGACCAATACTCGCCTCTTGCCGCAGACATGGCAAAGTATACGTCAGCATGATCAGAGTTCCAGACATTGTTGAGCATATTTGTTCTTCACCTGGTAATAGATCATATATGACTACTACTGCTATTGTAATCTTCATGGTAATCAGGGGCCCGGGGTATTAATTATGCCGTCCAAGGCTCCTAAGGTTCGAGATGTGAAGTGCGTCTATTTAGTAGATGCACATCATTTATATATCCAGTGCAAATGCCAGAATTAGACCTCGGAAGCTCGGGATGGACAGCCATTTGGAAGCTAACGTGCCTGTAATACGAGAACCAGCACAGATAACTCCATTACATTAATAGTCGTACTAGTACTACTGTAACTGTAAATACCAATGTTAAAACTCTTGTAGATCCCCTTGTAGACCAGACCACGTGACCTACCGCATTCGTGACTTCCTTGCCAACTTCTTCAACTTCAACTCCAAATTCACCTCTACTGTGATACTCTACTCTACCTATTCTTTAATTCTCGGTCACTCCCGCTCGTTCATTTCTGTGACTCTGCTCTTCTTCTCTCCATCTTCATCTTCATCGACCCGTTCCTCCAATTACAATCCACCGCCGCGGCGCCTCTCCCGCACTGACGTATCTCCACTGCCGCGCAATCTCCCACCCGTCTGGACACGGCATCAGCTTCTCTCTGGTTGCTAATCTCAAGTACAACACACACCGTTGAATAATCCTTGCCATTCTTCTCCCCGCTTGACCCGCGTCAATGCGCTTCGCTGTCCGATATCTCTGGTCTGGTTCCTGATCGGACATGCACCGTTAAGGCTTTCACAGCTCCCAAACATCGCGAGAACCGCCCTTTCTTCCCCACAGTCATGGCATCATCCCATGTTACCCAGCGCGCCTCGACATCCTCTTCCGATATTCCCCTCGCCGACCTCGAGAAGGGATCGCACACGACTCCTAGTCCAGATAATTCCCGCTGGAATGGTTTCTCTCAATTCCATCCCTCCAACATACTAGCGAACCACGACAATGGGCTGGCCCCAAAAGGACCGCGGGACGATTGGATCGCCCAAGCGGAAGATGCCTTTCACTCCTTGACTATTGCCTTGACGCCAAGTTTCCTACAGCGTTATGTCGGTGCCAACCCTCCACAGCCGGCCAAACTGCACGCCATCGCCGCGCTGGACGGGCTCCGTGGTTGGGCCTGTTTGCTCGTCTTCAATTTCCACTTCCTCTTCACATATACCTGGAAAGTCGCGGTCGGATGGGGGTTCGCTAATGAGAACTTTGGCATTCATCAATTGCCCATTGTCCACATGTTAATCTCGGGCCATATCATGGTGGCCATCTTTTTCGTCATCTCCGGCTACGTTCTCTCCTACAAACCTCTCAAGACCATCCGCTCCCGCTCCTTCGAACAAACTTTTACTGTTTTGGCCTCGTCGACTTTCCGCCGAGCCTTGCGACTCTATATTCCTTCAATTGTCGGGCTGGCCTGTGTCTTTGTGGCGGTCCGCTTGGGGCTGTACAACTACTCCTGGGGCGTCATCAAGGAAGGCCATACCATTCTCGGCACCAATGAGCAACATCCTCCGGTATACAAATCTCTCTACAAGCAGTCCTGGGACTTTTACTACACTGTTGCACGCCTCATGAATCCATTCGACTGGGGTCTTTATTACAACAACTACAGCCCACATCTGTGGACCATTCCTGTGGAATTGCGGAGCTCGATGGTGCTCTTCCTGGTGGCTCTCGGCACCTCCCGTCTCACAGCGCAGTTGCGCATGCCGATCGTTGCGACCTTGATTTGGTTCTGTATGCGCTACGGTCGCTGGGATGTAGTCCTCTTTTTAATTGGTATGTTGATGGCCGAGATTGATCAGATCAACGGAACATGGGAGAAGGCTCCCAACGCCGTCGACGAGAAACCCAACATTCGTCTCATTCGTGGAGGCAAAGTGCTGGCCAGCATATCTCGCCGCCGCTTCTGGATATTTGTGTTTGTTGTTGGCCTCTATTTTGGATCGACGCCCAACATCGGATACAAGTGGACGCCGTTCTACCGATGGATGTGGGACGCTACACCATGGACTTATCCCGAACCTCATCGCTTCCCCCAGACCGTCGGCGCCGCGCTGATCGTGTTCAGTATTAATCATTCGCCCGATATCCAAAAATTATTCACCAACCCCCTCTCACAGTACCTGGGCAAGATTTCGTTTGCCTTCTATATCGTGCATGGGCCAATTCTACATTGCTTGGGCTACGCGATTATGCCAAGTATATGGGAGATGACTGGCAAGGAAACCAACTTTCAATATTGTTTCGGGTTCTTGATCGGCTGGCTGATCTGTTTATCCCTTTCCATATGGGCTGGTGATGTCTATTGGCGTGCAGTCGACGTCCCCAGTGTCAAATTCGCTCGCTGGCTCGAGGACCGAGTAGTCGCGAAAGGGTAGTGAATTTGTATTATCATAGAGTCTTAGTCCCCTTTGTACATAGATGAATAAAGAAGCTTCAACTTTTCTACTTTAATTTCCAGCCTTGCCCTTCGTCTATGTAGAACATTGTATATCTTACTTTCGTAGTTTGATAGTTCAACCTTGGAAGTTTACATGCGGAACGGACCTCGGGAGTCATTTTAGATTTGAATTACTATTTCTTTATTCGGGTATATTTTTATGCTTGCGTCGGGCAGCATATCGGGTATCGGATTCTCATGTTATCATTAGTAGTGCCAGTTTAGAATAATTTGATCATCTCTAGCAGTGCTGGACGATCTGAAAATGGTGAAGCTAGCTAGCCAGGAGATGGTTGGATTGTATACCCATCATGTAGCGGGATCCTCGCCTTCGTTCCCTTCCCCGAGCCGGTCTCGAGACGCTGGCGCAGGCTGTGTTTCACCGAGAGGAAAGCTGAGATGTTTCCAATCTTCGATCTCCTCAATGATACACTTGAGTCGATCACGAATACTCTCGACCGCGTATGTGCCAAGGATCAGGCGAAGTGGCGGGTACGAGCAGTGACCAAGCTCCCAGACCAGGTGGGCCGCCTTGACTGCCGAGGCCGGCTGTTTGTCTGCGAGCCACATGAGCATGCGGCGAGCATGGGCTGCCGGGGAGGTTGTGGTGTTGTATGGTTCACTAGGCGGCTTCACGAGGAAGTGACCATATAGCGGGAGTGGGGACGAGAGATTGTGTTCCGAAGGGTTGGCAGCCATGACGGAAGGGGATACCAAATCACCGATATCGTCACGACGCATATGACCCGGCTCAACGAGTGTACCCTTGATATTGAAGCTATCCACTTCATAGAGCATGCTTTCCATCAAGCCCTCGACCGCATACTTGGATGCACAGTATGGCCCGAGGCCGGGCACTCCAAGTGCCCCCGAAGTTGAACTGAAGATCAGATATCGACCGGCTCGCCGCTCCCGGAAATGCGGTAGTGATAATTGAATCATATTGAGGGTCCCGGTAAAGTTTGTCTCGAATTGATTGCGAATATCGAATTCGTCCTGATCCTCACAGGCCCCGATAACGCCGTACCCGGAACAATTGGCGATCACATCAATGCGACCAAAGCGAGCGATGGTCTGTTCGATAACGCGTTTGACAGTTTCGCGTGCCCGTACATCACACAGTAGTCCTGAGACAGTTTTCATGTTCGTCCTCAAGCTCTTTCATGCATTCCGGGCTGTTCTCGTACGTCCGACCGACTGCGCTGACCAGATCGTTGCGGGAGAGAGCGGTTTTGACTAGGGACCGGCCCATATGGCCGGTCGCACCGAAAACCAGCCAGACGAGCGGTTTAGGAGGATTCTGGGGCCCCGGAGGGTCGGTGGTCGAGGGAAGATGGAGTCGAGGTTCACGAGAGGCTGTTGGGGATGAAGGCCCTCCCCGTGAGGGTGAAGTCTGCTCCATTGTAGAAAGGGGAGGGAGGTAGCAGAGAAAGATCCAATCGACTGAGGGGGGGACCTGTTCACTATGGCATGCTATCCATACTGTGATGGTCAGCTTGTGAAAGAGCAGTAACAGTTGAAGATGTGACGAGAAGGAAGACTCGCCGCACCCCGCAAAGATCAGTCACACCGCCTGGAAGCTCTGCCGAACAAATATGCGGGCGGAGAAGAGCATACTCTGCCTGAGGCATTAACATCTTGTGTAATTTGATGCCTTGTTTATGATGTGTTTCTAACTACAACTTATCTACAACTCAAAGTATAAGGTGAGCTAGATTGCAAACAGTCTTCTCTGACTTTCCTCTAGTTAGTGGCTGAATACACTGGTTCAAAACTCTAGGCCATGTGGCTCTACTAATTTAGTAAGTTACTAAACGTCACGAGGCTAATTAATATTCACAAGAAAACCAACCGCTAGAATCGAAACAATGGCTACGTAGTTAGACACGTTTAGTTACTGTTCTTTCTTTCCATCTCCATCATCAGGCTGGCCTTCAATGATTCCCGCCCCGATCTGAACAGACTCCTCCCAGCCTCGCTGACGCATCCAGAATCGCTCGGCGGGGTCGGTGTCATGCGAAGATGACCGGCGAGCATCGTCTTCAAGACTGTGACGCGAGATCCCGGGAGGACCTGAGATAGTTACAGTATCGCCTTCATCATGGTCATCCTCCGCATCAGCACGGAGCGTCGAGTCCAAGTATCTCTTGCGCACCAGATATCGCTCAGCTCGTTCCTTGCGTGAGAATGGAGGCTCTAGCCTGGCCATAGCGGTTTCGACGGCATATCGGAGGAGAAGGTACAGATGCTCCGAGAAAAAGATGGTGAGTAAAAGCGCCCAGCCCGCAATGTCGGTTGGCTCGCCATTAGGTCCATGCTGCGAGTTGCCACTAAACATGTATATCAATGATGCACTCGTAATGCTGCCAACCCATGATAGGAAGCCCAGAGTATCCAGCCAAGGGCCGATGGTATCTGCTCGCAGTGGTGTTGGGCGGCGGAATTCCATGCAGATCTTGAAAAAGTCGGAGCGCAGCTCAACCCAGTTGTTGACAAAGAAGGACACCGGGACCAAAGGCCAGACGGGCGAGAATAGTGCCAAGTATCCAAACTGAATACACATCTCACGCAAGTCATCCGTGACTTCGTACTCAGATAACTCAACCTCGTTCCGAACGCGAGCTAGGAACTCCTTTTCTTCGATCGGATCATCGTAGGCAATAATCGGCTTTCTTTCGGGAGACTCCTTGTCGCCATTCTGGCCCGGTCTACCGTTGCGCTTCTTGTTGAAGGCTTTGTATTTTCGGAATGCACCCTGCTTGACATATGGCACAATGTTTTCCATAGCGAACCCAACGATCTGCGCAGTAACGGTGAAGTAGATAACCTGATTCCTGAGACGGGCGGGATCAATTTGGAAGTGCGACCGTTTTGCAGATGCGTGTTCTTTGGACACGAACGGGCGGACAGTCAGACGGAAAACGTCAAGGTAGGGCACAATGCGACTAGCAAAGGGAACGTAGACGAAGGCTGTCAAGAAGACCGGGAGGTAGGAAGTGATGAAATTTATGACGAAGACTTTCTGGGTGAGTGCCGCATCGTAACCGTCGTTGGTCTCATGGTTCTCGTAATCATTAAGCTTGGTGGCGATGGACATCAAAACTGCACTCATGGTAGGGACAAGGGCCGACACCAGGATGGTAGGAATAAAGATCTTGGAATGTGAGTGTCAGACCACAAAGTACGAGGGGAGCAGCTGGGGAGTGCCGGACATACCAGGTACGTTTTCAACGGGCCACTATACAGTTCCGAGATAAAGATCTCAATCGCAAAGCAAGTCGCGATGATAACACCAAGAGCGATTGCGGCAAGTAGAGCAAATGGAATCTGGAGTAATTGCCGCTGCATGCGTTTCGTTGCAGAGAAGACACCTCGCATTTCACCGGTGCTATCGTCGCGTACCTCCTTTTCGGGCTTGAACTCACGTCGGTTAGTCCGCACCGCTGAAACACCCTTGGTCTGCCATCGGCAGCTCAAATCCTGTTCTTGACGCTTCCAGTACTCCACGAATATAATGCACCACAGGCTGTTGACGATGGTGTAGACAATTGAATAACCACCCAGGAAAAACCAGCATGAGAAGCCGAAGATGGCGGGGAAGGCGAGAAACCGGAAGTAGGATTGCAAGAAGGAGAAGTAGAAGCCGACCTAATGTAAAGTATAATCAATCAGTGGGATAATTTCCAGCTGGCAGAAATCGGTGGAAACAAACGCTTTCTCCGAACTTGTTGCGGATTTGATCAAGATCATCATCAGAAAGGAAGGTCTTTTTGCTCCATTCCTTCATCCACTTTTTGTTTGTTTCGATGTCGTGTAGAGGGAAAACAGCGGTCACCTTCTCCCATTCGCCATGGCTGGGAGTAATTCCAGCGCCCCCTTCCTCGGTGGGAAGAGTAATCATCTGGCTTATCACGCGAAGTCGCTCGGCTTCGGTTTGGGGTTCGATCGCACTGGCCGGTTCGGGCTCGGCATTACGAATGCCATAGAGCCAATCGCGGACTCTAGAGGTGATGGGTGAAGGGTTAGCTTGAATTGAATGATTGACTGCATGCAAGAACATGCACAGGGAGAAGAAATGGGGGGGATTTGAGGGAACTTACCGCGACCGGTAGACAGCCCTCCTCAGTCGCTTCTTGGAGGCGCGCACGAATATCAGCAAGGATGATTCATCGCCTTGGCGGATCTCCGTCTGCAAACCAGCATCAGAGAGCGCCCGAAGGAGCTTTTCTAGCTGTTGCACAGCTTGCGATCGGCCTGCCGAGACATTAGCCAGCGGTCAAGAAGTGCTAACCCAGCCCAGCCCCTAAGCTCGGCACTCACCGACATTGGCAAAACTATAACAAACCACATAGTCCACCTGGAGGTTGTAGCCCAGGGCATTTGCCTCTGAGTTGGTGGCCATTGTGGGAGGAAGAGAGAATTGGGAGTTGTGCTGGAGTGGAAGAGAAGAAGAAAAAGAAAGTTGAAGCTGAAGTTGAAGTTGGCCAAGCTAAAATGGCCGACGTCATCGCCGAAGCTTGGCGGGGAAACCAGCTGAGCAGCACTGCCACATACATCAGAGTTAGGAAAACAGAGCCGGTTTTATGATATTTTGATACATTTGAGTGTGGAAGGGATGGTGGTGATCTTCCTTTATCGTTATGATTTTATTTTTAATTTATTTTTATGATTCCGAGTCGCTGTCTACTTACATACTATGCGTACTAGTTAGTTAAGTTAGTACCTGATCTATATTAGTATAGAAGTCTGCCATGCTTGACAGATTAACGCAAAAATTGCTTCAACAATCCAGATAGCATCTCGGTCATCTGCTGATACAGCCCCTGACGCTTGATCTCAAATGCATTGAAAATATCCTTAGACGAGCCAACCAGAATCTGATCTTCCCGCGCATCCAACTTCTCCCATACCTCTTCGGTAAATTGCTGAAGAGGCATACCGATAAGACGGCCACTCTTCAGATCCGGCTGGTGCTTCGCATCGTGGAGCTCAGTCTGAACAGCGGGGGGGGGGGTAGATTTCGATCACTTGGACATCCCCCGGTCCTTCAGACAATTTGGTACGGAGGGCGAGGATAAAATGATGCAAAGCGGCCTATGAGGCACCATAGTTTGGGCAGCGCATCATCTGGACCAAGGCAATTTGAGAGGTTGTGAAGATCAGAGCGGCTTTTTTAGATTATTGTTGAAGATGAGGAATGAACGCTTTAGCAAGTCGCACGGCCGATATATAGTTAGTTGGTTGTCAACTCCTGGTCAAAAACGTCCATGTCGACCATATCGGGGCTGGAAAAGTTGAAAGCACGCTGGATGCCAGAGTTGACAAAAATACAGTCCACATCAGGGTGCTCAACAACCACTTCGGAAGTATATTGTGCAATCTGCTTATTTCAATGATTAGATGCCAATTCATCGGACAAAGTAGGACCCGCTTTCTTCAACTTACTTGGCCGAATATTCATGACATCCAAAGGCTTGGCAGAAGACCATGTCTTCGCCATGTTTCTCAACAAATTTATCCAAATTTTCCTTGCGTCGCCCAGGAATGACGACTTTGGTGCCGTTCTCGCCAAGCCTCGTGGCCAGTGCCTCCCAATACCGTTGGTGGCACCGATGAGCAGGACTTTCTGATAAGGAAATGAAATGCTGCCAAGCTTTGCGAAAGATGAAGAATTTAGTGCTGGGAAGATCTCGAGCTCTGCGAGTTTCTAGATTTTGGTGATTTCTACAATGACCATATTCATACTCGTACTGCTTTATATACAAATAATTAGAGAACCTAGAAAAGTTTTGCCATAATCGCCTGAATTGTCATCAAGGGTCTTCAACTTAATTGCAGCTGCGGGGACTAAGCCTAATCCGATTTGAATGGAGCTTTGCCTGATATCTTGGTAGCTGTGGGAATCGAAGGCTTCCGCGAAAGCCGAGGCCGCCACCGGTGGAGTTTAAACCGGATTCGGAATGCAAGGCCATGCTATGAATCAGTATTGGAAATTTGCCGGATTTTAGAGATTTTTCTACTTGGCACAAACAGTGGGGGCAGTAGGAAGGGTCTACTCTTTTCTCCAAATCTTGAAGATTCTGTCTACCGAGTTGCAATATTTTCGCAGCACGAATTTTCTAGAACTTGGTGCAAATGCTACAATCCAGTAAAGAAGATAGAGAATCACTGTCCGCATTTCTAAGATTTATAAAGTAGTTTGCATTGCAGAACCCATTCCGAGATATTATATGGAAACATGAGCCTTTTCAGATCAAGGAGTCTCGGAAACATTATAGACAAGCTTTTCGCCACGGACTTGGTCAGTCTTCAGTAACTGTAGTCCCTCGAGGACACCCTTCAAGCCATTCTTGCCGACCTTGGGAGGGTGAACCTTGATCTTGCCCTCCTGAAGCAGATGCTGAGCAACATCGATGAACTTCTCGCTATGGGCTTTGTCCTCTGGCTTTGCCGGGTAGGGGATATCGCCAAATTTGAATGCTTCACCAATAATGGTATAGACAAGAGTAAAGCGGTCATTGACGTTCGGACGTGCAATCTTGACGCTCAAGAGAGCGCTGTACTCACCGCCAGTGGTAGAAATGGCATTGTCACAGAATGCAGCACTGGACTCGAGAGAAATGCAGTCAAACACGAGTTTCAGGTTGTCGTTAGTATATTTGCGGATCTCGGCGGCCGACTGGGGATCCTTGTAGTCATAGACCGCATCAGCACCGAGAGAACGGACGAGGTCAAAATTTCTTTGAGAGCAGGTTGTGATCACGGTATATCCAGAGAGCTTCGCGAACTGGATAGCGAGAGTACCGGTGGCGCTTGAACCTCCATAAATCAGGATAGGCGTAGCATCCTTAACGGGCTCCGAGGGAAGCTGGAGCTTGAGACTTTGGTAGAGGCCCTGTCCCACGGCACCGATGCCAACACCCAGAGTAGCGGCTTCTTGGAAGCTAAAATGGTCGGGGATTTTCATTTGCAAGTCTCCCTTAACCACAATGTACTCTGCAAAAGTTCCGTCCTCAGGCTCGACAGAGTTACAGCCATGGGCAAATCCACAGATACGGTCTCCTTTTTTGAATGGCTTCTTGACATCCTTCCCAACGGCCTCCACAACACCCGCATAATCACATCCCACAAGGACTCCAGGGGGAGCAAGATACGCCACATGCTTCCAATCAGTGGGGTTAAGACCAACTGCCACATTCTTCACAAGGATATAGTCATCGCGGAGAGTGGGGATTGGCCGATCCGAGACCAAACCATCGGTCTTGGGTTGAGTGATGATGACGGCCTTTTGGGTGGACATATTGGGATTCTAGTACCTAGCACAATGTGTGGGACAAGAAAAAAAAACGTGTTTTGGAAGATGAGTTCGTCGGCAGGGTCCTCCATTTATGTATCGAAAAGATTACAGATCCCCCTGTTTCGTGGAGATATTAGGTAGAATGATGACGAATAGAGAATGGTGGATTCCATGGGCGCCCCATAAACCCTGCCAGGGATCGCTGGTGGTAGTGGTGGTTAGTAGTGGTGTCAATGTACTAGTATCTAGTATCAATTGAGGGGTTGTACTATGTCAGAGCTGACTTAATACTAATTATCTGCGAACCAGACTAGATCATGGGATGGCTGGCCGCCTGACATCATGGTTTTTTCGGAATTGTGTCGCCTCTAAGATAAATTATTCACATTTCTCCCTCTTCGCAGTGTCAATCTCTGTGTGAAAATGCGGCGGGGATCCGGGGTGATTTTAAATTGATTGATAATGCTCGAGAATGGACCTCGGGAAGTCAGAATTGCGGTGTTGTCTTGCCTACACTCGAAAAATAGTTAATCATTGGAGTCAATTCGGAAGAATATCCCGCCGGCGGGCAAATAAATTTTTGCTAGCCGAGGACCGTGTGGAGATAATCAAAACGACGGCCAGTTGATCTGTCTTCTAGAGATCGTGTTTGATAGAACATTACTAATATCTGTCCGTTGCGTAGTATTGTAGACTGCGCGGTGGTCTGTGACTTTAATTCGATCTTATAAACCTTGGAACGCGACCGGTCTCTGGTGCTCTGTCAAAAACCATTGCCTACTAATTTTATACCATCCTGCAACTCACATCCCTTCTAAGAAGAGTGGCCAATTACTGAGTTGATCGGGAATACCTCGACATCAGTTTTGACTGCATCTTGCTTTTTTGGGTGCAAATTCCAGCATCATGCAAGCAAGGGCGAACCCCGCGATGGCCATGGATAACAAAAACAACAAAACAAACACCCCCCCACCTTTTCCATCTTCGTCAAGTGGCGGTCTACGCGTAACATATGGGTGGGCAGAATGGACTTGAATGTTGATAAAAATCGGTGCTCTGGATATGGATATGGGAGATGGTGCAGTTGCTGTAGGGGTTTGATTCAGCCACAAACTAGTTAACTAACACTGGAGTGACTAGCGTCCCCCTCCAAGGTGCGACCGCAGGGATGCAGGGGTTCAATCGGGAATTAGTACCAGTACGACCGGGATCACCTCGTGCTTATTATTTTCTCATCACCCCCCCGCCATCACTCCCTTGCTCCTCCTCTTAGCCTTTTCACCGACCACCTGAAGATCCCAGGAAACCTCCTCACTTCCCTTGATCAGCGATGAAAGTCCTTTGCCTTCACGGGAAAGGAACGAGTGGTGCGATTTTCCGCTCCCAAACAGGTACATTGATTACACCCTGCATTCCGATGGACACAGCAGTTACTTAAGACTAACATGACCACACTCAGCCTCATTCCGGGCCCGGCTGTCTGATAAACATATCGAATTTGATTTCCTGGATGGCCCATTCAAAAGTGACCCGGCTGCCGGGGTTGATCTTTTCTACGAACCCCCCTTACTACGCGTGGTGGGATTCTGGCGACGTTGAATCAGTTCGTGCTGCGTGTTTGTGGTTGAACGAGTACATCGCAAGGAATGGCCCTTATGATGCTGCCCTCATGTTCTCGCAGGGATGTGTTCTCGGATCAAGTGCTTTGCTCTTGCACCAGGAAGAAACACCGCATCTCCCACCTCCATTCAAGAGTGCCATTTTTGTCTGCGGCGGAGTTTCCATGAATATGCTTCAAGATCTAGGATTTCACATCTCTGCGGAGGCTCATGAGCGTGACTCGGCATCACGAACAGCATTAGAAAAACAGGCCGGCGTGTCAGCTGTCTTAGCACAAGGAGTGAATCGTTGGACAGGTATCGCTGGAGGCCTCTCGGAGGATGAACTGCGCAACGAAATCCAAAGTCCATACTGTGTGGATATTCCCACAGTACATATCTATGGCTCGAAAGATCCAAGGTATGCCGCTGGTGTGCATCTATCGAGCGTATGCAATCCCGACAAGCGACGAACTTACAACCACGGTGGTGGTCATGAAATCCCTCGCACAACTGGAGTTAGTTCTTCGATTGCAGAGCTAACGGAATGGGCTCTTGCCTCGATCGATGCCTAGAGGGGTCTTTGTATTGTCTATTTCGGGGTTTTCCATAGAGCGGGAAGAAAAGCAGATATTGGAAAACATAGGTACTAGGCGTATCTTATATGAGGACGACGCTGCGGTGAATGAGATAGTTAGATAGAAGATGATTTGCGGCATTTTTGAAAATCTTAATGACTGCCATTTCGAATTACTTAGTATATCTGAAGTGTCTTCTCTGCGTTTATTCTCGCATTTTTGACAAGCTGACATAAGCGCACTTATTTGCGCGCCGCAAATCGTCGGGGATTTTCAAATGGAAACATTTAGCCATGTGGATAGCAGATGACAAGTTGCAGGCGTAAGAGCCATTGCCACATCAAAATACAAGATCTCTGTTTCGATTCGAGTCTTGCCAAATCCCGATACCCTCATCGAACTGCTGGGCAGTTCGAGCAGTCAAGGCTTGGGAAATCCAACGCACAGTTCTCGGAATCCTCAAAGGCTGCAAATTGCTTTTTACTAGACATATGCAAGTTTGCTATCCAAATTTTTCCAGAAAAATGGCTCCACAAGGGCTTTCCGTCCTACCTCCGGACATGATGGACTCACAACTATCAACAATCGATCTCCTGGCCTCGATGTTCCCCTCGCCGGGAGAGATGGAGATCCCTGAATCCACAACCGAATGCATTGAAAAACTTCGTGACTGGTGCCAGAACCCTACAAATGCACCAAAGGTTCCTTCCAGTCTGTTTCTCACGGTCCGTTTACCAATTTTGGATGGGGAGAAAACCATCCAGGTCAACATGTCTGTCCCTCTACACTGCGAAAATCCCGATACCATTGATCAACCACCGCTAGCCAGCTTTTCACTTCGACAACCGGACTGGATGTCCAAAGCAGAAGTCTCTGGTGTTGCAGCCTCCATTCCACAGGGAGATGCGTTAGAGGCGTTTGACTATATTCAAACACAAATCAACGACTTCCTTGCGAATAAGCAAACCCAAGCGACTGCTTTGGAAAATGCAAGTTCCAATACGAAATCTAGTGGCCCAATCGTCAGAGTCTGGTTTTACTTTCCGTCTCTGTCAACGCGAAAGAAGAGAGATGACATGGTGAATCTTGCACCGGGATATTCATTGACTGGGTTTGTGCTAGCAGGGAAGCCAGGCGTCCTATGCCTTGAGGGTTCATCGACACATATCGATTCATATATGAGCTTTATCAAGACTCATTCCTGGGGAGATATCCCTAGTCACCAAAAGAAGGTCAGTGAGAGATTTCGTGAGACAGAGGGTGTTCAAAGGGTATTTTCTGGAATGGAGGAGATTACAGACTCGCTTGGTGAGCGGGGTGGCCAGAGAGCGAATCGAGGTGATATGCAAGCCCTGGAGGCATGGTTAGGATCAAAAGGATTACAAGAGGCCTTCGAAAAGGTCATATTTTAGCCTCTAAAATTGATGGAAATATTACTGGTAGTGGTAATGAGTGCATATTGCCCAGTGACAGTATATCATGCTGTTCCAAGCTTACCGAGGCTACACTAGTGGACTACCGTCGGGCCTATTAGGCGAGTCTACCTTAGTATGTGGATTGATATCAGAGATATACGATATATTCTTTGTATTTAATTTGACGTTTGATAGTATGCGGAATCCATTGTACACTTTCACTGCTCAACTAGAGAATGGAAGCAGCCCGTGTTCTTGGTGTGTGCATGGGTACGGGGTGCTCTCTTCGTGTTTTGCTTGGTAACTGTACCATTATGCACAGGAATGGATGAAAGGTCGTTGGCATATGTCGCGACGGCAAAAGCCGTAGCCTTGGAGTTGATCAGGAATGCCTTTTTGTTGAGGTTGGTATAGTCGTCCCCAGCAGCGTGGTAATTCTCATCGTATGACACATTTGCTTGGCCTCCAAACAATTTGGCTTCTTCGGCAGTTTTCAAACCTTCGGCACCGGTGAAAAGACCACCTGCGGGGATTCCACGAGATATAAAGCCGTCATAATCAGATCGGCCATCAAACGCCGTTGGAATGTAAGGCAACTTTTTGGACTTGAAGTAGTTCTCGAACAATGCCTCGATCTGGGCGGAGCCTGCCGGGCCAGTTTGGTTGAATGCATCTCCATCTCCATCGTAGATCATGAGCGCGTAGTTGGGTGAAGCGATCATATCAAAGTTGAGATAAAGCCTGATCTTAGCCAATTCACTGGAGTCCAAGTGGGAGGTGTAGTATTCACTTCCCAACAGGCCGAACTCTTCTGCGGTCCAGAAAAGGAATCTGACGGCATTCTTGACCGAGAATCTTGTCAGGGCTTTTGCGACAACAAGGTTGCTGATAATTCCAGAGCCATCGTCATTGATTCCTGGGCCAGCTTCGACAGAGTCGGTATGGCCACCAAGAGATACGACATTGTTGTGATCACCGCCCTTGGTCTCAGCAATGACATTGAAAGTGGTGCGGTTTTCAACTCTGCTGTCAATCTCGAGAGACAAAGTAACGGCACCCTCCTCTGCAGCGCTAAGAATAGTAGCACCGTCGGCCTGTGAGATGCCGGCAATCGCAGCATAGTCGCTAGACACACCACCCAAAGTTCCACTTAGAGAACCCTCAGCATTGTTATAGACAACGACCGCGGCTGCATCAGCGGTGCCTGCCAGAATCGACTTTTCAGCAAAAGTACATTCACCACGTTTGACAAAGGCAATCTTGCCAGCCACGTCACTTGGATAATCTGATGCAGTGCATCCGAGGTTTGAGACGATGGCTATCTCTGCAGTTACATCAACACTAGGACTGTATGTCATTGTGGTCGCCTCAATGGTATCACCATTGAAAGTCAGCGATGACTCCGCAGTAGTCCATGTGTGCACCTGTGGCTGTTTCCAGACATTGTAATAGCCAGTTTTCTTCAGCTCGCGATACAGGAAATCGACCGTATCATTATGGGCTGCACTACCAAAAACGCGGTTGCGCTCTGGGTACGCGTAAGCGAAGTCCTCAAGCTGCTGTGAACCCTTCAAAAGGTCGTCCAAGTGAACCAAAGAAGACAATTTATCCTAGTTCACGAGTCAGTATATCTGGAATGTATTCCAAGGTTATGGAGAAGATCGTAGCATATATATGAAACGTACTGGCGAAACAAGGGGCTTAGACCGACCGGCCAGGGCCAAAGTCAAATGAGAGATCAATAAAAGCAACTTCATGTTTGGCGCTTTATTATAATGGTGGCTTTTGGCAGAAGGAAGGCTGAGCTGGGTTTATATACATTTTGGAAGAAATGAAGCACGCGATGATAAAGAGCAATGGTGCATGATTGGCATAGACCCCGCGAGCGAGCCAAGAAAGTGGCTGTACTTGGCAGAGGGGGTAAACAACTTATTGGAAGGGGAGAGTGTTGAGAAGCCAGAATGCAGGCGGAAACCCGACGGCACTTGGCATTGCAAACGCTGAGGTTACAGTGCCAAGGGAGAAGGGTACAACAGATTCAGAGACCAAATAAGTGAGTGGTTGGGGGAGGAGTCGCTGGTAATTGGAAATCAAGACTATGTCTGTAAACAAAGAAACGCTTAATCTTCCTTCAGATGGCCAGATTTCCATCTAAAAAAGGGGAAACAGGGGGAGTGGCTGTATTGCCATATGCAAGGGCGGGGGACAGAAGAAGCAGCTTATTACTGGTTATTTGAAGCATTTTTTGGCAGATGGTCAATTAGGATTGGCTTGGTACAGTAAGATAAGGCCCAATCATCAAGATCGGGGGCCCCCGACAACTTTGACTTTGACAAAGAAAGGGCATGAAAGGCTTACCGCAAAAACAAAAAAGCTGGCAAATTCCAACTTGAAGCTCATTTCAAATGTCCTTGACTCGACTCTTGGCCACACTGCTAGTAGAGGACCTTGCGAGAATCAAGACATGGAAATTAAATAACCTCGTGGATACTTACTACTAGTATAAGTTATTTTCAAAACCTATTTACCCTAGGCTGATCGGAGTCCAAACCAGAATCATAAATAGCATTTCAAGTCAAGTTGTTGACAAATGGTTTTTCAATGAATAATTTAAATGTGAGGTTCAGAATTCACCTCAGGCTCTCTTGCATTTCCTTGGCTTTTATTACCCATTCTAAAAATTCCTTCCTGTTCATCTTGTATTCCCGAGTGTTTATAATCCGATTGTTTCGTGTCACTTTGTCCTCGGTCGATGCTTACTGAATTCAAAAATAAAATCAGATGGCTACTCTATCTAATTCCTCGAGGTAGATGGGTCTACGTATGGTCCGCTTGGCTAGTTTCCAGATGCTGAATTCGACAGCGTGTCTTGGCGATGTCTTGAAGAATTATGATTTATGAAAATTGGGTTTGTATCTGAATCTGAATCACCCGGACTATGGCCTCACAGTTGATCACCGTCTACTCTTATAATGGGCAATTATCGTTTGCGACTGGAGTGATTATGAATACTTATCACTGCTTGTCGCACGGCCGGGACAGCCATGAGCCGGCCCGGGCATGCGCGGGGAATGAGTGAAGCTCCCCCACCTGCGGGGGTCCCTTTGGAGTGGCGATTAGGGTTAACCCACCACCGTCCAATCAATCAGGTCTCCCTGGGGCTGGAAGCTTCCCCTCAGAATCCCCAATTTTAGTTTGAAATTCCAAAAATTGCCATACCAAATTGTCCGATCTAAAGCTTCTCCACGTGATCGGCCCGGCGCGGGAACCAGCCCGATGCGGCGGAATTGAAGACCTCTTTCAAGCATTCTAATCAGACCTGGACCTGATTAAATCGGTGGGAATCATTTTGGTCGAATAGATAAGTTGGCCACTCGCTCTCTCTCCCGAGAGACTGGAAAGACAATTTATCGGAGGTAGTCCGGTTGGTCGCTAGGTCGTCTCACACCATACGGTCCGTCCGGCCCGTATCACTTTCAGTACAAGTCGTCGGAGGAAGGTCTTGTTTCTCGCCAGCTCACCACGGCCCGTCCGGCCCGTATACATACTACAAAAGACCGTGACACATTGGAGTTATATACTAGTTCATACCTACCTGCACAACCATGAATTCGAGCAATCCCTCCTATCTGATTGTCGGCGCCGGCGTCTTCGGCGTGTCGACCGCCTACCATCTCATCCAGAAATATCCCAACGCCAGTGTGACTTTAATTGACCGAGATGCGTACGACGCAGAGTCACGCGTGGCTGCATCATGGGATTGGAACAAGGTAGTTCGCGCGGACTATGATGACAAAATCTACTGCAGACTAGCCCTCGAGGCTCAGGAAATTTTCAAATCGGACCCTCTTTGGCAGCCATTTTTCCACCAGACAGGTGTCTATTGGACATGTCGCAGTGACTATGCACAAAATGTCATCAACATCCATAAAGAGCTGGGACGCAATGACGATATAATTGCTCTCCCAGTCGCCGAGGCTCGAAAGCTCTACGGCGGGGTTTTCGACAATGCTGATTACACCGGCGTGAAGGAGGTTTTGGTGAACAGAGCCAGTGGCTGGGCGGCTGCTGGTGATTCACTCCGAGCAATCACCAAACGGTGTATAGAATTGGGTGTCAAGTACATCACGGCCGACGTTGCGACCTTGGAATTCGATGGTCGCGGCTCTTGCACTGGTGTCAAGACGAAATCCGGGGAGGTGGTGTCTGCTACAAAGGTCATTGTGGCTGCGGGAGCATTCACGCCCACATTACTGGAGTGGAGTGCTGCGAAGAGCGGAAATGCAGGTCTACGAGCCGGAGAGCGAATCCTGGCCGCTGGTATAACGACAGGAATGGCACAGCTGAATGAGGAGCAATATACGAAGTACAAGGATATGCCGGTTGGTTTCCAAGGATATACACCAGCTGAGGGTAAGTACTATACAATGACCTATAGTCGTTGAATAGGAGTTTCTGATATGATCACAGGCAAGCCTTTTATTGGCAGCATTCCACCGACCAAAGATGGAGAGATGAAATGGTGGGGATCGAAGATCTTCACAAACACTCGAGAAGTCCTGCCAGGTCGACACATTTCGTCCCCTCCACCCACACACGATTACAACCAGTGGAAGGTGCCCGGACCTTTGAAGCAGGATATTGTCGAATCTCGAAACTTGTGGTATGGACCTAAGAGTGCGGATTGGAATATGACGAAGCACCGAATCTGCTGGTGTGTACACTATTAATCCCCCCCAATCATAGTGAATGGATTCTAATTTTAATAGGGATGCTTTCACCACTTCTTCCGATTTCATCATTTCACCCCACTCCGCTTCCAAGGGTCTTTATGTCGCGACGTGCGGCTCATTTCATGGGTATAAGTTTTTCCCTGTACTTGGAAAGTACATCACACAGATGATCGAGGGTGAGCTGGAGTCCGAATTGGTAGAGAAGTGGGCTTGGGATAGACAGCGTCCTGATTCTTCGCAAAACGTTGAATATCCGAACGCCGAGATGAAGCATCTGTTGCAGCCCGCAGCGAAGCTCTAGAAGATCATTTTCACATTTCAGTGTGATCCATCGTATATAGTTGCTGCACGGGCGAGCGTGGTTTAATTAGCGCATGTTTGGTTTAATGAAATCCCTACTATCACGACATTTTCCCATTCCAAAGTTATTCTTCCCCAGATGTCCTGAATGTTTCTTTATACATTCAATTCACAATGATCGTTTAGGTATCTACACTGTCAGAAGTGAATGATTTATTCGGGAATTCCTACGAGGTCATAGTATCTTTAGGGATATCTACCGGAGAGATTTTTGACACTAGTACAGTATAGTAATTCAACGATTCATTCTTTGAGACAAACTTATATATAGAACCCGGATGATTGGGTGACAATCAATTGGAAGGCGAACCCCAAGGCTTACTCCACTTCCACAACAATCTCGACATCAGTCCCCCAACTCATTGAATCCGAGTCCGTTCTATAATGGGCAGGCGGAGCCTTTTGCAGGGTGACAAGAGTGGCCCTTCCGGACAGGAATTCTCTCTCGCGCTCAAGATACGCCATGGTTATTTTTTGCGTTTTCATGGCAGCTTGCAGCTTCTGTCCCTCTTCAATCGACAAGGCTGGCCCACCAGGCTGCCGAGAGAATATATTCATACTATGACGCGCTCTGGATCCCGATAGTCCGATAAGGTAACAACGGAATGTGAAGTGCCTCCGTCCTGCTGCAAGTATAGGGAAATTCATTTGGGTCGTACTTGTGGGTGTTTCTCTGCTCTCGATCACAGGTATGGTCTTCTCACCAGAAATGTTCGACAGATCTAGCTCTTGATTTCGATTTATTTCAAGGTCGTCAGTGTTAGGTAAGATCCAAACTACCTTGCGTGCTGGCGAACGATGTTGGACCATTGATCGGTTTAGTGAGCGCCTATGATGTGAGCTAGGAAGGTCGGCTGGACGAAGCGCGATTTTGATATCGTGCAGCTCGCGCTTGCGCTTTCGCGGATTCTGGTGTCGACGGTTGAAAGGGCTGCTTGAAGTTTCTTCGTCTTCCTGATGGAGATACCTTTTCGTCACAGACTGGCTGTATTCGCGCAGCAGTTGAGTTCTATACTGGGTGCTCATACCTGGAGTGCAAACCATTAGATAGAAGTCCACAGTCTCTCCTTCGGACGACACTCGACCATTGAGATCTGGCTTCGCCTTATCAAAGTAAGCATAAGCCTTGTTAAATCTTCCTCGTTGGAGGGAAATTCGACCGAGCCAGTAGTGACACCTCGCAATGCTGTGCTTATCACCAACCGTGTGAGCAAGGGTCATAGCACGCCAGATTTCCATTCTTGCTCTTCCGTAGTGATAGTGTTGTAAATGTTCGATGATAAAAACAAATGACCATGAAAGGTCCGAATTAGTCCTCAATTTATCCAAATCTTGCGCCGGGAACGGGATCGATGCAAGTTGCATATGTTCCTCGAACAGCGCCTTGGTATCTCTGTGGATACCGTAGAGTTCTTCCTTCAGACTTGAAAGCGAGATGGTGCTGGACAGACCATCATCAGTGATTGTTAGCTGGGGGGGTCTCGAGATGAACGGCAACCTCGCTTTCGACAGTTTGGTTAGCGTATGATGTACTAGTACTAGTACCAGTGGTATGCATGGTTTCCGATGTCCTGCGCTCGGTCGTCATATTCAAGTTCGTGGGTCGACTGGGATGTGTGGGCAGCTACTCAAGTAACCAGAAACCAGGTGGACTCTCTGTGGACGGATACAAGCCTGAACGATTCTGCTTCTTTTATTAGTGTCTTCCTAGGTAGTATTACCTGGTATATATACTAGGACTAGTACTATCATATCAGAATCATTTAATGGTCTCCGAGTTCTCACTGGTCATGTAGTACTAGTATTCATCTGACAGCCCAACCCTTTGTTTCGAACAAACCCACATCTCAAACTCTTTGTACTGTGAAAGGATAAAGAGGATCAGAGAGAAACAATCTTTATTGTTACGTCTTTCTGTTTGATACCGAAGATTCATTGTCAGCTTATTCAAAAGTCACCTTTGTGATAGATCGGAGAGAGATTATCTTCCCCTTCGTGTTTCTTACTCGTTGGTTGTTAGCCCCCGTTTCACTCTGGCCTCGGCCCGGCCCAGAAAACTCAGGAGATCGAGAAGGCAGTAGATAGGTGCACATTTGGGGAAATTTGCGCGTTGGTACGCATGGTATTAGCATATATGCATAAATAATGATTAGGCTATAGGTGGGTATCTATAAGAATGATCGTGTGGAGCACAGCGCATATACATGCAAAAGTAAATCAGAGATTCTATCATAATTCCTCATGCTCAGGGGGGCTAAGTTTATCGCAAACACTGGCATAATCCCGCATATTCTGGGGGGATGGTTTCTTCCCAGAGCTCATCTTGTTGGAGAAACTTGTGCTGCTCACGGCAAGCCTGCTCCGACGCCATGGGTAGCAGGACCGGAAGGTGTTTGATCGACGCCTGCAGGAAGTTGCGTTTGAAGCAATTTCCAAAGTCGGCCAGGGTGTTGGGATCGGAGCAAATATGGCGGCCATGCAGCAGCGGTTCACAGCGACGCTTGATGATGACGGCCACGTCGTCGCCCATTTTCAGCAGAGCCTCCTCTTGGTGAGGGACATTCATGCGCTTCATGAGGCTTTGGACGGCGGGAACAAAGGAGTTATTGCGAGTCCAAAGGTCCCAATGAGGGATTGTAGGCTGGCATCCTCGGTCACAAATCTCGGTCTGGAATTTGGTGAAGATGTGGCTCGGTCGGCCGACGAGTGCGGTGACGACTTTGAGACAGGATGGGCCGACTGCGAGTACGGGGGATAGGAGACAGAGGAGGAGAAAGAGGTGGTGAAAGGCCGGGCGCATTGCGGCGGGCGAGATTGGAAAGATCGACGAGGATCGGAGGGGGGAGAATCGAATTGGAGGAGGTGGGAGGAGAAGCAAGGGGAGATTCCGATTCCCCGCGACGACAAAATGCGGAGGCGGAGAAAGTCAGCTGACCCGCGCATGCAAAGTGCAAAAGTGGTGAATATCTACAGTTTGTAGTTTGTATGTAGTATTCATATAGTATACTAAGTATACTATGGGTTTGATCCATTAATCATTCCGTATGCCGGTGGCTACTCGATTCTTACACTACGCTGCAGTACCTACACCATGCGGTGTACCTCGGCTGCAAGGTGACAGCACGCAATTCGGTCTGAATTCTATTGGACAGATTGGATTCTGGAATTAAATATTCGTACTGATTTTCACCGCACTTTTACAGTGACGCCAGAACGGTGTCGGCACTCGATTTCTGGGATCCAGGTTAGCAGTCCATCCTGGGTAGTAGAGGCAGAGTTGAGTTGGGTGACGTACCTTGACAGCACCCTTCTCGGTCTCAATATCGGCATATCGGACCTTTCCGTGGTCAACAACAATGGCGTAGCGACCGGTGCGACCGGAAGCATTGTCGGCCCAACCAATGCTCTTGGAGAACTTGGCATCGGGGTCCGACAGGAAGAGCTGTGCAAGGAGCTAGAGTCAGTATAGATCGAAGAAATGGGAGGAGAGGTAGACAAAGAGCCGGAATTGTAGGGAGTGTAGTGATAACAATTAATACTCACAATCTCGTTGTTCTGGACTTGGTTAGCCTTGCCCCAGGCGCTCATGACAAAGGGATCGTTGAAGGCGAGCACGGCGACAATGTCGACTCCCTTCTCGCGGAGCTTGGGCAGGTTCTGGATGTAGCCCGGCATGTGGTTGACGGAGCAGGTGGGGGTAAAGGCGCCTTGGTTGATTGATTGATTGTATTAGTTGCGAAACACTTAGAGCTGGGTTTTGTGTCGTATTCAGAGCATACCGGGCACGGAGAATAGAACGACCTTCTTGTTGGCCCACTCCTTGGATGCATTGTAGTTGATGGGAATGCCACAGGAAGTGATATCATCACTTTCCTCGGTCCATGGGATATACCTGCAACAGTCATTAGCATGGGCATTGGAATGGAATAGCACGGAGAGTTCCTGTATGGAGCTCCGATGCTAGACTCTTTAGATCCGAACTCGAGCTTACTTGAACACCACGTCACCGGGGAAAGCGTCACCAGCCTTGAGAGTAGTCATTGTGTATGATTGGGAGTAGGAAGGGATTGGATTGTAGAGGAAGAGAAGCGAAAAAGAGAAGAGAAAAGAAGAAGGAGAGGAGGAGGAGTAGTGGAAGGAGGAGAGTACCCTGATGCCCCGCATTGATTACCGTATTACCATTACCATTACCCTCTACCAGCAATACTGGCGGAGTCCGCCGATGGTCATTTCTGTACCAACTACGAGTACGCAATGATGAATGTAGATGGTAGATCTAGTCTGGACATATGTGAAAGACTGAACTAGATTATTTTCTATCATGTATATTACATTCTAGTATGGATTATTATAGAAGAGGGCCTACGCTATAAAGTAAAAAGTGTAGATCCGTGACAGTCAGGTGATCCTCCGCAGCTTCAACCGCAAAGGTCCTCATCCATCAATGCCTTGACAACAGACACTCCCACCTGCAATCCTCCTCCTCCACCACCGATCGCTCAAAATGAGCTATGCGATTCCGGTCGCATGGCGGATCCCCTGCTCGGGCCTCCGTCCATCCAATGCTTTTTCCCCCCAAAACTCACAGGCAGCCTTTCGCCATCTCCGCATCGCAACCTTCCCTCGATCTACCTCCTCCTTCCACCGTCCATTGAGCTCGTTCAGTCCCTCGTCGCGACCTCAATATCGACAGATCCCCGCTTCCACCTCTCCTTTCCCTATCACACCCATCTTCACTCGGTCAAAGAGAACCGCCGCTGCTGCAAAACAACCGCAAAAAAAGTCCGGAGGTCTGCCGGGGGGCCGCATTCTGACCGAAGCCGAGATTAACTGGATCTTTGGCCCGGGAATTTCCGTGAAGCTGGGAAACAAGGCTCTTGGTGCCCTGCAAACTCAACGCCAGGATGGAACCTTGGACTTGGACCTCCCCGCCGACATTGTCCGCGCCGTCAACCAATCCCAACTAGACAGCGCCCTCCAATGGCTCCGCGAGAACCATCCGATGAACGAGGATGCCGCCATCCTCGCCCGCATTGAAAAGGAGGAACGGCAAGCAGAAGAGAAGCTCGTTCGCCGCGCCGAGGAGCTTGGTCTCTACAAGCCGCAGAGTGGGTCCTACGAGAATGAGCTAGGCGAGGAGAATTCGATCTATGGCAAAAGTGTACTCAAGGAGGCACGTGAGATGAATGAAAAGCGATTGCTGGCGGAGAAGGAACGTAAACGCCAGGAATGGCTTCAGGGAGAGAACGAGGAGCAGGAGCGTTTGCGCCGTCAATTCAAAGGGGACACGGCCTTGCAGCAGTACCAAGAGGCTGCTCTAACAGAGGGTGCGTATGATGTTTCCATCTACCTATGTCAACCACACCATGGTTAACCCCCGTCACAGCTCGTCCTCGTGCGGACCCTAATGAAAGGCCCTATCTGGCTTGGATTCAAAAACATCACATTGCTGGAACCCATGAATCACCAGATGCCGTCGATTTAACTACTGTAAGGATTCTATTATGGTCACTGGAGATCTAGTACTGACAGCGAAATTGCTTCTTCATAGACCCAACGTCTTCTCGCACCTGGTCTCTTCACTCTCTTCGCACTTGGTCTATGCTACTACTTCGCTCAGAACTATGAGTCCCCTGCGCGCAAGGATCGCCTTTGGCCCACCGTCCCCCCTGCTGCTGCAACTGTCGGAGCTATCATTGGCGCCAATGTAGCGATCACATTATTATGGAAGTTCATCCCACCTTCATGGAGACTTCTCAACCGCTACTTTGTCATTGTTCCTTTCTATCCAAGCGCGCCGAGCATGCTTGGCAGCACCTTCAGCCATCAAACATGGAGGCATCTCGCCACTAACATGATGGTTCTGGGCCTTATGGGCACTAGAGGTATGCGAGTTCTTCCGCCATGACTACTACTCCACATTGCTAACTGTATCTCAGTCCATGATGAGCTCGGCCGAGGCAACTTTTTGGCCATTTACTTCGGCTCAGGTGTTGTTGGCTCCTTGGTATCGCTGTCTCGCAATGTTCTGCTCGGCACTTTGGGCCTCACCTCCCTTGGCGCGAGTGCTGCCACTAGCGGCATTGTTGCCGCGTGGTGTCTGTATCACTATGAGTATGTTCTCGCGGTCCCCAATATCCTGTTCGGCCTATACTAACATATCGACCAGTGACAAAATAACCATGTGGATCCTCCCCCACGATCTTCGAGAGAACATCTACACTCAGGGTTGGATCTTACTGGCATGTCTGATCGGAACCGAAGTCCTCAGCATGGTAGCGCCTGCCCGTTTCTTGACGGTTTGGCCTCTCTCTCGGCTCACCAAAATGGACCACGCTGCTCATTTGGGCGGATACCTCGCTGGCGCCGGCTGTGGTTGGACCCTCGGCCAAAAGCGTAGGGCTGAGCGGGCACAGAGAGCTCGTGATTCAAGGTGGCTGAAGAACCTGAGCCGCTGAGAGCAGATATCAGTCCATTGTGTACAGTATTTATTAGCGCCTTGCATGTGTGGTTGTTGGTTGGTCAGTTTTTGGCGGGCCGCCTCCATACATCTTAAGATCCCAGAGGATATGTAACAATACACTGCATTGAAAATCTTCATACCCTGACCGCGCCGGGTTGTTTCACCAGCGGTACTATTAGAACCGGCCAGATTGGAGTATTACATCGCTGCGTGCGGCAACTTGGATACGTCCTGCTTTACAATTCGAGTTGATACTCAGGCCCTCTGACTCTTCGAAAACATCCAGATTGATTGCGATTTTCCGGGGCTAGAAAGAGTGAGGAACAAGTAGTGGATATCAATCATAAAGACACATCACAGGCCTAATATCAAGAAAATAAAATGAAACATGTAAAGAAAGACAACGCTTTCGGAGAAGTCTTTATGCCTTCTCGGTTCCGCTGATCGGTACATCATCTTGGGAAACAGCCTCGGTGATTATGGGCTGCTTAATGTCCATCCCATATTGTTGAGAATTTGGGGTGGGAGCTTGGCTCTGGTTTTCCACATCCGGTGCGGATTTGTGCTCGGGGCGTTTCCGTCCAAGACGATCACACCAGTGCTCAGCACTGACGAGGGTGTCGTTGACCACACCACTGACCTGGCCTAGAATATCAAGTCCTTCATTTGCCAATACCAAAATACGATGAGCACCAACAGTGGCCTCGGACGAGGCGGCGGGAGAGTCGGCGGGGGGCTGCGATGTGCTAGCCATCTGGAATCGGTGAGGCAGAGAGGTCAAGTGTCGTCGGACGAGGTGGCGCGCATTCTCGGGCAATGCGCCTCCGGCATACTTGGAGACGACATCGACAACTTGCTTGAGGGTGGAAAGAACGTCTTCCCTGACGGCCTGGATGCGCTGCTTGAGAAGGGAAGTGTTCTCGGGACTATTGGCATGGCCAGCCTCAGCCTCCTCCTTCAATCTCGCCTTATGAGCCTCCCACTCGGTCATCGCATTCTGGAGAGCGACGATAGAGCGACCAAGTCGGCCATTCGCCCAGCGAAGCCATGTCAAACAATACTGCAAGCTGCGGAGAGATTCCTCACTCATTGCCACACCCAGGCCAGAAGTCGATATGACCAGCCGACTCTGCCAGGTGGGGTTCTGTCGTCCAGGCTTCTCTTCGTAGTGGGGGGGATTTCATCTCATCGTAAGGTGGAAGGGTATCAGCCATGGAGATATCAGAAGAGCTTCGCGTCCGCGACTGAATAGCCACTTCATCTAGTCCTTTTTCTATATCCATGGTTGTCGGTACGGCCTCCCCATTCACTTTGCGCCGCTTGCTAGTATGTTTAGACTCGGTGCCAGAATCCCGTCGTTGGAGCGCCCAGCGCAAACCACTTTCGACGCCAGTCTTTCGGCCAACGGTCCCAACGGTATTTGCGACGGGAGAACCGATATTGCGCTCGATAAACTCGGCGCTGGACTTGAATCGGGCGGAATAGGACTTGGAGGAGGTGTAGGCCGATACGGAGCCGTTGATGGCGGAGGAGATGAGGGGATGAGAGGAAGTGAGGAGGGAAAGAAGCGGCTCTGCTGATGGAGGGTCGGGAGATGCGGGAAGAGGTTGTCGTGGAGCTCTGGGGGAATGGTGAGAGTGACCAAAATCGGCGCGAAGGCCTTCTAGGGCTTGGGCAGCCTCGAGGTCGTCCATGGACAGTACGCTGGTAGCTCGGTGAGACCGATCGCGATCCTCGGAGGGCTGCTTTTCAAGGTCCATCACGGCGGGGGCATGCTGGGGTGGAGATGGAAGGATATACGTGGGCGCCAGGCTTAGGGTGAGGCTTCGGGTTGGGGGATGGGGATGAAGATCGTAGCGGCTAGTTTGAAAATCGGAGTGGAGGGCCGGAGTAGAAATGCCGACAAACGAATACGCAGGATGTGTCAGAGTCAATGTAGCCACTCACGTTGAGTGAAGGCGACGGCGAAGGCGAATGTGAAGGACGGCGAAGAAGGTGAAGCCGAGTTGCACGTGAAAAAGTGGTTGACTAATCGAGCATCACATGCGTTCCCAACAAACCTTGCCGATGCTTCACTTTCTGTCTATGGATGTACAGTATCTATCGAGTGGAGTACTCGGTGAGTACTCTGAGTACTCTGGACGAGTACGGAGTACTTTCGACTGAGGGATTCTCCGTCACCCTGTCGAACATCCTGCATACCCAGTATAGCAGGGATGTGCATTCATGCTCACATTCATTGCCCATGCCAGCACAGCACCCAGTACGAGTTATTCAGCATGTGCCATATCGTTTTTCCTACTCTGTTTATGATCTTGGATAGTACGTACTTCGTTTTCTCAATAATTGTAATCTCGACTGCCATACGAGTACTCGTTCTCGTACCCACAAACTCCGAATTGTGAGAAGCTTCCTGTCCGGCGTCGACCCCAATAACCAGTCGGCCCCGACCACCAGTCACAGTCGCAATGGTGGAATCACCTTCCCCTTTGAGGCATCGCTGTGTACAACTGCCGGCATGTGAAGTGGGGGCCTCCTTCTTCTCCAGCGCTAATCCCAGCGCTAATTGCGGACGACTTCCGGCTGTATTTAGCCTATGCTCGGCCTATACTCTGCCGTGGCCACCACCCGGTCTGCGCATCAACCACCTAATCTTATCTTACTACTCCGTATGTTTATTCAAGTGGTGGAATCGGGACTGTACCTGTCGTAACGATACTAGTAGCAATATGATTCTGTCGATATGACCGTGTGAGACCCCGATATCAGGGTTCTCCAAATCGGAGTTATTATCCGGAATTACGTAGACGCTGATCAATTGGTGCTCACTAACTTGATACCTTCAGGAGCAAGGAACTGCCTGCTCCTACTTATTATTTATTATGAAATGTCAAGTTAGGGTTTCCTTGAAACACTACCGATAGAGGCTGTAGATCAAGGCCGGGCGCTAGTGGTACTTTATTACATTATCTCCGGATCTCATTCCCGAAAGAGTCGAGCGGAATTATGGGATTAGGGTACATTGTCGCTTGTCTTATCTACTACTACTACTACTACTAACTGATATTCCTGGAAAGGTTTCAAATTTTATAACTCGGGGTTAAAATTCATTCTTAACATGTTAGCAAAATGCGCCTTAACCCTCAGTCAAATCCATACCCTCCATCAACAAAGCTTGTCTCATACTTTCCTCATTCTCTGTCAGCCCCTCACCCGGTTGATAGTCCTGAACAATGATAGTACAACGAGGGGACGTACTTTCATCGAAAGGCCCATGACGACCCACCTTTGGCCTAGAACCCGCGAAGCTCGCCCAGGGCCCACTTAAACTATTTGAAACTGCCATAACGAAGGTATTTGAATCCTCCAGCCGTGTCTGACCATCTTGAAACAACAGATCGCTGCTTCCCAAGACGTTAGGGCTCCACCAGAGCGTTTGACCTGGTTGGAAATGACCCTGTGTATTCAGGCACTCCTGGAGCTTCTCGATACTGAGGTACGCGGTATTAAGCCACATATCGTTCGGGCTCAGTTGAAGGGGGTCAGTCGAGTCACTAAGCATCTGGCCAAGGTAGTTAGTACACAACAGCGCAGAGTCAGAGGCGCGTAAAATATCCATCGAAATATTGTACACAGTGAGCGGACTGCTGAAATCGAATCCATTTTCGTTCCATTCACACAAGAGCGCCCAGGTATCACGCGAAGGTAGGTTATCATGTAAGTGCTCAACCCAATCTGACCTACCGATCAGCTTCGCCTCCCGTCTCTGTAACCTAGCTCGCTGTTTTAGCTGCTCTTCGGAGACGATTCGTCTGTAATGTCCGTCTTCAGTATCCTCCTGGATGTCCTCGAAGGTCCATTTTAATTTGTGCCATTCAATTACATACCACTTCTTTGCATCTTTGAGCCAACTTCTCCACCCCGCCACAATCTCATACCTCTCATTCTGGAACCCAAGGGCCATTATCCCATCATAAGTGTCCGGGTTATTCACAATATGATTCCGAATCCTGGTTGTATGCGTGACAAAGCGTTCCAGTCGTCTTTCCTGCTCTTCGGTCCAGGAATCAATTAAACCTTGTGCATCTTCCATTGTCAATGGCCTCAAGGCTTCGCTCCAGAAAGGTGAAAGCTGTCCCCATTTGTGCTCTGGTCGCTGCTGTAGCATCAGTGCCTCCAATATGTCAGGATTGACTGATTGCGGGTTCCAAATGGTTTCCAAGTTTATTGAGAAGGTTTCCATGATTTGGCCTCCCTCTATCGGCGCAGAGGTCGGTTGGAAATTAGGCGGTGGTTGTATCGTTCCAAACATCTTTGACCCTGGCGGTGCGAACATCTCCTCTCGATCTGGAGTTACGAACAGTCCTGATGTCTCATCTCCGCCTGGAACCAGAACACCGAGAATAGGTGATCCTATCAATGGCCCAGCATCTGGTTGCTGGGACGTTGTCTCTAGCTGGAACTCTCTTAGCAGTCCTGACCTATCCAGTGCCTCATCAATCGCTACAAGCACCGGTGATTTCGGCCACGAAGACTGTAGAATACTAGGTTCCTTGGGTAATGGCCTGGGTATTCCTGGTTGAAATCCATGCGGCGGTGCAATCGCTCCCAAAGTCCCCGGTCCGGGGGCTGCATTGAGGACCGAGCGTGACTCTGACGGTCCAAGACCAGCTATAGTTTCGATACTATGTGCCCCTTGCAATGGCCCGGTAAGACGCAGGGGAAATGCTTGAGGCGCCAATGCTATTCTTCCGAGATGTCCTGGCATGAGATGCGTACCTCCTTGTGAGTGCAAACAAATTCGGTAGGCTCTTAGCAAATTAGTAATTCCACCGACAGCGGCATCAGTATTCATATCCTGAATTGGAGCTGGCATTCTAGAAAGTGCATCTTGGATTCTCTGCTTTATTAGCGTGCGGGTATTAGTAGCTCTCATGTTCATGTTATGTTGCATGATCTCGGCATTGATATCTCTCAGAACGTCTAGAACGATATTCTTGTCAGCTAAGGTGCCACCCTGCATACCCAGATCGAGCCATTCTCTTCTAAATCTCTCGGGCCTGGCCATGATGAAATGAAGAATAGAATGGATTGTGAAGTTTGTAGATAGTAAGCCTCACTGCTTGGAATGTGAGAGAATGGTGTACGACTCGGAATTTTGATATGACTCTACTAATCCCGTAGTATTTATACACCCACTGGCAGGGGGCTGATTTAGATTTATCAGGCCTTTCAAGCCTGGGTTCTCGACAATAGATTCTACAAGTGAAAGAAGGGACGTAGTAGGAAACAAAGCTTTCTTCTATGTGCTTTGAGAGACAAAGGGCTTCCAAGGTGGATGCATCCGAGTCCTCGAGACAATGGTATTTCTCGGTTTTCACTGTCTACTGCTATTCTTTGAACCAAAATAGTTCCTGTCTCCTTTACTTGGTGGTTTGCCCAGCAAGTTAGTCCTCTTCCCGAGTGTACCATTGGTGTATGGAGCGGTCTTCTATGTTAAGCTGGGGTTTGCGTGGTCCGTCAGTATTTACGATCGTGGAATGGTTGAGACTGTGAAGCGGGTATAACGACTTATTGGTGAGAAATTAGAGAGATACTAATTCCATCTCCAAGGTAGAGATCTCAGAAACAATTTTAGAAAACGACCACCATGCAACGTTTCAAGGAAAGCAAGATCGAACAGGCACAACAATGAAGAATTAAATATGCTAATGGTTCATGAATCATGAGTCGTCATAATCTCGTAGATTAGGTTGGTTTTTCCCAGGCCCTCAAATGGCGGGCGCATCCCAGTATTCGCGCTTGATCTTCATCACAGCAGATTGCTTGTGCGGGAAACTAACTTCCCCCTCTTTGTAGAATCCGACTTGTTGTAGATAATTGATGAGTTTGAGATTATCAACGCGCGGTTCAAGAACAACCGCCTCAGTGCGCATATCAGCCAAGAAGCAATGGTGTACCAAAGCAGTGAGCCAGAGGATGACGCGGTGGCCGCCACGGAATTCCTGTTCGCCAACCAGAACATGAATGCCCCGGTCGTAGTTATCAACTCGATCCAGAAGTCGACCAAGAGGATCTTCCTTGACCCAGTAAATTTCAAAGTACCCGAAAGGCTTTCCGTCCCAGCATCCAATGACAGGGAAGCTGTGGCGGCTGGACAGATTGTCTAGGATGAATTTTTCTTGGACAGGCTTTGGTCCGCCAACCTGCCACATGGCCTCCACGCGGGGGTCGTTCATCCATCGGTGCAGGGTGTCGAGATCCGATGACAAATTCTGGGAGAGGTGTTGTTTCACGCTGGTGACCTGAGCACTGACTGGTCTCGTTGGAGTTGTCGGCCGACTGTCACTTGGAGTCGGCTTGGTGGCTGGAAGGAAAGGAATGCGCAATGAGAGATACTGTCCCACGCTAGGGATGTGGCGAACATAGAAGACCTCTCCTTGGTGGGGTGGCTTAGGACGGATAGGATGGCGCACCCCGTTGGTGAACGTATATTGAGTTGGTGCCGGTGGGTAATAAGTTGGCAAGTGACTAGCTGATGTATAAGGACCAACTGAAGTGAAAACCTCCGCATTGCCTGTACCGAACGCGGCTTCAGCGGGGGGCAATGAGGTTGGGGTCAGGGAATCCCGCAGTGGAGAAGCCGGTCGTGATTGGAAAGGTGTCAAAGAAGGGGATGGCGGGGATCCACGGGGAGTTAGAGTGAATAAGAAGAGTCGCGGATCAAGTTGCCAGAATGTCCGTTGGCTCACGAACATGTTCGACCAGCTAGCTGAGTCGCGTGTTTCAACGGGCTGAAATCCGACGGACGAGTCTTCATTTGAAACTATGCCCATACGCTCGAGCTTCTGCAAGAGGTTTCGGCCCTTGAAAATTCCCTCACGTCGAATATTGACGCGCCATTCACCCTTGGGCTGGCCAGCATGAGGGGTCGAGCTGGAGGCCGCTGTTTGAAGACGAGGATCAGGCTTGGGTTCATGGAAGTACCACCATAGTGTAGCCCACAGCATCATTGCAATTTGGCGGGTGGGAGAAGTGACTGGTTTGAACTCGCTGGAGGGCGGATTGACAATATAAGAGATGTAGATACAATCACGATTCAAAGTGGGGGTTGTGAATCGGATGGTCTTGTTGTCGTCATCGGCGTCATTCTTGTCATCGGTGGGATGTCGATTCTCTGGTCCTTCTGATCCTTGTCCCGTCTGTTCCGGAGAGACGCCCGAGACTTTCTCACTGAAAATAATGACAGTCCAACCGGGTGGGAAAGTAGGATTGGTGGTTGCCATATCATTGGACTTGAAGGTGACCCCACCAAAGACTGGCGTGACGGTGAAAGTGAGGCCATTTGGAAGATAGCAGGTGTTGTTCCGCATGTTGGTAAGCACTAATATTTCAGCTGTGGATGATAGAATAGGTAAAGTAAGTGTAGAATAAGTGTAGGAGAAGAGTAAATGGAATAATGGAAGATTTAAGTAGGATCATCGAAAGTGGAAGTGAAGTGGGGAGATGCACGACTTTAACGTCCGGCGGGTTTGCGCTGTTTGCAGAAGATCTTCAAATCGCAACCAAACGATTGGTTGAAGAGAGGCAGTTATGGAACTACAACGAGAAAGAGGAAACTAATTCCCCCGGTCAAAGCGTCTTAAGAGTTGATTCTATTCCGTAATACAATGCTAGTATCTACAAGTCTACCGAGTACTCGTACGGAGAGGGGCCCTGTATACTCCACTATAACTTAAAAGTATCCCGGGAAAAGCCAGTCCAGCTTCTTCTTGGCCTCAGGACTCCAGTGCGGCTGTGGTGTGCTAACTCCAAACTTAATTGACCCAGCGAGGTGCTTGGCTTGAACCAACTCGGTGTGCTCCTGTCCAGCGAGAGCATCCAGGACGGCGGTAACGAAGCGACGAGCATTCTCAGCGTTCGCCTTCATGTTACCCATCACCATCTCCACGGTGACATCGGCCGAGTCGTGCCAGCAGTCGTAGTCGGTCGACATACAGATCATCTGATAGGCAATCTCGGCCTCGCGGGCCAGCTTGGCCTCGGGGAGAACGGACATGTTGATCACGCTACCGCCCCAGGCGCGGTACATGTTGCTCTCAGCACGAGTGGAGAACTGCGGGCCCTCTGAATCAGGCAAACGCGGGAAGGTCAGCATATATTTTCGGTATCATTCCATGTCAATCGTATGATGGTGGCGGAGTCAAAAAAGGTCAAATCTTACCCATGCAGACAACGGTACCACGGTCGTGCAGGACAACACCATCTCCCTCCAAACTGTGTCCACACTCACGCACGATCTTGGCAATACCCTCGTCAAAGGGATCACCGAAGGGAACGTGGGCAACAATCCCACCCTCAAAGTAGGTCCAGGGCCGGACACCCTTGGTACGGTCGATGATCTGATCGGGGATCACAAAGTCGCGGGGCTTGATAGCCTCTTGCAGACTGCCGACGGCGGAGAAGGCGATGATGCTGCGGACACCGATGGAGCGCAGAGCAGCGATGTTGGCGCGGGCGGGGACTTCGTGGGGGGCGATCTGGTGGTGAGAACCGTGACGGCTCAGGAAGGCCACGGCGACAGTCTTGTCATTGTGCTTGCACTGGTGATGCAGGATGGTGATGGGCGAAGAGGGTTCACCCCAGGGAGTGCTGATAGACAGAGAGGCCACTTGAGTGAAACCAGGCAGCTCACGAAGTCCAGTACCGCCAATGACAGCAATCGGGACAGGCCCTGAAGAGAATGGGAGTCTGGTCAGCTTCGACAGTCACATCTTGGAGGGGAGAAGGAGGGGCAGTGCCATCCATGAATGTAGGGGAACACAAACCGTCATAGGTAGAAGGAAGAGCGGTCATTCTGCGCGCGAATTGTGCCGGTGACTCGATGCGACGAAAGGGTGAGGAGAAAAGGAACGTGGGCGACCAACGCATGAAATCCCAATGGAAGTTCAAGTTCAAGTTGCGATCAAAAATCTGCCCCGCGATGGCGTTGCGGCCCCACGTGAAATCCTGAACCGCCCTGAAGAGGTACATTTTCAAGTTCCAAGGTTACCACGGTACATTTGACAAAGAATATAGTATTCTAGTAGTATTCTTCCATTATTTTCGCCATTTGCCCTATCTCCGCCACACCATAATTCCATAAGGATCACGGTCGGCCTCACTAACTGATACCTCCACGCCGCCATCCTGGTAAACTTCGGCGCAAGAGGACAGAGCTGATCCACCCTGCTTCGCGCTATCGTGAAGAGCCTGCAGGGCACTCTCACGGTCGGACTTCCACTGTCGTGAGAGTTCCTGCAGCAATTGTGTTTGCATAACAGCCCGGAGGTAGCCACGCTCGGAGTTGGAGTGGGCCAAGGAGATCACCACCGATCCACGCTCCGTCGCAGCCAACGTCTCATGATGGCTCATCTCGCCAGTAAATAGAAGATCCGGCATATCGTTCCCACGCATGAGGACTCCCGATCCTGAACCGGGGCACATACCGACCGTACGGATGCGAATGTTGTCAATCGACTGCGATTGCGGGATCGCGATGGGAATACCCCCGGGAAGACCGACTCCGCGACCAATGTGGTCAATCAGAGTTGTGAGAGGTTGATCCTCGTTGAATGTGACGAGACGGCCCGCACCAGCCGACTCAAATCCTTCCGGGATTGATGCTGCGGGAGATGGATGGATGGTGGATCGGATATGAGGGATTTGCTGGGATGCGTCCGCCGATGCTGCAGTGGGTACAGCTTGAGCTTGAGGGTAGGTGGGCACCGAATATAACTTGGAATTGCAGCTCTGAGAAGCAGGATGTGTCTGAGTCGCGACGGGTTGGAAGGTACCCGTCACCACGTCACAAAGCCAATCGGCCATTCCTCCGGGTACGGTATCAACAGCGGTATGCGGGGAGTAGACACTGATTCCATGTTGGGCCAATCGCAGGAGTGATCGTTGCTGTGTGTCATCGAGGGTGATAGCCTTCAGGCCGCGGAAGATGATGGGATCTGGATGAAGCTTGCATTAGACCTGAACAGCTTTGCTTTGTAAAAGATTTGGACGCAGAGAGGGATGAACTCACGGTAGGCCACGATGGCTGAATCGCGACGTTTGATAGCCTCATCTGCGACAGCGGTTGTCAAGTCAATGGCGAGGAGGACCGAGTTCTTCTGTCGTCGTGATGGGTCAAAGGGAGCTTCAAGAAGCACTTTTCAAGTAGCATGTTAGCAGAGAAGATAATAGTAATGGACCAAGGTAAGCTCTGGAAGCTACTAGCACAGCTTCTACCTGTACGCAGACCAGGGTGACTTACATCCAGTGTTATCAAAACTCTTATCCGCCAGCGCTTCGGGGTAGCTGTCAGGATTGAATGTTAGAAGCTTCATGGAGAGCTCGAGCTACCCAATGGCGACTTACATCTTCCTCATGGAGTCCACGACTGAGCGGGTAAAGGGCGAGGAGGAGGGAATTGGAGATGCCATGGTGGATAAACAGCGAGCTGTTGTTCGCAAGCAATTCATGGGATTCCCAAATTGTCCTGGAAAGGTGAAGTTGAGGCTGAAGTTGAAGTTGTGCGAAAGTCCGGGGAGACTCTCCAATGCGGTGACGAGTCATGTGATGCACCTACTACAATTAAACTAACCAAAGAATGTTGAAAACTTCACTTGTCAAATAATTATTATGTCGCATTCGTAATGGTGTTTTCGAGTAGTGAATTACTACAAGACTTCTCTGATATCATGCATGGATGCTCAACTCGAACACCAGGCGAGTGCTCCACGTCCACCTTTGCTATCATGATAATGATATCTGGTGTTCAAGTTCGAGCGATCCCAATATGCTACCTCATCGCTGTTAAAATTCCTTAAAAGGTTTGATTTCTCATTCATCATGCATCATACTAGTACGATTTGATCAGCACCTGATCTAAAACCGTCTAACCTCAACGGCCGGCTGACTTTGCACCGCCTTCTCAATCTTCTCAATAACCTCATCGGTCAATTTGTCTACAAGCGCAAGAGCACGAACATTATCCAGCACTTGCTCCGGGCGCGATGCACCAGTAATCATCGACGAGATATTGGGATTCTTCAGAATCCACGCCAATGACAGCTGAGCCGTCGACACACCCAGCTCATCGGCCACGGGCTTCAGCGCAGCCACCTGGTTCAACTGGCGCGTCCAGGTATCATCACCAACCGTGGTGCGCAGGTTCTTCACATATCCATCTTCCGACTCGGCAAGTCTCGAACCAGCCGGAGGCGCAGAAGTATTATTATACTTGCCGGTCAAGATACCACCCTTGAGAGGCGAGAACGTAGTCAAGCCCAGCCCATGAGCCTCATACAACCAGCGGTACTCCTTCTCCACGCGCTCGCGAACGAGAAGGTTATACTGCGGCTGTTCGACAACGGGACCAATCAGACCCAGTCGATCAGCGATGCGCCAGGCATCGGAGATCTCGCTGGCAGACCATTCCGAAGTACCCCAGTAGAAGGCCTTACCGTTGTTGATCAGGTAGTTGAATCCACGAACGATCTCCTCCATGGGGGTGTCACGGTCTGGGCGATGAGCGTAGACAATATCCACATAGGGTAGATCTAATCGCTGTAGAGACAAGTTCATGCCCTCGATGATGTGCTTTCGGGACAGACCGTTGTTATTGAGGGGTTTGGCGGGGTTGACGGCATTTGCCTTGCCCCAGTAGATCTAGAAATGTTGGTCAATCGCTGAAGACAAGTCAATGGCTCAGAACGAGAGCGGCCTACCTTAGTAGAGATGACCAGGTCATTCTGCTTCCAGCCAAACTTCTTAATGGCTTCTCCTAGAACGACCTCGGACTGGCCACCGGAGTAGACTTCGGCAGTGTCGAAGAAGTTGACGCCGGCATCGTAGGCAGCTTTAACGCAGTCGAACGCGGTTTCTAAGAGATAATCAGCTGGTGAACAAGGGCTGTTTGGCACCAATCGGGGAAAGAGACTGGGACATACCATTTCCAACGTGACCGCCGTATGTGAGCCAGCTACCAAGTGAAATGACCGAGACTTTCAAGCCGGTGCGGCCGAGGAAGCGGTACTGCATTTCGGGGAGGTCGGCCATTATGAATGAGGAAGTGGTATAGGGAATTGAATTGAGGAGAGAAAGGTGGAGGTGAAGAAGAAGAGGAGGAGAAGAACCAAATAAATAAGAAATAAATTGACGAATGATGCTATGGAATCACGCCAGCACTAGACCAGTCCTGATGGTGGGGGGGACCCTTAGTAAGGCCTGCGGGGAAGGAGAAGAAGTATAAAAATTGTCAGTCGTCCAATGATATCCAATGGTATCAGCTGATATAGCAGGTGCAGGGTATTTCAGGGGCTTGGGTAATCAGAATATTCGGCTTGGACCTCATCTTGACCACCTTTCACCATCTCACACATCTTAACCCCGTTTACCCCGTCCCGGTAACCCCGTTTGCCCGATCGGGTCTCCGAAAGGGTCCCGAGAAGGTCGAAGCGCTGGCATGGCGGGATTGAGTGGAATAAAGTGGAATGGAGTGACAGAGAGTGGATCTCTGCCACTTTTACCCGGGGTTGGAAATGCTACCACGCTCTGGAGAGTTCCCACATGGCCGCTTTCTGGACTGCGAAATGACTCATGTCGTGGGGGTGCAGGCAGATGTGTCCTCGATTTAGATAATGTGAAGATACATGAAATTGTCTCCCTAAAGTCTTCTGCTTCAGTACTCCGGCCAGTCCGGGTCGACCTGCTCCCGCCATGCCCGAAATCCACCTTGGATATCACCAATGTATCGTTGTCCATTCTGGTCCAGCCCCAATTCCTTCAACTTCTGAACGGCGATTTGGGAGTCATTGCCGAGCCGACACACCACATAGATGGGGTCTTTGGACTCGGACGAGGCGAGCTCGGCGGGGACCCAGGAGGGCAGTTCAGGCTGGGAATTATGGTCGGGTCCTTGGTTCAAGCTCGCAGGCCTGGCCCTTGAAGCAAGAATATTGCTGATCGGGACATTGATGCTATTTTCCAGACTGCAAATGCCAAACTGTGCCTTGTCGCGCACATCAATCATAATGGATTTATCCACGTTGGTGGACTGCGAGTGTTTTTCGCGATATGCCTCCGGTGAGATACGTTCACTGGGCGCCAGCAAAGATGGAAGAGTCGCTGAGCCACAGAAGAACACATAGTCGGTAGATCCAGACTTTATCGAGTCCAAGGTGACCGAGGCATCGCCCGAGCAGACGGCACAGTTGGCTCGGCGGGCGCGCAAGCGAATAGAGCGGAACTGAGGATTTGAGTATGCGGAGAAGATCAGGAGCGACGGCGATTCGCGTTTTGGTGTCGAGCTCGAGCTATCTGGAGATGGCGCCGTGATCACCTTCATGGCTTCCAACGCTTGTAGAACTCCCATTGTGCCGACCACTGGTCCCATGATACCTCCGTCAGCACAACTGACAACACTGTCCGCTGGCGGTGGCTTAGGGAAGACACATCGATAGCATGGGCCTCCTTCTAGATCTCCTGGCGGTCGAGGTGGGTTGTTCAGTACCATCAACTGGCCCTCGGTTCGTAACGCAGAGGCGGAAACCAACGTCTTGCCGAGTAGCACGGCCGTGTCGGAGATCAGGTATCGCGCCGCCGGATTATCGGTGCAATCGAGGATGTAGTCATAGTTGGCGAAGATGGCAGGGGCGTCTTCGGGGGTGAGGTGTGTTCGATGGGGGATATACGTCGGATGGGGGTTGAGGCTATTGCAGAGTAGAAGTGTTAGAAGATATGATATATGGCGTGGGATATGCGACCAGGAAAACAGTCGCTCACTCACTCCCTCAGTGCCTCAATGGCGCTGTCCACCTTGTATTTCCCGACATTCTTCGTCCGGTGAAGCACCTGGCGATGAAGATTCGAACTCTCGACGGTGTCGCCGTCAATCAGCCCGATGGTGCCCACGCCTGCACCAGCGAGGTATTGGGCAGCGGGACATCCCAAACCACCAGCTCCCACGAGGAGGACCCTTGCGGACCGCAGTTTGAGTTGACCTGTTCACAGAAGTGCAGTGTCAGTCATCAGTCACCAGTCACCATCCACTGGGCAGCGCGTCTCCATCTCTCACCTTCCAGACCAAGCTGAGATACAATCATCTGTCGGCCATATCGCTTATATTCCTCCTTGAGTAGTGGCCACCGACCGGTGTCAGTGTCAATTCCTGTTCCAATGCCATTGGGCGCATTCTCATGGTCGCTGGTGGGGCGCGTGCTCTGCGCGATTTTCTCGGCGTCGGCGAGGTCGCGTTTGAGCTCGGCGAGGTAGGTTTCTGTGGCGAAGATCTGCGCCTGTAAGGAGGCGCAGGTATCCTCGATGGGGGCCATCGAGTTGGAGGATTCAAGGAGGACTGGGAGGACTGGAGGAATTGAAAGAATGTGGGAGAAGTCGGAGTGGAAAGGAATCCGCGATTTGGCGGGGTAAAGAAGTTGAAGTTCCGCGGAGGTCGCCGAGGCTGCCGAGACTGAGTATACGTAGGTCTTAGGTAGTTATAGTTATAGTATGTACAAGCGAGTGATATTCTAGCATAGTAGAGTGATAGTACGAGTGGTTCTTAGTATACTAGAATCTTAGTATAATATATACATCATACTATACTCCATTACTACTAGTATATGGGAGAAAATACTTCAAGTTGGCTACTGTTGCAACGCAGGTAAACCTTACATGAGTGAAAGATCTATAATATACTAGTACTACTTTAGTATAACTAGAATACTACTACTCTGTATGCGAATTTCATTCAAGTTATAGCCATCAATGTACCACCTCTACTAAACCTTGGAAGTAGGGCCGGGGATTTTTCGGACACATCAGACTTGAACCCCTGGTTGCTCTGATCAGCTTGGTCGCTAATGACATTGGGATAGTATTACGAAGTACGGCTGGACTTGACGCTTATTCGGCCCTTTACTCCTAGTGTGACGAGGCTGGGCCGGAATGCACCAATTGCGTCCGCCATTCTATCAAATGCAACTATGGCCCAGCCTGCCAGTTCCACGCCCCCAGCACCAAGAAATATCGCGGTACCTGCTTCGAGTGAATATCCGACAAATGCCAGTGGATATACTTTCATCTCTCCATCTACCTCCGGCTTTTCTATCCCTAGGGAAGCTAATGGGCTACTAGAACGTCATCTATGATGCAGCAATCTCCGTCAATCCATGAAGAAAGCGCCGTGGCGAGAGTCCCATTCAATTTCACGGCAACTGATATGATTTTATTTCATCACTGTCTTTCGGCGGATGGTCTCAGACCTTATATACCAGATCAGCCTTTTCGCCTTGGTTTTCGGTCCATTATGTCTTACATTCGCTGCTAGCGGTCTCTGATTTTCATCTCAAGCGAATGTCACCACAAAATGGTGTGCACCCCCTTCTACAGCCCGATTTGGACTATTTAGTTGAGGCAGAGCTTCAAAACTTTAGTTATGTCAACGGCTCCGTAAGCTTTCGGTAAAATTCAGCAACAGTATGAAGCTAACTTTGCTCGACAGTGTGCCATATGGAGTTTCCTCGGCTTTGGTGCCGTGCAGTGGATCATGCAGACCATTTCTCGTGGTGAGATTCGGCAACAATATGGCATTAGGCTCTTGTTGTGGTGATTGCTGCGTGTCAACATTCTGCGGCTGCTGTGCTCTCATTCAAGAGGAGAAGGAAGCAGAGCTTCGATTTCGACCTGAGCTTGTTGGTTACCAGAAACCAGCTGGAATGGCTATTCCATAATTTCTTTTTTCTGTTTTTCGACCTGGCCTCGCACACGTCTGTTGATGTTTGGTCTGTACAATTCTTTCTCTCTTTATGTTCCTTTTTTTCGATATTCTCTAACCTGTCTCTCGTCTGTCACTTTCTCGTCTGTCACACATTCATTCTCTATTATTTGATTTTTCTCATTAAAATCCACTAGGAGATAATCTTGAGTTTTCTTTGATATCAAGTTCTACTCAAGCAACGCCAATACTTTGGTTCTCATGTCAATTGTCTGACGTCACTACTAGTATCTTCGAGTAAACTCCTCCGCCAAAATGAGTCAGATCGACCTGATTTGACATGAGTTATTTAATGTGGGTCTACTATTGTGTCTCGTGGCCTAATTTTATCACATTTGGCCCCCGGTCTTCACATATGTACATAGGGCCTTTCGGCCTTCTTCCTGTGAACTTCGCCCTATTCCCTCGCAATCGTTCCCAAATGATTTTAGTTCTAGCATGTACAAGAGCAATCCCACCAGGCTCCAGAATACCATCTAGTGGTTCCTTGCCGGTTTTCTCACTTATTGACTATGGCTTTTAATCGGCAAATCGAACCCGCTCCATTCGAGGTAGCATTGCGACCGGAGCATATCAGCGAGTTCGAGCGTCGGCTGTATCTCCAACCGCGGTACGACGCGAACGCCATCGACGAGTATGTTGTCAAGTTTGATAGCGACGACACAACGCTCATTACTGCCAGTGGCCCTAAGTACGATAAAAAAGGCGTGAGAGATATCCGTGACGCTTCAGGGCTTCCATTATTCGAATGTGAAAAAATCTGGGCACCCGCGTGGCGCAAGCGAGGACCCTGGATTATTCGATTACCAGGTAGCAGTGGCAGTAGCAAAGCCGGAGATAAAGCCTCAGAAATCGCAAATACCCATAGAACGAATGCCTATGGGGTCAATAGGTTTGACATGACATTTCGCAATGCTGCAGCGCGAGACCTGAAGGGAGAATCTGAGGCAATGGTCACACTGCATATTCGGTCTACGAATGCATTGTTTTGTAACTGGATTGTCTCGCTGGGTGATAGGATTGTTGTCCATATTCGAGAAAGCGTCGACAGAAACAAGCATCAGGACCCAACTGGTCGATTTATCAGCAGCGTACCAGTACAGAGGGAGGTGTACAAGCGATTAACGCTAGATGTGATCGTGGCTGAAAGTTTTGATCTATCTTTGGTAAGTTCCTTTGTCATGCCTTTAATCTTGCTTTTTGTAAATCAGTTAATAATAACACATTGTAGGCTGGTCTAATCGCCATCATGGTGTCAGACATGACATTCTCTATGCAGAACTAGGTACAAGTTGTGCCAACGACTGTAATTACTGAGTTGTGATACCCAGATTCATGTATATAAAGGTGCAAGGGCTCATCTGCTATTTCGGAAACAATATGCGCAGATGAATATAGCTTCAAGCGACGTGGCCGATTCATTGCGCGATGACCTCTTTTTCCACTCCCCACTTCTCTTCCATCTCTTCAACAGATTTCAAAAAACGCTTCAGTCCTTCTTCCAATGCATCCTGTCCCACGGTGAACGTGATTCGAAACCAACCATATTCTTCTGCCTTATATACGTGACCAGGGGCGATCATGACCCCGTTTTTTATGCAAATATCTGCTATATTCTGCTCGAGTTCGAGGTTGGAATGGGCACCTAGGGACGTGGTTTTCAATGAAGCATAGTCTGAATGCCGAATTGACGATTTCGACACAAGTAAGTGCCGAAGGTCGACCCAGAGGAAGAGCCCTGCATTCCTGATGAACGGTCAGCTCGTTCCACAAGTGCGATTTTACACCTCCTGCGTACATATCAAAATAAGGAATACCGTGCTGAGAGAGAAAGCCGGTAATCGTCTGGTATCTATCTAGCATGAGAGCCTTTTTTTGCGTCATAAATCTGTCCAACCACTGCTGGTCTTCCAACATAGCAGCCCAAGCATCCTGTAGGATATGCGGCGACCAGGAAAATATTCTAGTCGTGACACAAATGAGCAAGCGACCGTAGCTGATAAACTGAAAGCACCTACCCGATACTAGACATCGATCCCATAATACCCTCGTTTTTTGAGCAGACAAATCCCATCCGTAATCCATTGGCACAGAAGTCTTTGCTCGCGCCATATAGGACATGCATGCGAGTTGGGTCGATGAGATTGTCCAAGTCCAAACTTAGAACAGAAGTGAACGAAGTTGCCGCTGGAATTGCAGGGTTCGAGAATACAGAGAAGGCATATATCTCGTCAGAAATGAAGTGCAAATCGTTCTCACCACAGAAAGAAGCAAATTCTTTCAAGGTTTCGGGAGGCTATGTCGTGTTGGTCAGTATATGGGGTTGTGAGCGAACAAAATTCTATCGTACATAGCATCTCCCAAGTGGATTATGAGGACTAAATGGTGCATTAGTGCTAGAGGAGACCATACAGGGCATTGGAAGTAACCCACTTGGAAACAAGAAGTGCGCGGATCGTAATACCATCCTGCCTCGCCCGTGAAAGAGCAGCCTTCAAGGCAGCCTTATTGACTTCTGGCTGAAAAAGATCATTAATTCCAGTATACCCTTCAACGCTCTCATACTTGACGCCGACGACTTGGACATTACTCCTGTTCAAAAGATCGAAATTGAAACCATTGTACAAAGGCTGAGGAATCAGGATCCCCTCGCCTTCATCACAGATAGAAAATGCGATTGCATCGATAGCACTAGCACATCCTGGAGTAACGATTACGTTATCATAGGTGATTGTGGAACGTGAATGAAATTGATGGTTCAACAGCCCAGCTGCAGCACGTCGAAGACGACGAGAACCACGCGGACCTGTACTATAAGTCAAGTGCTCAACAGGAGACACGGTCATCTGTGAGTATCTTCGTGAGTGATTAAATACAAGACTTTATTGTCCAAAGCTGAATGACCGACCTGAGTACGAATAAATTCGCCAACTTCCTTGTGCATGAGACTGTTCTCGGCTAGGCGAAGAATAATCCTGACGCGCCGTGTTGTTGGTGATGAATTCACGGGGTGCATCCAAGGTGTGTAAAGAGAACATACATTCCATTCGGATTATTTGGTGACCACGGATTTCCCATGGTCTTTTCTCGGGGTCCCCAAACATCTCGATGGGCAAAGTTGGTCGCGCCTCGCTGCGATAAGCGGTAGTCGCTGGTTACCAGCGGTGCCGAACAGTCACTGGATTTATTGGTGGCTTGCATGAATGAATTTCCAAGGCTGTCAGCTGTGAATGAGGAAGACGAAAATCAGAAATAAATTGCTGTCAGATAAGATGAGCTAAGGACAAGATATATCGAGAGAGATTGAGTTGGGGAAACCCCGTCGGGGGATGCTCCGATCGAGATAGTGGACCCGGGGAGAACTTAGAAGCCATCGGCTTCTTGATCGGGGCCCTGGCTTGGAAATTTCAACTTCATCTTCGATTCAAGTTGAACCTTAGGACTTGGACCTCAATATATTGTAGTAGGAGGTACTAGTACTACTTAATAATTTTGATTATCTGATCCGCATCAAAATATATATTGTGGTATTTCCAAGTTCAAGCCAGGTCGGTTAACAGCAGCAACTTCAAGTTGAACCTTCAAGTTTTTGGGAACTCGAAACTGCGAGGTAGATTAGTAGTATAACTGCAGGTATTAAGCATGGAATGATGACTACTTATCTATCCAATGCTCAGGTAACCAGCGAACTGGACTCGCTCCCCTCCGCACATGTCATGGGACCCTTACGACGAAGACTGTCATACTAGTAATCATGGTTCTCAGGATGTGATTATGATCAATTTAATAACTGCATCATTATGTATACTACTGCTTTAACTGTGGGGTGGAAAAGTACCACTGGCAGAATACCAGAATACCAGAAAAGGTAGAAATAGCCCTGACTCGGAAGGCACTAGGCAAGCAATTTTCGGGCCGAGCGGGGGCGATGGTGGAGTGGTTGCCGCTTCCTAATTAGGATGCGGGGGAAATGGTACTGATTACATCAGCAGTGGTTGCGGCTGCCTGTTCAGTGGGAACGTATAGATTCTTTCCTAATCGGGATATGTTTGTCGATGCAGCCCAGTTGGGAAGGCGCGAGCTCCCGAGCTCCCCAGGTTTTAAAAGAAAAGAGAAGGAAGGTGCAAGGTGGGGGAATTTCTTGGGGAATCATCGTCTTCACTTCTCTTCTTCTCCTCTTCTCCTCCTCACCTCCTTCACTCCACCATGACACAAACAAACGGAGTTCAGAAGGCTGTGCCCTCTGCCTTACCCTTGATGCAGAAGTTGTCTGGTGATCATGATTTGGTCCTCAAGACCTTCCGTCTGCTCATTGCCGACCTGTGTCAACAGTTCAGCGGCGGTCACCCTGGGTATGTTCATGTTATCATTTTGCAAAAAGACAGCATTCTAACCTTGCCACTATAGTGGCGCCATTGGCATGGCTGCAATTGGTGTTTCGCTGTGGAAGTACGTTATGCGGTACGCTCCACACTCCCCGGATTTCTTCAACCGTGATCGTTTTGTTCTATCCAATGGTACGTGAAAGCGCCCTGATACTCGAACTCGCCTTGCGAAACTTATTGTACTGACAAACGTCTCCAAAGGCCACACATGTCTCTTCCAGTACAGCTTCCTCCACCTAACCGGCTACAAGGCTATGACGTTCGACCAGCTCAAGTCCTATCACTCCGATAGAGTGGATGCGCTTTGCCCTGGCCACCCCGAGATTGAGCACGAAGGTGTGGAGGTGACCACTGGTCCATTGGGTCAGGGTATCGCGAACGCAGTCGGTATGGCCATGGCCACGAAGAACTTGGCTGCCACCTACAATCGCCCTGGATTTGACGTCGTTAACAACCACACCTGGTGCATGATCGGAGATGCCTGTCTACAGGAGGGTGTCGGTCTCGAGGCGATCTCTCTCGCTGGCCATTTCCGTCTTAACAACCTTACAGTTATTTACGACAACAATCAAATCACCTGCGATGGATCCGTGGACCTCACCAATACTGAGGATGTCAATGCTAAAATGCGTGCCTGTGGATGGGATGTGATTGATGTCCAGGATGGTTGTTTCGATATCGAGGCAATCGTCCGTGCTCTGGAGCAGGCTCGGGCCTCCAAGGAGAAGCCTACTTTCATTAATGTTCGCACCGTCATTGGTCTCGACAGTGCAGTCGCTGGTACTGCAACTGCCCACGGTGCCGCCTTCGGCATTGACAATGTTGCTGAAATGAAGACACTTTACGGTTTCAACCCCGAGGAGCACTTCATCATTGGTGATGTTGTTCGTCAGTTCTTCCAGGATCTCCCTGCTCGCGGAGAGCAACATGTGCAGGAGTGGAACAAGCTTGTGAACAACTATACAGCTCAGAACCCGGAGCTCGGAGCAGAATTCCAGGCCCGTGTGCGAGGTGAGCTGCCGGCCGACTGGAAGCAACACATTCCCACCTCTTTCCCCGAAAAACCAACTGCCTCTCGCGCCTCCAGCGGTTTGGTCTTTAACCCTATCGCCAAGGAGTGCAAGAACTTCATAGTCGGTACGGCCGATCTGTCCCCATCAGTCAACATGATCTGGCCCGGCAAGGTTGACTTCCAGCACGTAAGTTTCAAACCTGACTTTAGCATGATTTGGGATATGACTGATAATAGAATAGCCGGACTTGCGTACTACCTGCGGCATTAACGGTAACTATTCCGGCCGCTATATTCACTATGGTGTCCGTGAGCACGCCATGGCTGCCATCTCCAACGGTCTGGCTGCATTTTCCCCAAATACAATCATCCCGGTCACCTCTTCATTCTTCATGTTCTACCTCTACGCTGCCCCCGCTGTCCGGATGGGCGCTCTGCAGCACCTGCAGATCATCCATGTCGCCACCCACGACTCCATTGGTATGGGCGAGGATGGGCCGACTCATCAGCCTATTGAACTTGCTGCTCTGTACCGCGCTATGCCCAACATCTTGTACATCCGCCCCGGTGACAGCGAGGAAACCGCTGGTGCATGGACCGCCGCTATCGAGGCGAAGAAGACCCCAACTATTATCTCCACCTCACGCCAGACTCTCCCTCAACTCTCCCAAACACGACGCGACGGAGTGGCCCATGGTGCGTATGTTCTCTCAGAGAACGAGTCGGCCGTTGTCACTCTGATTGGCGTTGGCGCCGAGCTTTCATTCGCGCTGGAAGTGGCTGAGAAGCTGAAGACCCAGGGTATCGCTAGCCGTGTTATCAGTTTCCCCTGCCAACGTCTGTTCGAGAAACAGTCGCTCAATTACAAGCGTGATGTTCTCCGCCGTCACCGTGGCATCCCTGCCGTTGTGATTGAGCCGTATGCACCCAACGGATGGGAGCGCTATGCAGATGCTGGTATCTGTGTGAAGCGTTTCGGCCACAGTCTCCCCGGGAAGGCAGCCTATAAGTACTTTGGCTACGAGATTGATACCTTGACCACCAAGGTTTCCGGCTACTTAAGCCAGATTAAGAAAGATGAGCTGCTTCGCCATGAGTTTGTTGAGCTCTGAAGCTAGTCCTATCTTACTTTTTGTTTTGGTTATTTTGGTTATCTTACGATAAGCCCTGTCTTTGGTATAGGATTAGCATTGGATTTCATATAGATCGGTTGGGAAATTTTTGGATGTAAATAGCCGCATTTTACTTGCGTGTGAATGAATTACGGGCACAATTCTTGATGACCTGAATTAAAAATGTCATTTGATACTGAAGTAGGTATGTATGCAGCCATAGGAGCAATTACTAGCATGTTCATACTACTAGGCTCGAAGTTCTCCAGGTAGACACCAAGACCGCCCAGTTGCTGAACATCTTTTCCATCTCCACCAGGTCGATGACAAGCAACAAATAGTACTACCTAGTAGAAATAGCCAGTCCATCACACGCGGCCCGAAGGATCGACTTTATCGACTCGCTCAGAATGATCGGCTGTCCCTTGGGATTGAGCGACCATCTCCATCTTGTCTTGGACAAATTGATCACGCTCATCAGCATCCTTATTTCCATATCTTCCAATCTTGTACCACGGCAGGGCGAAGAGGCGATCCATACTCTCCAAGGAGCGACCAGCCGTTTCGGGGATACTAAACCAAACCCAAATGCCACCGATGATAGTAATAGCAGCAAAGCACCAAAAAGTACCCTTGGGATCAATTCCTCCCCGTGAAACAGGCAAAAGCATGTTAGGCACCGCGCGTGCATTGCCATATTGGTTAGCAAAATGCAAAGTCATCGCCATAGAAGTGCAAAGGGCACGAATCCGCAGTGGGAACAACTCTGCAGTCAAAAGATACTGCATAGAGTTCCACCCTAAGGCCCATCCAAAGCCTGAGAGGTAGATCATTGCAATAGCTCCTTCACTAGCGCCCTTTTTGTTTTCTGGTAGCTCGAAGCCATCGACGACACCCATTTCAGGAACTGCGCTTAAGAAGCCGGCAATGTACACCATTGAGATGGCTTGGAGCGTAATTCCAATGAGAAGAGCACGTTTGCGCCCGATGACATCGACCAAAAACAGGGTACAAGCAATAGCAGCCACTAATTTAACAATTCCGAAAATCGCACTGACGAGCAGACTCTCGTTGCTGCCAGTAATACCGAGCAATTTGAACAGGTCCGGCGCGTAAACAGTAATACTACCAGCACCAGACCACTGGGACAGGATTTGTGCCATAAATGTCAAGTAGACACGGTAGAGGTTCGATGGGACGCAGAAAGCCTCTTTGATGACACCAATCGGGCCGGATCCCATAGTAGCTTCGAGCTCGGCTTCATGGGTCGCTTGGATAGCAGTGAATTCGCTAACAACGTACTCATGCTCTGGATTGAGACCACGGAGCTTTGAGAGATTTTCGATCGCCTTTTCGTGTTGGCCCTGTTTAACTAGATAACGAGGGGATTCATGTTGAAAGAATGAGAGGATGAAGATAATTCCTGCGAACATGATGTGGATGCTCGTGGGGACAAGCTAATTACTGTCAGCATTAATGGGTCAACGTGCTGGAGACCCTTGTCACATACCCATCGGTTATGAGTTGTGTCGCCGATATTTAGCTGACAGCCATAGTTTGCGAAGTAGGCCAGCACTATACCGAGGTAGACGAAGCCAGTGAACACGCAAGTGCAAAGACCTCGCACGGAAGCAGGTGCCTGTAAAGAATGTTAGTTCGTACCCCCAGATCAATGAAAGAGAAATAACATACAATTTCAGCGAGATATACTGGGCCCACGACAACAGTCTGACCAACACCCAGTCCAGCAATAAACCGCCCGGCGTAAACAGCACCCAAGCTGCCTCCATTCCCCATGAAGATGGCGATTCCAATAATCCAAAGAACGCAAAGCTGACGAGTCGCCCAAATACGGCCAATGCGGTCGCAAACTAGGAATGCACTGCATGGTTACAGCGAGTTAGCAAATCCCCAAAGCTGATTCGATGGCGTGAAGGCCCGGCATACAATAGAGCCCCGCCCACAGAACCGATCTGCACCATGGCAGTAACATCTCCTTTGATGTTCGTCTGTTCCACTTCGCTGTACGAGTCGTAGTTGATATATTTTTGAAAATCCTTTGAGTTGAACGCGCCCGATATCAAGCCCTCATCGACACCTCGGGCGGCACCCATAAGACCGAACGAAATAACAGCAAACCATAGTCTCCAGTTGAAGATTTGACTCGGCTCGCCACTATTTTTGAGTCGAAAGATATTGACTGGTTTCTTGGCCCCGGCCATGATGGACGTTTCCAAGGGAAAAACCGCAGGTTCAGTTTTCGTACAGGGAGTCGAAATCGGTAAGATCAGTGTTGATCGAGCTGGCTATAGCTTTAAATTTCCGGGGAAAATCTGGGGCAGATGGAGAACGCAATATTTATAGTGGGTAAATCCGGGGGCGGGGTGCATCTGTCGCTAGCATGACAGCCAGACAGTCTCAAACACACCCACCCCCAGATTCATCCATCTCCATACTACACAACCCTGTCATGCCAGTTCATTCCCCGCGCATCGCTATCAAAAGAACGCGGAAGTTGACCGAAAAATCCCGCAAAGGCATGTCCGAGAGAAATTTAGCTTTCGGCCAAGAGTTGTCGGAGCTTGGTTATAGCAATACGAAAAGGCTGCCGAGACACGCTTTGATGTTGAGAGGAAGAATTTGGCGCTTGGCGGGCGGGGACGGCTGAGGTTCCAAGACCATCGCGGCTGTGGGTGTGCTATTCGATTGGGTACAACCGCCATATTGGTCGGCTTCACTTTATTCAAGCCCAGATGCCAATTTTTGCGACAACGGAAATGAGAGACCTCGACTCGTATGATTCTTCATGTTTTTATCGTGCAATCTGCCGGTTTTCGGTTGTTCGGAAGGATTGTTATGTGGGTTTGTTGTCAATAGGTGCGATATCATTGGGGATTTTCTGCGAAATAAGGTCTAAGATCCGATCAGAGGTCAATACACGAGCCCCTATTGGTCTTGCAAACTCCGATTTCAGCATCTAATTAAGCGCCATGCCAAACTAACAACGATTCGATCACGAAATGTTGCATTGAAGGATCGTTGAATGGCCATCGGGCCGTTGGGAAGAGGTCACTCGGGATTTCCTCGGCTATACTTCCTGGCCCCGTTGCTTGCGGCCAAATTCGACCTTCAATTACCACTATAATATATCAACATGTGAAATAATTGCAATCTATGAACTTCAAGTTATGTATAGAGTCCCCGGGTAAGTATGGATTGAAGGCTTCAAGAACTTTCACCATTTTGGCCTCGGTCACCCTCCGAAAGGATATCGTGGTAAATACGAGCATTTCCCTGATATTTCCAGTATATCGCCACCCTTGGCATTATAGGCTAGAAATTAATAGCCAATGCTAGGTGTTACATAGTTATGGTCAATCGACCCGACGGTGGACCTGGTGGTCCAATCCACCACGTGCGATGGAAATTCGCTTCTCGGCGTAGGTTTCAAGGTGAAATGGAAGAATGCCCCGTCACAATACATATAAATTCCTCTTTCGACTTGTGCAATGATAAATACCTAGGCCTGGCGGGTGCTATATTGCTTCCAAGGCCTCACACAGGCACACCTGGGCACGAATGAGTCCAAATGTGGTACTGGAGTCGATTCGTTCCTTCAAAGAGACACAAGACAATCAACAGAAAAGTTATGGGCACAAGGTACTACAAACCCACTGCGTGGCCATTGCTAAAGTGGGCCTCCAGCGCCAATCGGCTTCATGCCACACTAATAGTATGAATGTCAGGAGGGTGATCGGGTCACCCGGGACACAAGTACTATCCCGTGCGGCGGTAACCCGTATTACTCACGGTAGCATGCCGTGGCAGGTATCCGAACTAGAGAACTTTTAAATCCATCAGATTTTGTTTGTCAGAGCACGGATGAGTGTGGAAGAATTTGGGTACCTTCAAGGCTGAACCCTGTTTCCGCCCGGGCGTACTGGGCGACATCTGTCTCTCCCAATTGTACTTCTCGTTGACTTCCCGGTTACTACACAATAATAGCTATCACTGATGAGTACACTTTGTGGAAGGCGATTGCTTGCTATGGGGACTAGGCCCCAATCTCCTCTGATGAGGCTCGGCTCGATAATCTTCTACTACCTGCTTTCACTGATCATGCTGATCTGTATCTTTAAATCAAGTAGAATTACTTAGACTGAGAAGATAAAAAGAAAAATGCTCATAGACGCGCAAGGGGCTATCAACAGATTGTGATCCAATAATGTCATTGGCAAGATTGGCCGCTCCTTGAGCTAGAAGGCACTTGAGCAGGGTGATGTAACCAAGATGCACTGTTATAGGTCAAAAGGAAAGTTTCTTTTGGCGTTCCGAAACGCCGTTGCCCAGTCTAGAGCTTATCACTTCCTTTATCCGATTGCAAAATGGGGGGGACACCATTATACTGGTAAATTCCGGAGATCACCAAAAACGTAATGAGCTACTGGCATGTACGACCACTTGTTAGTTCAATTACTCGCGCTCCCCTCCCGTTCGAGTCGGCTGTGAAAATATAAGGTAAATTATATCTCTTTTGTGAAATTAGCTCCAATTTTGTAGCTTATCTATGTCTATTGGCGACAAAATCAAAATATAGACAATTATTCTAGTCCTAGCTCGGCCAAAATGGCTTGGTTATGCTCCCCCACCTTCGGAATTGATGCGATCTGAGCACCATATCCTCCCTTATCGGCCGCATTGGTTGACCCTGGGGGAAGAAGGGTTGGGACAATCCCGGCTGGTGTTTGGACTTCCGTCCATCGCTCGCGGGCCTTGAGTTGGGCGTGGTTCCAAACGCCCTGCATGTCATTAACGTTGGCATTAGCAATTGCGGCTTTGTCAAGTCGCGCGGTAGTCTCTTCTGCTGTGAGTTTCGAAAAGCTATCACATATAATGGCTTTGAGAGCATCGCGGTTCTGTGTCCGTAGCGAGTTACTAGCGAATCGCTCGTCTGACGCGATCTCGGGCTGGGAGAGGACATCGGTGCAGAAGTTGGCCCACTCCCGCTCGTTCTGTATACCGAGCATGACGGTTTGTCCGTCCCCAGTTTCGAATGGACCATATGGATAAATAGAGGCATGCGATGCACCCGCGGGGACTGGGCCAGCAGCACCTTCAAAGGCGTAATACATAGGGAAGCCCATCCATTCAACCATACTCTCGAGCATGGAAATATCAATTTTACAGCCTTGGCCATCTCTGCCGCGCTGAATTAGGGCTGAGAGAATATTGGTGTAGGCGTACATTCCTGCGGCGATATCTGCAATTGAGATCCCCACCTTGGCGGGCTCCTTGCCAGTGCCAGTCACGGATAACATACCAGCCTCACTCTGAATGAGTAGGTCATATGCCTTCTTGTCGCGATACGGGCCATCTTGACCGTACCCGGAGATGTCGCAAACGATCAGGGAAGGGTGTTTCCCTTTGAGTGACTCGTGGGAGAGGCCTAAACGCGCAGCAGCACCTGGGGCCAAGTTCTGAACGAGCACATCGGCCTTCTCCAATAGCTTCATCAACGTGGAATGGTCCTTTTCATCCTTCAAATCGAGTGCCAAACTCTCTTTGGATCGGTTGGTCCAAATGAAGTGGGAAGCCTCTCCATTTACACGCGTGTCATATTGCCGGGCAAAATCACCAACTCCAGGTCGTTCAACCTTGATGACACGGGCGCCGAGATCGGCCAACTGTCTTGTACAGAATGGTGCAGCAATGGCCTGTTCCAGGCTCACAACTGTCACACCCTCTAAAGGCGCTGCACGGTGACCACCTGAAGATGTAGTTGAATATTGGAATTGGAAATGTTGACGCGAAGGAGGGAGAAGAGAGGAAAAGGCGGGGCGGAGGGACGCCCTCAAGGGATGCACCCCACGAAGAACTGCAAGTCCCCGCATAATGGGAGAATATAAAAAAATAAAAATATACAACTGCTAGAGTAGTAGTCGGCAGTCTGATTCTCCTTGCTCTATTTGAATATCCCCATGCACTAGGTTTAATAAGCGCCATGCGCCCGAACAGCCGAGTCGGCTATATGATCGGTTACATGTAATTCGTCGACATCATTTAAGACCAACATGCAGACCGGCGAATAAACGGCAACCACCAATATTCATACATCATGTCGCGTCCACAATGGCAGCGATTACTTCGATCGGGGTGGGCGGTGGCCTCGCCATCCCTGCAAGCCTCCCACGCTGTGCGCAATCGCCTGCCAATGCGCTCGGCCTTTTCGACCTCGGCGCGACGTGAATTGATGGAAATGACAGGCTTCACAGAGGAACAGTTGACCGTTCGCGAAGCCATCTCCCACATTTGCTCCAAGTTTCCCAACACGTACTGGCAAGAGCGCGATCAACTTGAAAAAGATCCCAAGGAGTTTCACGCCGCATTGGCCAAGGACGGATGGCTGGGAATTGCCCTGCCTGAGTCGCACGGAGGGGCTGGATTGGGTATGTTTCTTGCCGAGATGATCGAATTCATCAAGAAAGAATGCTGATAATAGATTATAGGAATCTCTGAGGCTACAATGATGATGCAAACCATCACCCAGTCTGGCGCAGGAATGGCTGGAGCGCAGGCCATTCACGCCAATGTCTATGCCACTCAACCATTGGCCAAATTCGGCTCCAAGGAGCAGTTGGAGACGACGATCCCCAAAATTATCAATGGAACTTGGAGAACATGTTTCGGTGTCACCGAGCCCAACACCGGTCTTGAGACTCTGAAACTCTCGACCCTGGCCAGCAAGAACGCTGATGGATATTCCGTCACCGGTCAAAAGATTTGGATTACTTGCGCGCAGGTCGCATCTAAGATGATCCTTCTTGCCCGAACCACTCCTCTGGAAGAAGTGAAGAAGTCCAGCGAAGGTCTCTCCCTGTTCTGCATCGATCTCAACCGCGAACAACCGGGCCTCGACATGCGCAAGATCAAGAAGATGGGCGGTCGCGCTGTCGATGCTAACGAGGTCTTCTTCGACAACTACCAAATCCCCGCCGACACCCTGATTGGAGAAGAAAACCAGGGATTCAAGATCATTCTTCACGGTATGAATGCTGAGCGATGCCTCTTGGCTGGTGAAGCACTGGGTCTGGGCTACGCTGCTCTAGAGAAGGCGTCACAGTATGCTCAAGAGCGAGTTGTCTTTGGTCGACCTATTGGTCAGAACCAAGGTGTCGCTCATCCTCTCGCTGATGCCTATATGAAGCTGGAAGCCGCCAAGCTGGCGACCTACCACGCAGCTCGTCTATATGACACCAACGATGGCTCGGTGCCCTTCCACTCCATCGGCGTGGCCTGCAACAGCGCAAAGTACCTGGCTGCGGAAGCGGCTTTCACGGCTTGCGAGCGGGCCGTGCTGGCGCATGGTGGTATGGGATATGCTATGGAGTATGATGTTGAACGGTACTTGCGTGAATGCTTTGTGCCTCGGATCGCTCCTGTCAGTCGGGAGATGATTCTGAATTATGTTAGCGAGAAGGTTCTCCAATTACCTCGTAGCTACTAGAGGACCGTTTCCATCCATGGATTGCCATGGACCAGCATGTATTTTAGCGAATCAAATAGTTTCAGATGCATGAAATAGTATAAAGTACTACTAGTAGTACTACTACTAATATGAAAATAAAGTCTTTAGTGTTTTTAGACTTGCGGAAACCCCAAAATTCCGAAATCTGACCTTGATGTAGGCCCAAATGAGCATTCTGTACTTGAATTCAACTTTCTTTCGTCTTGCTGAACCTTGGAAGTATAAGAATTCCCAATCGGGCAAGGCGAACCCGGAGTCGGGGAATCCGCGGGGAGCTCCGACCAATCAGAAGTGAGATGCATGACGCCATGCTGGAAAGTACCACCGCCTTCCTTTTAAGGATAAGTTGTGGCCTGATCTCTCGGGCGGCAACTTGCTTGATAACCATCTCATCTTCTGAGTGCATTTGTAACTCTTCAATTGTTATTCTCCTCTCGAATCTCACCAGATATCATTATCCCACGATGCGTTTGCTCCACGGAGCTTTCCGCAATGCATCTCGCTCCGCGCGAGTCCCACAATGGCGACCCAGCGACTCGTCCATCCTCGCCGCAGCCCGTCGCCCGTTGACACTGTCGCAGTCGCAACTGAAATACACTGGCTCCCCACGTCTTTCCTCGACCAGTGCCGCGTCTAAGGACTCCTCCAATCCGGCCATGTCCTTTCCTTGTCTGGATGCGCAAGAGGCACGGTCTGCACTGCTCTCCGCCCGCTCACTCGAATCCGGTCCCGAACCCTCATACACCGCCGGAGAACATAAACGATTTCACAGCGAGAAATCAATTCTGTTGGATTGGGGTGGAGTCCTGCCAGAATTTGATATTGCATACGAATCATGGGGTCAGCTAAACAGTGACAAGAGCAATGCGATCCTTCTACACACTGGCTTGTCCGCCTCAAGTCATGCTCACAGCACCCCCTCCAACCCCAACCCCGGATGGTGGGAGAAGTTCATTGGCCCCGGACTACCTCTCGATACCGATAAATACCATATCATCTGCACAAACGTTTTAGGTGGCTGCTTCGGTTCTACTGGACCCTCCTCCACTGACCCTTCTGACGGAGAACGCTATGCGACCCGATTCCCGATCCTGACAGTAGACGACATGGTACGAGCTCAGTTCCGCTTGCTCGACGCGCTTGGTATTGAGAAGCTCGCGGCCTCCGTGGGTTCCAGCATGGGAGGTATGCAAAGTCTAGCCGCTGGCGTTCTCTTCCCGGAGCGCGTGGGGAAGATCGTAAGCATCAGCGGTTGTGCACGCAGCCATCCTTACAGCATTGCGATGCGACACACCCAACGCCAGGTTCTAATGATGGACCCCAACTGGGCACGCGGCTTCTACTATGATTCTATTCCCCCTCACTCCGGCATGAAGCTTGCCCGAGAGATTGCAACTGTCACTTACCGCAGTGGCCCCGAGTGGGAGAACCGATTCGGACGCCGCCGTGCCGACCCCAGCAAGCAGCCGGCACTGTGCCCCGACTTCCTGATTGAGACCTACCTCGACCATGCCGGTGAAAAGTGGTGCCTGGAATTCGACCCGAACAGTCTTCTCTATGTGTCCAAGGCCATGGACCTGTTCGATCTCGGCCACGCTCATGAATCAGAGACCCGTCGTCGCCGTGCCGAATCGGAGTTCCGCATTGCTAAGGGAGGTATCTCACCTAATGTCTCTGACCCCACTTGCACTCTCACCCTCCCAGACCAGCCCTATGAGGAACAGCCCGAGGTAACCGCCTCTATTCCACCCACAGACCAAGCTGTCTCCGGCAGCCCCGATGGACCCCCACGCGACCTCGTCACCGGCCTGGCCGGTCTCAAGAACCACGAGGTCCTCGTGATGGGAGTGGCCAGTGATATTCTCTTCCCCGCGTGGCAGCAGCGTGAAATCGCCGAGACCCTCCGCGCAGGCGGCAACAAAACCGTGAAGCACATCGAGCTAGGCGAAGATGTCTCGATGTTTGGACATGATACATTCCTTTTGGACTTGAAGAATGTCGGGGGTCCGCTGGGTCGGTTCCTGCAGTAAGAGTGATGGCAATGATGGATCGCTGTAATTTGTGAATGTTGTACATACCTCGCACCAACGATGAAAATAATGCATAGGCGGGCGTTTTTGTGATTTGTGCATGCCACTCCAATCTATTTACTGAGGACAAAGGCCAGAGCCCTAGTTATGTTCCACAGGCTTAGTCACCTGGTCTACAATGCTATAACTGTCTACCAGTCCCTTTGAGCTCAGCCCTGGAGAGCTTTCTTCAATGCTACATAGTACTAGTACCTAGGTATTTTCTACTGTGATCGTCTCTCTCACTATAGTTAGTATACTACTAGTATGCTAATTATATTCAGGTTTCTTTTGGTTTTCAGGGTTATTAACTTATCTTCGAGAAGCTATTCGCAGTGTATTGAATTACTACATGGCTTCAGACAATGCCTCGCTCTCTCTCTAGATCTCCAGATATTCGCATACTATCATCCTTACGTTCATGCTTCTGAGATTCTGTTGTTGAGGAAAATTGCCAGTGCTGTTCCTTCCCTACCTTAAGCCTTAAGGTATACTACTAGTAGTAGATAGCTTCGCTCTCTCATCTTCTACTCCCTGATCACTACTATCATTGTGTCTCTCTACTGTTCCCATCCTCGAACAATGCTCTAGTATCATGATGGACCGCCCTTCCACTGGAGCTGCTTTTTATAATCGGGGAGCATATTCAGACGAGCTCTAACTCGCACAACACCCTGTACTCGCTGAGTCTGTGCTGCCGGTATTTCAATGATGTATTCCACAACCAATCCTCTATCATTCCATCTCCATCTGCTCTTTTTCCGCCGAATGTGTCTTCACGGGACAACCAGTCATATCATGCCCTGGAAATTCGCAACCTTCTCCGCCAGATGGTAGTTCCGTTCTTTACATTCTCAATCAACTAACATGTCCTGACAAAATGTCATACCTTTAATTCAAAATTTTCCTCGTTCCCCCATTCCCCATATTTCGTGTGGGGCAGACTATTCATAGTAGTATTGAATGTATTCAACCGACATTTAGCAGAGACATCAGCAATTTAGCCGGACAGCCCTGGAGAGCTCCGAGTGGAGCCGAGGAGAACCCGAAAGGGAAAAATAAGAAAGACCCAGAAAGGAAAAACACGTCTTACTATTTAGTTAATACTACTCCGTAGTATACCCCGTACTGCTGGTATACTACGGAGTAGTGACCCCCGTGACCCCCGTGACCCCCCCCGTGACTCCGGCTAAAATAGCAAGTTCAACCCGAGTGGTGGAGCTTTGACATCATCCCGACCTAACTGGATCAACCTTCCACCCCGCGATTGACTTGCCTCAATTACTATTATCTTCTATTCCCCTCCCATTCTTACGATTCCTCTTTCCCCCTACTCCTTTCCCCTAAATTGCTCACAATTGTCCCATTGTGAGTTCTCACAGTACCAGTCGACATGTCGCAATCCCCCCCTCTACATCGGTTTCGACCTGTCAACCCAGCAACTCAAGGGCCTGGTCGTTAACTCCGATCTCAAGGTCGTCTACATCGCCAAATTCGACTTCGATGCCGATTCTACCGGTTTCCCCATCAAAAAGGGCGTGCTGACGAACGAAGCCGAACATGAAGTCTTCGCTCCGGTCGCATTATGGCTACAGGCTATGGATACCGTTCTCGACAGTTTGCGCAAGCAAGGGCTAGACTTCAGTCGGGTCAAGGGGATCAGCGGTGCGGGACAACAACATGGAAGTGTCTACTGGGGCAATGAGGCAGAGAATCTCCTTCGCAGCTTGGATGCGTCCAAGTCTCTTCAAGATCAACTCCCCGCCGCCTTCTCCCATCCCTACAGTCCCAATTGGCAGGACTCCAGCACCCAGAAAGAATGCGACGAGTTCGATGCTGCCCTTGGTGGTCAAGAGCAACTGGCCCAGGCCACTGGAAGCAAGGCCCATCATGTAAGAGCCGCAGTGCGCATCATAACATGGATCCCGAATAAAGCTAATTGAGGTTTCTGTCTCTAGAGATTCACAGGTCCCCAGATTCTCCGCTTCACGAGGAAGCACCCCGAAGTGTATAGCAAGACATCCCGAATCTCCCTGGTGTCCTCTTTCATTGCCTCACTTTTCCTCGGCCACATTGCGCCTTTTGATATCTCCGATGTATGCGGGATGAACTTATGGAATATCAAGAAGGGTGCCTACGATGAACAAATTCTCAAGCTGTGCTCCGGCAAGTTCGAGCTTAACGATCTGAAGCAAAAGCTGGGTGAAGTGCCCGAGGATGGAGGACTGCACCTGGGCTCCGTCCACCCATATTATACGCAGCGCTATGGCTTCAGCCCTGACTGCACAGTGATCCCAGCTACCGGCGATAACCCAGCCACCATCCTCGCCCTCCCTCTCCGACCTTCCGACGCGATGGTATCTCTCGGAACCTCTACAACTTTCCTCATGTCCACTCCAAGCTACATGCCCGATCCCGCCACCCACTTCTTCAACCATCCCACAACGGCGGGTCTCTATATGTTCATGCTGTGCTATAAAAATGGCGGTCTAGCCCGCGAGTACGTGCGAGACGCGATTAATGATTCCCTCAAGGATACCCCGGCCCAGCCCTGGACCAATTTCGACAAGATCGCTCTGGAGAGCCAACCACTAGGACAAAAGAGCTCAACCGATCCAATGAAGATGGGTCTCTTCTTCCCGCGACCGGAGATCGTTCCGAACCTCCCATCCGGCCAATGGCGCTTCACCTACAACCCCGAGACAGGCGACCTACAAGAAACCACGTCCGGATGGACCGCCCCACATGATGAAGCCCGCGCCATTGTCGAGAGTCAATTCCTGTCCCTCCGCCTGCGCTCCCGCGGTCTGACTTCCAGTCCCGGAAACGGTCTCCCCGCGCAACCACGCCGAGTCTACCTGGTCGGAGGTGGATCCAAGAACGAGGCCATTGCCAAGATCGCAGGCGAGATTCTTGGCGGTGTGGAAGGTGTTTACAAATTGGACATTGGAGATAATGCCTGTGCCCTCGGCGCCGCGTACAAGGCTGTCTGGGGAATGGAGCGTGCGCCCGGTCAGACCTTCGAGAACCTCATCGGCCAACGGTGGCAGGAGGAGCAGTTTATTGAGAAGATCGCGGATGGATACCAGAAGGGTGTGTTTGAGCAGTATGGCAAGGCTGTTGATGGATTTGAGAAGATGGAAAATTATGTTGTGCAGCAAGTGCTGGCCAAGGGGCTTGAGACGGTATAGAGGGGAGTATATGGAGTATATCGATGACTTCCATGTACTCATGGTAATTCCCGACTTCGAGTCAAGGCACATAGATAGCCTGTTTATAAAAGCGATCTTATTCAATATTTAAGTTTATGCATCATCTCGGTAGTGACTAGTAAGTCCTAGAATCGGCACTGACGAGATCCTCCAAGGCGATACTATCCCTCACTCCCAGTTCTCTAGACGCACATGCTTAACCTCAGTATTCTTGATCACCGACTTTGTCTTCGCAAACTCCTTCGACAACTCAGACTTATGAAACTCATGATGATGCTCGACCGAATTCCACCCACTCAAAAGAATAAATTCTTCATCCTCGCCCTCCTTGTCAATTCTCCAACCTCCAAAGCAGGGATGGGGAGCCGTGAACTTTTCCAAATCGGACAGGCCAGCCTTGAAGAGATGATCGAATTCCTCCTTGTTATCTTTTTCAATGAAGCAGCGAACTACTCCGATGACTGGTGCGGATATCGGAATGGGAGTAGACGGCTAAAGAGAGGGAGTGTCAGCTTGATTGCATCCTGCTACCCGGTTGCTTTCTCTCTCAACCCACATCAACATCCAAATGAAACATATACCCAATATCTACTTCATCTTTCAGCTTCGCAAGTAGTCGCTGATTGATCTCTGAGGCCACCCATTCACCACAATGCAGGGCCACCGACTCCCAGCCACCCAGCAAGAAGAAATCCCTCTGGTCGTCCAAGGAGCGCAGGAAATTGACTCGATGGCCGGAGTACTGGGATTGTTCCTGTTGGGCTTCAAGAAAAACCGCCTTGAGAGGGTCCGATGGTGTGGGTGTCTTGAGGTGGAGTAAGGCGATCTCCGTGACAGGCATGGTTAAGTTCAAGTTGGTGGTGTCGAATGGGGTTAAATGAATGAAATCGTTCTTCAATACTTCTAGAAAGTTCTCGACTTGAATTGATTGAAATGCTCAGACGTGGGATGTGCCAGGTCCTTTATACCTTTACTTGTACGATCTTCGGCCCCCAACTTGAAGAAGCTCAGGCAGCGCCGGTGGTACGTATTACGTATCTCTGCAAATATTCCGCTAATTTACAGGTGGAAGCTTATTTCAGGCATCGAAGGGGTACGTCAGTGATCTAGTCTAAGTAGTACTTGTAGCAGTAACTTGAAGGTTCCTTCCGATTCAACATTGGAAGACTAGGTATGCTAGTAGATTGTAAACCTAGAATACTATCTCTACTCATTACTTACGGCAGATGTTCCGAGTCTTATGTGGCTATTTAACTAGCATAAACCCTACTAAGTCGGTTACTACTATTATGGAGCGGCACTTAGTCCTGGCATCGTCGCTTAACTTCTGACAATTTCTTCTAAACTTTCGACTAAAGTACACCGGAAATAGGCTCCCTCTATCTTCTTGGCTAGCCTAGTCTCGCACACCATCAGAGCAGCCTCATATTGGCAATAGAAATTAGGCCACAGTAGGTCTTGACGAGGTTCTAAGTTCGTTTACAGGAAGTAGTACAGTCAACTTGTACTACTAGTAGTAACTAAATACAGATCCAGGGCGATATCCTGACACTACCAGTCTTAGTATCACTTTCAACTGTCAGGCGTCATGGCAAATTAAATCTTGGAATCCATCCATCCACTCATCCGTCAGGAGAATTGTCTTACCATAATGAAACAGAAAAATTTGTACCTTTTCTTTCCACTGAATCACTCACCTTCTCAACAAACCCACAGGAAAGTCCTAGAGCTTATGGTTGGGCCCGTTAGAGTATCTTAGGCATCCTAGCATCATTCAAAACTAGGAATTCTGCGGCTGTCTGTGTCAATATCATCGTGCTCTGTTCCTTGAATCGACTATCTATTTCAATTTGTAATAGCTCACGATACTGCACGATACTCCGTACCTCATAAGGGAATGATATCCACTGGGATCAGGCTGCTGCGGGTACAATTTAATAATAACTCATTCTTCACTACTCGGTATCCCGTCACGTAGGCAGTCTCCAAAAGCTCTGCCTACGTGCAGATATGTGCATTATTGATGGGAATGAATGGTATCTTTCCTTCCTCGTGGATACTCTGAAAGCCTCTATCTATTCCTTTCAGATTGCTGCACCGCGTCTAACACAGTTGGTTGTGCGCCTGTTCGCAAACACAGCTGGGTCAATAACCCGAAGACAGGTATCGGGATTCAACACATTCGCTGCGGAAAATGGGATTAATATGAGCCTCAGGGTAATTCATGATTCTCTTCCGCCCCGCCCAGTCTTTGGACAGGGAGTAGAGATTTGACGGAATGGGTACATTGGGGTACTCCAGTCAGTGTCAAGAAACAATTGCGTGAAAAGGCGAATCGTCTGTGATAATGATATGTATGATAGTCTAGTTATACTATAAGCACACTGACTAGTAACGTATAACTACTGTATGATGTAGTAAAGTGTTTGTTGTGTTTATGCCTGAGGCCACCGCCCTCTAACCGCCTTCAACTTCAACTTCAACTTCAACCAGATTCAAGTTGACTTCCCCAGGATTCAAGTTCGCCCAGTTAACTCCCTCTCTTCAACTGGTGCTCGGTACTACCTCTCTCTGCGATATGGTATAGTGCTCCTCCGCCTACATGCGCACTCGATGCTACTTATAGTACACTCGCGCTAATCGTGATCCCCGTCCTTAGTCGTGAACGTCAACCTCGACATGTCCGACGCGTCGTCTTCATATCGAAGTCGCGTTTTGCGACCAAAGAAACCGAGAAATATCCCTTTCGAGGCCGAACAGCTCCTATACCGTTTCACTGTTGGCTCTAGGAATCCCCCGAAGGGTCAATCCGATTGTTTCTTTGCGACCAGTCTTTGGGATAGTACTAGTAGTACACCCACACTCGCGCCATGGAAAGAAGGCCCCAATGCTCAGACAACAGAATACCGCACCACGGGTACTGCCGAACGGAATACTAGTACTAGTAATATTCAATCCCCTTTTTTCAAATTTCACTTCGCCAACTGTTCCACCCAACGCCCCATCCCCATCCCCGTCGCAACTGAGAACATCAACTATCCGTCACTCTCACCTCATCAATCCTTCCCCTCTACTGCTTCCACCCCTACCTCCACTTCGAGTTCCTTATCAACACGACCGCCTGGCAATGAAACACCTCGCCAAGCTCCCAGGGACCAGCTCCGAAAGACTGCTACCGTCAGCAACGCCAATCAAATGACCCCCGCCAGGATAATAGAATATCAACCCCAACGAGCAGGCAGTTCTCGCCAGAAAAAGGCATCCACTCGACCGACTATAATCCCCACCATCCCCCGGCCTATTGCTTCCCGACATACTCGCGAACGAGACTCCTCCTCGGAATACCAGTCCCACCAGTCGTCCAGAGCCTCCTCAGGCTCTCCCGCGCCGATCCCCAAAGATTCTCCTCCCCGGCGTTCCAGCCGCGCCAGGAGGGATCCAATCACCTATAATGTCCGTGCACTAGTCGGGCTCGAGTTGGAACCAGCAGAAGCAGAAGCCGCAGACAGGAGTCGTGGCAATGAGGCCAGCAGTGGAGCATCATCTCCTAGGCCATCAAATACCTCATTGATCTCTTCCACCCCGGTGGACTCCCAGACCCCGCAAAGTTTAGGCAGTGGGTCTTCGCGCGAACGACCGAGCATTGGACATCTCCTCCGCAATAGACAACAAGGTCGATTCATAAGTAATTCCTACTACAATCATGCCTATACCGATAGGCTCTCAGAGCTGACCCCTTGGCGAAGCTGGAAGGGAGCCTCAAATGATATTACCAGCATAGCATGGTCACCGGATGGTACCCGTTTTGCCGCGGGAGCAACGACACACGGCGGTGACTATAATCGAGGCAATAACTTGGTTTTAGGGGATTTGTCACGGAATTCACTCATGGAACTTCCCGATCACTGGATACGTCGTGAAAACCCAACCAGCACGCAGGACTCGCGTCTTTTTGCAACAGTCTCCTCCACGCAGTGGGTCGGGGAACAGCTCTATTCCGCGAGCTTCGACAAGACGGTAAAAATGTGGGATATTGGGTATGGGGCTTCCTGTGTCCGAACGCTCACTCATGACGCTCAAGTTGAGGTCATGGCGGCTTCGAAATATAGACCGAATCTACTTGCCACAGGTACCAAGAGCGGCTTTCGCCTCTGGAATTTGGGCTCATTGGTGTCTTATGAGAACCTTCATCTTGCTCGGTATTCCGGTCAGAAGAACGTGGAATTATCCCCCACGAACCTGATCTGGGGAAATTCACCTGGAACGAGGAACCTTCTCGTTGGTGGTATGGTGCAACGGACGGATGACGCGGAAGATATTCACGTGGCACGTTATGGGCATTTGGGCATGTGGAAGCTTGAAGAGTCATCAGTGACTACAATCAAGCTGAGTCCAGACTCACAGAACATTTTCGACATCAAGTGGCATCCCTCGATGCCCACATTTGCGACAGCGAGTTCAATGAGAGACCACAAGTCCTATCCTCCTGGATCCCAATCGCTCGTCAACGTTTATAGCTACAATCCCTCCGCAAGTAAGGCCATCCACAGCCACTCTTTTGCCTGCCCGGCTGTGGACATCAATGAGACTACCTTCTGTCCATTCGGATCCAACCATATGACTGCTAGCTGCACGGACGGGAGTACTTATGTGTGGGATGTTCGCTACCCGAATACACTACTTCACAAACTACGGCATGGCGAGGCAGATTACCCAATTAATCACGAGATTCGCCGGGAATATGCGGACGTAGGTGTTCGGGCTGCTTTATGGGGTACATCGATCGACCAGTTCTACACAGGTGCATCTGATGGCTTTCTCAAGCAATGGGACATCCGACGCGCCACTGAGGACGCCCTGGTTTCCAACGTTGCAAAATTCAACGATGGAGTCATGGGTGCTGTCTTTTCGCCCGACAATGCCCATCTTCTTGTGGGTGATAATGCAGGTGGGATCCATGTCTTGTCTTCTGGTCCTTGTGCGGACCCTGAACCGGGGCTCTTCAATTTCGAGTACGCACCTGTTCAAGAACAAGCTTGCGACAACCAACCGGAACAGCCTTCTTCTGAAATGACAGGAGTAGCCGCTGCGCGTCAGCTGTTGGAATCTTGCCAGTTGACAATTAATCCGCTCTATGGACCAGTGCAAGGCCCTAAATATTCCGGTCCCTTTGCGCGGTGGCCACGAGGCATTGATGCTGATGCGCCAGCGGAAAGTGTAGCACAGGCACCCCTTCTAGAGGAACACCAACTTCGCCAGTTCCAAGGGCCACCATTGAAGGACCGAAATGGTCTCGATGAACATTCTAGAAAGGAGTTACAGCGGGTATTCAACCTTGCTCATGCTTGCAATGATTCGAGGAATGCTCAACCAGCACCTCCTCAGCCAGCACTCTCTCGACCATCCAAACCTCAACCGACAGTCGGCCAATCTACTGGCCATCTACAAAGCTCGCAAAAGCGGAAGCGCGCGAGCTCTCATATATCCATGAGCAGTAACGGCGAAGAGTCCCATGCTCCTGTTCTCAAAAAGGCAAAACGGCCATTGCCGAGCAACGAGCAAGACAAGCCCACCGCGCAGCCGATACAGGCCGACATCATTGACTTGACTATTTCGGACGATGATGACGACGGACCGATTACACCAAGACGTGTCAAATTGCCTCCAGCCCCCAGCCCAACCACATTCAAGATGGAAAGCCCTGAACAAGTTCCACAAATCATTCCTGATGAAATCCCTGATGATATGTCCCACGGCGAATTGGTGGAAACGCCTGATGAAGCGCTGGAAGATGACTATTGGTGGCCAGACAGCCGGCAGGTAGATGCAAATATCCCGCGCCGAACGGATGGTTAGTCCGATGATCCATCGGCCTTGGATGAATTGCTGTTGGCGTTGCTTTTGTTTTATTTTATGTTTATTTTGCACTCACGTAACTGCGTATACCCCCATCGATGCCTCCCTTTTTAATTTAATGGCAATCATTAAAATGCTAAAGACTTTGAAATTCAATTTGAGGGTCAGAATTTCCTGACCCTAACTCATATCCATGAATTTAAGTCGACGATTTGGATGAACCCATGAGGGTTGAACGCCCGAACTATGCAAGGCTCAAGTCCTAAATATACAAGGCCATCAGGGCCAAAAAAATAGTATCGATACACTTGGAATGGCGAAAAGACATATAGTCTCGCCCCTAACTGCTCTTACCCTTCAACTCTCCCAGCGTGACTCTCAGCGCTTCTTCTGAGCATTGTTGAACTCACGAACGGTAATTTCGCACTTGACCTCCTGACACAACCTCTTCCTCCGACCAAGGTCCAACTTGGACGCAAACTCCAGACCAGACGCACGCTCCACCGCCTCAAGAGGAACCTCGAAATCGGAAAGTCTCTTGTCATTCGGAATGCGAGCATTAGGCAACACAAACGCACCAAGAGCAACCTTGCTCGTAGGCGAATTGGACCCATCCTCAGCAAAGATAACCTTGTAGAAATGGGTAGGAACAGCAACATTAGGCGGGGTACCAATAACCTCATAGTTAACGCGCCACTTCCCATCAGGATCGCGATGAGGCAGATAGAGCGGGCCCGTCACGATGCGAACAGAAGGATACCGACCCGTCAACTTGCGACCAAAGTCCTCAAAATGCGCCCAGTAGTCACGATTAAAACCCTCGCCGACCTGGGGACACATGTTACTGAGCAAGAAAGTGCCGTCCATGGCATCCTGAGACCATTTCGCGTCTGCGGCAGGCACTTGGTGGCCGCGATCGTAGCCGGAGCGGAAATAGTCGGCCAATTTGGCGCGGAAGATGGCTGGGATGGTGGTGTCCTCTGCGAAAGTGCTGTGTTTGCGGTCTGCGTTCTTCATGACCAGAGATTCGGGCGTGATATGTTCGGCGACCCAGGATGGGTTACGGGTTCGTCGGTCATAAGCGCCGTGTAAGGGGAGGGTGTTGAGCTCGTCGGCGCTTGGGCCGGGGAAGCCATATTGGAGAATACCGGCTGGATCGACAGGGCCGGTGGCCTTGGTTGCGAGAATGGGAGTTGGGGTTATGGAGGGTACTTTGACGGTGCCAGTGGGAGAAGGAGGAAGTTGTTGTTGTTGTTGGTGCTGTTGTTGCTGGGGACGAGTTGGTTTGGAGGAGTACAACAGTGCCGTGACACCGGCGCCAGTGGCGGCACTGGCCGCAGCGATGACGGCGAAAGTTGCCTTGGACATTATTGCTGAGATCAGGACAGCTGGATCTCGCAAGAAGGTTGGAGGTTGAAAGGTGGGGAGGAGGAAGAAAGAAGATCAAGTTGAAGTTGATCTTGTTGACGGAGAAAAAAGAAATGCGGAGAGTCACGGGCCAATCAGCGGTCACATGCGGATATCACCAGACGACCTCACTTGATGAAGTTAGTATTTACTAGTAGTAGTACTAGTATTTATTGGTAGGGTTGCATTTAGAAGATCATGCATAACCTTGGATGAGCCATTAGAGAATATCTAATGAGGTCACCTGCCAGTAAGGTTCTGCCAGAGGTTCTGGTTTTAGAACTTGAGCTTAAAGGCCTTGAATATACTACACAATATATATCCATGGATGTGATACCTGACCCGGACCAGGAACCCTGCAGTGTCCACTAGCAACATTATTATTCCAATATTGAAACTTGAAGGCTAGTACTAAGTACCGTGTCAATGACAGAGCCATGAAAGTAATAGTACTACCAGCATGTCCAGAAATCTAAAGAGAGGAAGGGACTTGGAGCCAGGCAGCAACGGGAACCCTGGGACGCCTGCACATAAGCCTCAAGGGTGTACATTCAAATGATCATTCGTCTTGTAGTATCAAATTAAATTAAGAAGAGAAAGCTAAATCGTGAAGACTAGTGAGCTGTCGAAGAAAACAGCATTCGCATCATCTCAAGACATTTCTCTTTGGGTTTCAGCATACAGGTAAAACAAAAGCAGGGGAAACCAAAGAAATCTAAGAAAAACAAGCAAGCCTCCAACTTATCGCATGAATTTTATATCCGCGACCATCCCCATCCAAGAGATGAGTCCAGACTCTCAGTTTGCCGTTGAAAATGCCTTACAGAGCAAAAGCCAAGGCACCGGCGAAGACTCCAGCGATGGCCATGGGGTGAGCTACAAGGGAAGCACCGCCATTGGGGACAGTGGTAGGGGTGGCCGAGGAAGTTCCAGTCGCAGAGCCGGACGCAGAGCCACTGGAGGCAGTGCTAGAGCCAGCGGAAGTGGCAGTGGTGATAGCAGTGCCATCGGAAGTAGTCTTGACGAGAGTTCCACTGAGAGTAGTATCCTTGGTCGAAGCACCAGTGGTGGTGGAAGAGGAGGAAGTGGTGATGGTGGTAGAAGAGGAACTGTGGGGGTTACCGGTCACGTTGAACTGCTGGGACTGTGCGAGGATTCCGGTGTTGAGCTTGGAGTCGGAGAGGAGGTTGATTTGGTACCCATGACTATCGGTAAGTTAGATTTGAGTCATCCTGAGCGGAGAAATCTGAAGCACTATACCCAGCGGAGAGGTCAAGGTCGTCGACAGTGTAGGATCCCTTGGAGGTATCAATCCCGGTCGCAATCTTCTTGTCGACACTGGGGTAGATGGCGTTGTTCACGAGGTAGATGTCGAAGCTCGAAGGATCGGATCTTTTCTAGTTTAGTCGTCAATCCCAAAGGTCAAATAGAAAGAAACATACTCAACAGTAGACCACTTCACGACGAAGGACTTGGAAGAATCAATTTCGGCTCCCTTCTTGGGCTCATCCACGGAAAGAGCTGACAAAGTAAGCATTCCTATAGCGTCCTTCAACCCCAGTCAGGCCTAACTTACCGGCAACAGAGACGGCCAGAGGGGCCAGGGCAACAATAGACCAACGCATCGTGATGAATATTATAGATAAAATGAAGAGGGAATTCACGTAGGGTCTAACGGTGTGTAATTCTTCTGAATTGAAAGATGATATCTTGAACAGCGTTCGGGAGACCAAAGTTATAAAGTACGAACCAAACCCAGCCAGGTGGTGAATCAAATTACACAAAATCGCTTAAAATAGTTTTCGGGAAAATTTAGTCAACTCTCATAACCTGTTCTATCATTCTCATCCTGTGAACCACTATGCAGTATCCTCTGATCCATCTTGTTCGGTACCTGATGTCTCTAAGATGTCTCTGAAGCAAATGGACCCTGGATGGGGAACCGTATCGCCCCAGCGGAAAAATACGGCACTCGCCCCAGCCAGGCAGCATTGAGTCTCACTTGACCCGAAACGAAATTCCCATAGAGAATCAAGATTGACTGGGCCAGTACATACGCCTTCTGATGATAGGATACATGCATACATACTTTGCTGAGATGGGTACCCAACTAATCGCGGAACCCTACCACTTGGGGCTTAGTAGTATTTCAACGGTCATGTCGAGACAGAGCCTGCGTCAGACGGCGTAATCGCGTGTTTCCGGTGTGAGTGGCGTGAGTCGGTGAAGGAGGTGTCAACGAAGTTCCCTTATGCATGTACGAGTATGTATCACCACCCACCACCACCATGACAAGTTTGCCCCAAGGGCCCGTACATGGTATGAATTTATCCGCTTAGGGTATTTTTGTATCAAAACAAGTTTCCATACAAATTATTCAATACTTTTTTAATCGTTAGGTTTAAATCCCAAAAAGGAAAAGCTGTTTTTATAGACTCCACCGAATCTCGCCCTGCCAAGACAAGATCCGCCGTTGATAAAAATAGTCGGCTTAAAAGTTGGGTACCGATCGCAAGCAGAAAGAAATATTTTGTTGTAGAATATCCTTCCAGATTTATTCTAAATATCGAAAGGGGGAATAATTTGAATAGATCGGGTTAATTCAGGCCGAAGTAGAGAATAGACTATTCCTAAGCAAAGATACAGATAATCTCGGGGAGCCAAGGCCGCGAGATCTGCGTGCTATAAGGCGCCATCTCGATTGGCCATTTACCGCCCAAGCCACAGGGATTCTTTAGCGGGTGTCCTGATACACAAAATAAGTTACGGGCGCCACACATGGCTATCAATGGTGAGAAATCTGTTTTTATTGGGTCACACTGAGACATGCGTGAATGGCATATCGCACTGCAGTTTCGGATCACCGGCGGTCAAGCCACACACGGAATTCTCCCGAGCTTGGACCGACAAAGTTTCGATTCGAGGAAATGTCTTACTCTATACGGCCGTATATGTGGGCTAATTATGCAGAGTTCAGCATACATCTCTCACCCGAATTACGCGATCGATCTTGAATTGACTTTTCATTACCGATGATTTGTACAGTTCCTGAAGTAAAGAAGAATTAGTCCATGATGCTACATTTACCCCCCATTACATTAAGATCGAGCCCGCAATCCAACATTAGAGCTCATAAAGATTCGAGGTCCTATAAAGCCAGTGTTAGTGTAAATAATACCGCAGAATAAGTGTTCGGCTAGAGTAGGAATAACCTAGCGTACAAGTTCTTTTCCAAGTGATCTCGTCGCACGGCAGTAGCTTCCACCCAAACTCCAACGCATGAGGCGTTAATTGGGAAATTGCCATAGCCTCGTTTGTCGATAACGACTCGCCTGTCATGGTAGCCTAATATATCTATCCATTGTGTGTTCGTATGTTGTCTACCAATGAACATGCGTTTTTTGCTTCGGCCGCCGTTGCTGATAAGACAGGCCAGGCCGGAGTGATTGGCGTTTCCGTAGCGCACGAACCCTGCCACCTCATTAGCGACCAAGATAACAATACGAGGGCTGAGCAACACGAACCAACACAATTTGGCTCATCGAAGTAATTTTCTTGCTCTCCATAGGCGAACTGCTTGCGTGCTTGCGCCAAAAGTGGGAGCTTTCCGTCGCATGCCGGCGCCCTTGAACCTTCCACGTTCAGCCCATACATATCGCCGTAGAATATACAGGGAAGTCCATCCTTTCTGAGGAGTATCAAAGCATATGCGGCTAGTTTGAATGACGAGGCGACAGGGGTCTGGACAGATATTAGCTTTTCCCAGCACCGCGACCGAACCAGGTCTGATGTGACAAGTGACGATTCAGCTTACCTCGAGCATTTGTCCAGGTTGCTTTTTACTGTTAGCTTGGTTACTCGGGACAAAAAAGGGGCCTCTGGTTAGATAAGGTACATACCGTGTCATGATTCGCAACAAAGGTCTTTTTAGAAAAAATAAAAGAAATGAATTAGCAGTTGCAATAAAACAGTGGCTTGTCTCATAGGTATCTTACCACCGCATGGCCAGGCCTTGATTGTACCAGAGTATCACTGAAGATGGTGCGTAAGTCGGCGCATGGAGTTTCCGAAATTGTAGAAAACTTCTTCAGAAGAGGCACATCGTATGCCATAGCCTGGTAGTCAAGGTTCTCCAAATAGTCTTGAATGTCAGAGACATTGTGAGCCCAGTATTCTCCTATCACGAAGAATTTGGGATTGGAGTTATCTCGAACGTGTTGAATAAACTTCTTTTGAAACCGAGTTGAGAAATGTTTCGCAGCATCGAGTCTCATTCCACTGATAGACAAAAGGTTCGTGATCCAGGAACCCCAGTGAAGAAGATCGGCGCAGACTTCGGGGTTCGAGTGTTCAAGATCGGCAAACATGAGGTAGTCATAATTTCCATTCTCTGTCGAAACGTCTGATGCCCAGTCCTTTTCAGGCCCAAGTATTTTATAAATGTCGTTCGTCTCCAGTTTCTGGTCCCAATCGACACCTGTGAAGTGTTGCCAGTGATATTTCATGCTACTATACTTATCTCCGCGACCGGAGAAATCGAAGCCTGTCCAGCCATGAATTTCTTGTGGACTGGATATATCTTTGTTTCTTTCTGTAAACTTATTGTTAATCGGCCCAAATAGTAGTTTTTCATGAGAACTTGGAGCGTACCTTTCGGGTCAACGGCAATGGCTTGGAAGCCTTCAGAATAGTCCGCCCCGGCTTTATGGTTCAGAACTGCATCCCAAATGACGTTGACTCCAAGAAATTTCGCTTCGCGTATCATCTCTTGCAGTTCCATGAAGTCTCCCCATTTGGTCGAAATGGCGCCTTTTTGATCAAATTCTCCAAGGTCGAAGAGATCGTAGATATCATACCCATTCCCGTTGGGGTCCATGCCCTTACAACCCGGCGGGATCCATATGTGATCAATACCCATCGCTTGCCATTCCGGAAGTAAACATTTCAAGCGATACCAATGGCGCTTATCCGAGGGGACATGCCACTCGAACGCTTGAAAAATGAGTGAATTATCTGATGTATTCCATGAAGGTAGTCGGTCTAGGAATCTTGCTGCGTCTTTGGATACGTCAAAATCAAATATCAAGCCGTGATGTGCTCCAAAAAATCTTACCTTCTTTTTGCTTCAGTACCCTTTGTTCATGTCGGCGGCGGGTGCTGAAACATGAAAGAAACGATGACATTTTGGTGTTGTATCTAACAACGCATGAAGTTCAACACTCGATATGGGGAGGCAATCACAATCTGGCATATGTCTGCGTATACCGGATAGCAATGTGGATACTCCAAGTGGCCCATTGGCATTGGTCTCAGGCTATTTTGAAAACTTCCCAAATAGATCACCGTTACTGTTTTTTCTTCCAGGGTCCAGGAAGTGGACGGGTTGGTATTGTGTGGGGCGTAGAAAATTCGATGAGTGGACCGCACCATAAAATTCGAGTTTGTTGTAATTTACATGTCTCGGATGTCTTCATTACCGTTACAATACGTTTGCGATCACCGGCGGAACATACGTGAAGGAGCCCTGAGTTGGTGCCTATCCTTGCGCCAACAGTTTGAGGGTAGTCGAACAGTTCCAAAGTCAGTTTACGCCATAAATGCGTATATAGGCATATTTCGGTCGAATATAATTCTTGTAATGATAGCCGACGGCGCAGAATTGCCGGATTCGAGGAACCGGTTAAGAATGAGATTCCAGGCCTTGTGTTCAGTAATTAACCTTCCAATTTTTGAAAAAAAAGAAATACGAACGCTTCCACGAGTTGATAAATTCATAAACCTTGCAGTTGGCCTAGAAAGACCACTCTATCCACTAATAGTACTGGTACAATAAACCATTGAGACTGAGGGTGATAATAGTACATTCATTAAGCACGGGAGAAGTAGGTATCTGCAGAAAGCTTGGGGGAAAAAGTCGCATTTAATCGAGACATGAGACGTGCTCTTACATAACTTAAAAGAGCCTTTCAATGCTTAAAAGCAGCAAGAGAATAAAGGAAACCAAAATTGTACCGGTCGGGTTTACACGCGTAGGATTCCCGAGAGATTTGCCCGATGAGTAGCCCATCTTGAGATCTGCAAGGCTGATGTTGGAGGATGAATATCCACAAAGACCACTGCCTCCCATGTATTTGGTGGGAAAGAAAACTCGAGGTTCGCCTGCGTCCATGTCGAGCTTCAATTCACCTTGATTGTCGACAGTGTAATTTTTACAATTAAGCACCTCGGTGACCTGTGTGCCGGCATTGAAGCTGAATGGTAAACTGAGAGTGTAGGGTTTGCCAGATTTGCCCTGACTTGAGAGGAGCATGAGAACTTGGAGCCCCTCAATACCTTTCACAAAGGCAAGCTCACTTCCGCCTTCAAAGACAGCACGCGATTCGGTGTGGATGTAATTTTTGTCTATCCTTTGGGCGTGGCTCTTGATAGCATTGAGCTTAGAGATCAACTTGTAGAGAACAGAATCGGAGTTGTATTCAGACAGCCACAGGGCCTGTCGATTTAATGGAGTGCCAGAGCCCTTGAGATGTTGTTCTTGCCCTTGGTAGATCATCGGGATGCCGTCAAAAAGAATGGTGAAGGCAAGGATATTTTTCGCGAGCTGAGGAAGAAATTAAGAGTAAGACAAAATGTTTTGAAGAGAGCTGTGAGAGTGATGACATACTGCAATATCATCGTTGAAGCTAGCAATACGCTGCACATCGTGGTTCTCGGAAAAGGAAACAAGGCCTGTCACATCGGGACAAATTGCCTTCATCTCGATTACGTCCGTCGCGAGACGGGTGATGTTGCCTTTTGTAAAAGCCTCCAGCATCGCGTAGTAGATTGGATAGTTTGGAAGGCTTTGGATGTAGTTGTGTTGGTAATCACAAATGATGTCCTTGCTCATTTCAAGCACCTCTCCGGTCATGAATGCGCTCGTTGACTTGTCAAAACTGTGTAGAAATCCTGAGCTGACGTGTTTGGCGGCATCGATTCGAAGTCCATCAATCGAATACGTTTCCATCGTATCCTGTGCCCATTTCTCGAGGAGGTTCTGGACATCTTTATGCTCAGTGAAGAGGTCTGGAAGGGGCACGATCTTATCTCCAGTTTGACAGTTCTGTGCGTTGGTGTAATTGGTCCAGTCCGTGATTTTGCAGTAGGGGTGAAAGTAATCGGAATTATTAAATGGCGTGAAGACCGAGTAGTCAATATGGGTGGCTGGGTTGCTCCCATTAGTGACGTAGGCCATGTTGTTAATGACAGTATCCATCATGAGATACATCCCCGGGAATGCACAGCATCGCTGAGATCCAGCAAATCTTGTTGAGTTCCGAAATGTGAATTCAGCGAATAGAGGTCCACCGGCCAGTACCCGTGGTAGGCTTCACCGTAGGAAACTCGACCCTCAACATTTTCAGTTATAGGAGAGATCATGACAGCATCGAATCCCATCCCTTGAATATAGTCGAGCTTGTCTATTGTACCCCTCCATGTCCCTCCGCAATAAAGCCCCGCGGTCGTGTTGCATGGTGAAACTGTTGATCCGTCTGTGCGCGCGAAACGGTCGGTCATCGTCTGGTAAATCGACCTGGACTTCCACTCAGCAATACCTGCAGCGGCTGAGAGCTGAATCATACAGCCAAGGGCCAATATCCTCGTCAGATGGGACATATCTGCTTTCAGTCGCATTGTGGCTCATCAGGGGTATCTGGGCCGGTCGAAGGTTTCAAGGGGCAAAGAGTGTGTCAAACGATCCGGAAGGATGGTGAAATTAGATTTATAATGAGTGACATGAGATCAAAAAATGAACGAATGTGGAAGTGCACTGTGTGCAAAATGAGTGTGAAGGGGTTTACCCCAGAGTGGACTGTAGAGTTGCTCTCGTGGAGGTGAAGAATTAGGGAGGGGCCACTGAAAAGACCGAAGACCTACTAGTAGTAGGGGCCGCACAATTGCGACGATCCATAGTACGCTAGTGTGGGACAAGAATCGTTATTAGCAATAGTGAGTTCCTTGATTTCGGCGTTGAACCCTGGAACTTGACCTAATCTAGGTCTTGTGCAGGGCTGTTACTTTAGTCGGCAATGACTAGCACTGGAAAGCCGAGGCAAAGGTTCGAGGATGGCGATAATAGGATCATTCATAGCTTGGCAGTCAGTAATAGTATAGAACTATGCCTCAAAATTATCACTAGGAGTGAGATCCTTCAGTATGGATCTGTTGAGTCATCCTGGATAATCGATGCCAAAAGATGATGGGTTTGATTGCCGTGGCTACTCTTCCCATCTATTTCTGGTCGGAGTTCCGGAGCTTGGGGCTCAAGGATGATAGCAAAGGACAGGTAGCAAAGGACAGAGTTCCTCCGTTCCATACAATGGTTCTTCCAGAGTCTCTCGTGCCCCATCTAGAATAGTCGAGGGCCCGAGACAACTTGCCATATAGTGGAGAGGGGGGGGTGTCTTATTTTCATTTCCACACACCTCGATAACAAAGCTAAACCTAGGAGGCCAAGAAAGGCTGGGAGAACAACAGAACCGAGATTTTCCTTTTATCCGACGGGTACCTGGCGATGACCAGCCAATGTTTTCGTATCAGAGACATGACAGTCACCATGTGGGTGAAATTAACTATGGTTCGCATGAAAAAGCAAAGCACATTTTGCCAAGTACATAGCTTATCAACAGTCACAGTGTAGCTAAATTTGGCCAATTGAAGAACGATACCAAATTGGGGGATGCAACAGTGGCATGAACACCCTGGCTGTATGATTGTCAAGACTGAAGACCGAGTGGTATCTAATCAATGAGGACGGCGACCCCGGTTAGGTAGCCATGGGATTACCAGCAACGTTTTGGGCTTGTTACATATACAGCGTATATACGTACTCGTACTGTATATGACACCCAATGATACCTGAGCCCCACAAATATCTCAGTGGCTGTCAACTATCAAGCTTATCTGAAGCCTCAGGGATCGGCGAAATACGCCACGTTGTATGTAATTGAATTTCATCACGATGCATGAGAATTCTAGGCAAGAAACAGCCCGATCGAGAAAGTTACATCGATTTCCACATCAGTCATCGATATAACTCTCGAAAAATTACGGATTTAAATCTCTGACGCCCAGGAAAATTGACCAGAACCGCGGTTTCAAATCTCGGAGCCTCTATTATAGTGGAGTTTTTTCTTGTTTCTTTTCTTCATGATTTCCGTTCTCCACCGTTGTGAATCAGATATTACCACTTGGAATGGGGATTGCCCGAAATGGAACGAAAAGCGAATTCATACACAAATACGCCAATCGGTGAAACATTGTGACCCACCTGTTACCGCAGCCTCCGGGTCCCGTAGGGCTCTCGGTCCGTTTCCTTGCTATCGGTCCAACAGCCACGCGGGACGACTTTTCCGGGTCGCGCTATCACGCTTTCGGTACTCTAAGAATACGAGATATACCGACAACTTCAACATAATAATTTCGTTGGTTTCTAAAATAGAACAGACTGGCATATCTCTAGTGCGATCCAGATCGAAAAATAGAGTAATCTGGTTAAAAATAATTCATTTCCAACGATCTGGCATTGCACAAAGGGATTTCGAGGCGGAGTGCGCGTGTCAACTTCTGGCTGGTTTGACCGTTATGACGGGACCAGTCCGAATCCATTTTCCCTGGGCAATAAAAAGACCCTGTACTCCGTATATCTATTTGTAAATCATTCTATTTCCTTCTGCGGGTAATGCCGACGTGAGACAACCACCCCGACATGTTCGGTACTCATCCAGGATTCCACCCTGCATGGACCCAGTGGGTTCCTGGTCATCAAGTCCAATAGGCGTGCGAGGAATGAGTATCTCCTCTACATTGAGGCGGATCCTAACGGGTGATACTCCCAGAACTCTGGTAAATCTCGTATTCTAGCGTGAAATACATGTACGTGCCATTTTTAGCCAGCTGATGGGTATTGATGCTGCGAACTCTTCTCAAATTTAGAATCTCGAAATGTCTCAACTCGCGTAAAAATGCCAATAGTTCCAGGCTTTGCTTTCTTGATGCAAAATTGGAAGCCACTAATCTGTCAAATTGGCTAGTTCCTGTCTCATTATGTGCTTTGGACTTATCTTTTCATAATCTCGCTTTCTTCTTTTGAATTTATTTTGATTTCTCACAGATTGGCGGTGTTCTCGACTCTCGTATTCCTGCACAATCAGCTTGAACCTTCCGTCCGGTTCTCACAGTCCAGTACGCTGGGTCGTCAGGCAGATTGAGGCGAAATACTTGCGGTTGTGCCCAGACACTGAAACCCCCCATCCTCTCAGCAGGGTGAGATTTCTCACTTTTACACATCTCATCTTTTGTTTTCGTTTTAGAGAAAGGAACCCTCTTGGTTCCTATCATAATACATCATGCGGTGGTCAATATCAGGTGGATTATTGGCGCTGCTAGCGACAACAGTCTCATGCTGGCCCTACGATGAGTCCTTCCTGGAATACAACCTAAACCAGAACAAGGATGCGACAGATCCTGCAGAATACTGGGGTGAATGGCCAGATCACAAAGGAAAATACCATGCATCCCCAGATAACTGGCGATTCCCATTCTACACACTCTTTCTTGATCGTTTCGTCAACGGCGACCCCACAAATGATAACATCAACGGCACACAATTCGAGCACGATATTAACTCCAACCAAATGCGCCATGGAGGAGACGTCGCTGGACTCGTTGACACACTTGACTATCTGCAAGGAATGGGTATCAAAGTTCGTGTTATTTTCGATATCTACTGAAGGGTGTCATTCTAACTGGATGATAGGCTCTTTACCTCGCCGGCACCTCCCTCATGAACCAACCTTGGGGCTTCGATGGTTACTCTGCTTTAGATACAACATTGCTAGATCAGCATTACGGCACACTTCAGGTCTGGCGCGATGCTATCACTGAAATTCACAAACGCGGCATGTACGTCGTGTTCGACAACACGATCGCAACGTGAGACTCCTCCAGGCACAGATAGTTTTGCTCCCAAGTACTAATAAACCTCTAATAGGATGGGTGATTTGATCGGCTTTGACGGACACCTCAACACGACAACACCTTTCAACGAAAAGGAATACAAGACCCAATGGAAATCAGAGCGCCGCTACGTCGACTTCGATATTGGTAACTCATATAACGACTCCTGCAACTACCCTCGCTTCTGGTTCGAAAACGGATACCCTGTCAACGAATCTCAGACTGCCGCTCTTGTCGGCTGCTACGATAGTGACTTCGATCAATATGGTGACATCGAAGCTTTTGGCGTGTACCCTGATTGGAAACGTCAACTTGCCAAATTCGCGTCGGTGCAGGATCGCCTCCGTGAATGGGAACCGACAGTGCGAGATAGGCTGATTAGGCACTCTTGTATGATCATTGCGTCTCTAGATATCGATGGCTTCAGATACGATAAGGCAACCCAATCTACCGTCGAAGCGCTTGGTGAAATGTCAGCGGGTTATCGCGAGTGTGCGCGTGCCGTGGGCAAGGAGAATTTCTTCATCTCCGGTGAAATCACTGGTGGTAATACCTTCGGCTCTATTTATCTTGGCCGGGGCAGACAGCCAAACCAATTGCCAGACAACGCGATTGACTCCATGAAGTTGACCAATGAGTCTGACTCGCAATACTTTCTCCGCGAAATCGGCCACGAAGCTATTGATGGTGCTGCATTCCATTACTCAATCTACCGTATGCTGACACGCTTCTTGGGAATGGATGGACAGTTGGCCGCTGGCTTTGACCTTCCTGTTGACTGGGTCGAAGCTTGGAACACAATGATGACAACGAACGATCTCATCAACCCAAACACTGGCAAATTTGACCCGCGACACATGTTCGGGGCAACTAACCAGGATGTTTTCCGATGGCCTTCAATCAAGGATGGTGTCCAGAGACAGCTTCTTGGATCCTTTATCACGACATTGCTTCTTCCCGGAATTCCTCTGGCGCTTTGGGGCGAGGAGCAAGCTTTCTATGTCCTCGACGCGACCGCGGAGAATTATATCTATGGACGACAGGCTATGTCTCCTGCTACAGCCTGGAGATCACATGGGTGCTTCGCACTGGACTCTGGTCAGTACTACCAGTGGCCTATTGAAGCTGCTCGCTATGGGTGCCACAATGAATCTGTTGCATATGATCATCGTGACCCCAGTCACCCTGTCCGCAACATCATGAAGCATATGTATCAACTTCGTGAGCTGTTCCCTGTGTTGAACGATGGCTACACCCTTACGACTCTTTCAAAGTCCACTGAGGATGTCATATACCCCGGTTCGAACGGCACTGTCACCGAGACCGGTATCTGGTCCATTGTTCGAGATATCAATATTAATCTCCAAGACCTTGGTACAGACACAGATAATCAGCCGGTGTGGCTTGTTTACCAGAATACCAATCGCACCATAGATTACAAGTTCGATTGCTCCGACAATGACACTGCAATGATTGCTCCATTCGATGAAGGAACCACCGTGAAAAACCTCTTCTACCCCCACGACGAGATCAAGCTTGAGGCTAGTCCGAAGAAGCTC